TATATATATATATGCCTGTGTATAAACCACGGATTCAGCTAATATACTCTATAATTAACTCTAAATATATATCTCTGAGCATTATGGTATCCCAAATTATATATATTCATTCACTAATATATTAATGCTGACTAACCTTAATCTCTTAATATTATTACCTCTCTTGCTGCCTGCCTTCCTATTAACCTTGCTATCTACCTTACTATTCACTTTACTATCTACTATACTATTACCTTTACTGTTGACCTCACTATCTACTATACTATTAATCTTATTATCTACCTTACTAACTATCTCTCTCCTAACTATGGTGATATCCCCCTGATACCTAATTATATATATATATATGGATGTATAAAACATGGATTTGGATATTAATATAAACTAAATATATAATATATATCTCTGCTGCTATTATGGTATCCTAAAATATATATATTTATTTACTTAATATATTAATCCTAATTAACCTTGATCTCCTAATATATATCTATTTTGATATATGGATGCTAACTAATCTTAATCTACTAATATTACTACCTCTCTTACTGCTTACCTTACTATTAACCTTACTATCTACTATGCTATTTATAATTACTATCTACCTTATTACCTACCTTACTATTAACTACACTATCTATCTTACTGTCTACCTTACTATCTATCTTACTATCTACCTCACTGTCTGTCTTGCTGCCTCACTCACTGCCTGCCTTACTTAATGCCTCCCTCGCTGCCTGCCTCAATGCCTGACTTGCTCACTCTCTTGCTCACTGCCTGACTCACTCACTGCCTGCCTTGCTCACTGCATGCCTTGCTCACTGCATGCCTTGCTCACTGCCTACCTCACTAGCTGGCTCGCTCACTAACTCTCGCTCTTGCTCACTGCCTACCTCGCTCACTGCCTACCTCGCTCACTGCCTACCTCGCTCACTGCCTCACTCACTCCTCGCGTGCTGGCTACCTGCCTCACTCGCTTGCTGCCTCGCTCGCTGGCTACCTCACTATCTAACTACTGTTTCGCTCGCTGGCTTGCTCCCTCGCTCACTGCCTGCCTTACTGCTACCTCACTGCCTATCTCACTATCTACCTTACTGTCTACCTTGCTACCTACCTCTCTCCTAACTATGGTTAATATGATATATATTCCCTGATATATCACTTATATTATATCCCTGTGTATAAACCCGGATTCGCCAACATACTCTATAACTAAATGTATAATATATACCTCTGCGCATTATGGTATCCTGAAATATATATATTCATTCATTAATATATCAATGCTGATCAACCTCAATCTCCTGACATAACTGCTGTAACTAATAAAATAATATAAATAACTGGCTATGCCCCTCCTGGTTGGTGCGCCTACTGCAAAACCTGGACTACCTGGGCCTTATCCTGCCTATCTTACTACCTGCCTTACTGTTCACTGCACTGCCTACCTTACTGCCTACCTCACTGCTGGTTTTGCTGCCTGCCTTACTGTTGACTATATTCCTACCTTACTATCTGCCTTATGGCCTGCCTCATTATCTACTTACCATCTACCTCGCTGCCTACCTTACTACCTGCCTTACTGCCTATCTTCCTGTCTGCTTCACTGCTTACCTCACTGCCTGCCTTACTGCCTACCTACTGTCTACCTTGCTGTCTACTCGCTGTCTACTCGCTGTCTACCTCGCTGTCTACCTCACTGTCTACCTTTCTGTCTACCTCGCTGTCTACCTCGCTGTCTACCCTCGCTGTCTACCTCGCTGTCTACCTTGCTGTCTACCTTGCTGTCTACCTTGCTGTCTACTATACTGCCTGTCTTGCTGCCTGCCTTACTATTAACTCACTATCTACCTCACTACCTGTCTCACTTTCTGCCTGCTGTTCTGCCTGCCTCATGCATGACCTTCCTGGGGCCTTATGATCTACTATACTACCTTGCTTGCTATCCTGATCACTACCTCACTGCCTGCTGTTCTCCCTGCTATTTGACCTGCCCTTCTGCCTCCCATTCTGCCTCCTATTCTGTCTACCTCACTGCCTGTCTTGCTGCCTGCCTTATGCATGACCTTACTGTCTGCCTCCCTGTCTACCTTCCTGTCTACCTCACTGCCTACCTCACTATCTACCTACTGTCTCTCTTGCTCCCTCCCTACCTACTACCTATGTCTATTATAACTATGGTTGATATTATATATATACATATTTATAAACCACTGATTCGGCTAACATACTATATAAACCAACCGTATAATATATATCTCTGCGCATTATGGTATACTAAAATATATATTCATTCCAAATATATCAATGCTGATCAACCTTGATCTCCTGACATAACCACCGTAACCAACAAAATGATGTAAATAACTGGCTGTGCCCCTCGTGGTTGGGGTGCGCCTGCCCTAAAAACTGGACCACCTGGGCCTCATCCTGCCCATCAACCCCCATTCCCTGCAACCAGCGCTGCCATATGGGCTTGATCTGGCCCTGCCATGGCCTGAATAACATCATGGCCACCATGGGGATCAAAAACCTGCGGTATTCACATGCATGCCCGGCTCCCACCCACGGCATATGGATTGGGGCATGCCGCATGAAAAACACGCGCTATACGGGGCATATTGCACTTGCCGACGCACGCAGATCATCCATGCCGTGCGGCCTGGCTGTGGGCTGATGACATGCATATAACTCATGGCCACTATCACCCCCCTGCATGGCGCATATATAACATTGGTCCCGCCACTGCATGCATTCGGCCTGGGCCATCTCCTCATCCAAACCCTGCTGGGTCTGATGCTGCTGCTGCTGGATATCCATGGCAGCCTACTGCTGGGCCTGCGCCTGCTGGGCGTGCCATACCGCCATGGGAATGGATGGCTGGCTGCAAATAACTCATTGGATGGGGTGGGACTGGCAGCCTCCCTGGGGACCTTGCACGGCAGCTGGCTGTGGCTGAGCTGGGGTGCCTCTCTCCCTGCCTCTCTCCTGCCTGATGGCCTGCCTGGTATGGAACCTCTGGGCTTGCTCACCTGGCATGGGGCTACTACCAACCTGGCTGGATCCACCTCCTGCCCCTCCCAATCAGGATTACACCCGTCACATGCCTGCTCCCTGGCATCCGCATCCTAGTAATACTGCCGCTGATACCCGTCCACCACTCCGTCTAAATACTGATCTAACATAACCCGGCGGCATCTAATGCCTTCTACCATCCCCATATACTCAGCAACCCGCTCCTGGTCCTTGGGGGCGACGCCCTCCATCCATGGAGCTGGGCATCCCACCTAGCTGGCTGGATAATGATTGCCTTACTGCGCTGTCCATCTCGCCCAGCCCGGCCACTCTCCTGCGCGTAATCCAGTAACGTCCGGGGGTCCTAATATGGATGATACTGCGGATATTGGGGATGTCCACCCCCATGCCTAACGCGCTGGTGGTGGCGATCACTGGGCTGGCCCCTATGAACCGCGCTAGCACCCAGCCTTGTCCAACTGCTCACTGTAATACGCCTCACACCTAAGCACCCGCGCCATGGCCGTCACCTGCCTGATGATATTCACATATATGATCACCTTCCCCCAGCGGCCCATCGGATGCGGTCCTGAATGAATGCCACCACCACCTCACTCTTAATCCACTGATACGGCCCCTGGCCCACCCCAGTCATGTCTGGCCGCCACACCTGGTATGCCACATTCGGCCGGCTGGTCCGGGCCCGGTATATGGTCATGGTGGCCTGGTCATGCTTCATCCGCCGGCATAATTCAGCCTCCATGCTCGGGGCAACGTGGCGGTCAACCATACCATCTGGGTGCAGGCCTGGACCAACCGGCCCAGCTGAGCCATCTAGGGCCGGAAATCACGCTGGGAATTCAACACCACATGGCATTCATTGATCACGATCCGGTCCAACCGCCGGGTCCACCGCAGCCGGTTCAAAAACGTCTGGAAATCGGGGCTCACCGCGGACTCGGGCGTCACCAACACGATGGATGCGGCATCAGGGGGCCGCCGGCTCTCCCATGGCACGCATGATATGCTGAGCTCCTGGCATCGCCGTGTCATATCGGCCCGTAATGCGACGAGCAGAACCACAACAACGGTGGTGCCCCAGGGGCGGCGAACGCGGGCACCATGAACAGCATGCTCTTTCCCCACCAGTGGGCATCACTGCGACCATGGGGCTCTCCCCCGCTGGATGGCGCGCATGGCTGGGTCCTGGACGCCCGGAACCACATGGTGGGCCGCCCCATCATGCGCTGCGCGGCGGCCTCCAGATCCATTATTGCCAACTGGTGCCGGCGTTCCATGCGGCTGACCTCGGCCTTATCCTCCCACGGGGCCCATTTGCGCTTGCCTAATATGGATGGGTGGCCCGGGGCGCTAAACCCTAAAAACTGATGCCAATCAGTGCTGGATAACTGGAACATCTCCCGCCGGTGGGCTGTGCTGCCGGCCTGTTCCTGCATGACACGGCCATATACCATGCCGGCAACATGTGATGAATGGGCGGCCTGTAAATCAGCAATATGGCCTATCCACTGCTTGATATCCATACCCTCCTCGGCATCAGCATCCATGGCAGCTAGGGCCGGCTCGGCCTCCTGGATATTATGGGGGAACGCGGTGGACGGCCGCAAAAATCGGCGGCTGATGCCAATGGTGATGTCCCGGTATGCGGCAATATGGATGGCGGTGCCTAGCCGGGTGCGGGTTTCCCGTTTCAACGCCTCCCGGAACCGCTCGGACGACCATTCGCGGCCAGTACCGGGGTCGGGGCCCCATAACCATGCCTGCGCGGCCTGGCTCCCTGCGCGGGCTGGCTCCCCTGCGCCGCCTGCGCCGCCTGCCATACAGCCAACTGATTAATGAATGGCATCACCAGCCATATATACCATACTACTAACTCCCGACCTCCTGCGGCACATATCAATGGATGATCTTGACATCATTGCTAGCATGGAATCCCTTATGATATGCCGTCACAAATGTCACCATGCCATCCTTGATATATATATTCCGCTGTTGACTATTTGCCGTGTTGCAATGCTGAATGCTTAATAACTCTGGGGCCCAGGCCGGCTGCCCTGCAGTAACATGCACGATAATTGCTAATTTCTCCTTGAACTGGGCCACGCGCTGCCAATACTGCTGGATGGCGGCGGGTGGAATCGGCCGCCCCACAGAAAATGCCGCTGCATGACCGGCTCGGCCCGCAGCCGGTCGATCATCCAGTGGGTCCCATCCACCGGCCACTGGGTCCGTGCGTCGTGCAGAAAGTTCCACCCCGCCTGGGTCTGGCTGGGATCGTCATATAATGCCGTCCAGGGAATGGCGGGCATCTGCGCATGATCCTGCATGCACAAATGGCTGATAATCTCCCTCGCTGCAGTCACTAATCCATGGATGAATCCCCGAAAATCCCCATCGTGAACGCCATCTGCTGGTATAATAACTGGTCCTCGCCCATCCACGTCACATGTCCGGGCGCGGTATGATTATAATGGACCTTTAATCCATACGTGCGCCAGTCTAGCAATGTTTCCATGGGGCTGTGTGTCCCACGGATCATAAACTGGTGCATCATCCATGTCACCTGCTCCTGGAACGGTCGGCGGCTCTGGCGAATGTTGACCGCGGGCAATGGATCATCGCTATGGATGGATGATGGTGGTGATGATGGTGGTGATGATTGGGGGTCATCGCTGCCATATCCCTCATCAATCTCCCCAAGTTGATCATCTGCGCTAGCTAGCACCCATTCGGCGCTCTGGTCCTTTTGTATCCAGGTCTGAATGATCTGCCATGGATTGGGGTCCATCCATAATGCTTTCTGGACCACCATGAATCGGGCCACCTTGATCACGCGGGATAATATTGGGGGTAGCTCTCAGGGTCCTGCCAGCTAGTTTCCCCCTGCCCCAATACTGCCATGGCACATACCAATGCGCTCTCATATTCATGGCTGTGATGGCGCTGGTTAAGCAGCTCAATGCAAAATTCTAAGCATGCTTTTTCAATAGCGGTCATGGCCCATGCCTTCTGCTGCGGGTCGTCAGTCACCAGATCCATGGGATCGGGGCTGCCTGGGGCCTGGCTAGCAAGCTGCCACAGCTGATGCCACTTCTTACGCTGCCGGGCAGTCATCCCATATTTCGGGCTGGTCCAGTCGTGCGGGGCCTGCGTGCGGGCAATGAATGCTAATATCTGCTGCCATGGACGGACATGCTTCTGGACCGCAGCCTCATCCATGTATGCCAGCAGCGGCTGGTATGGGGTCTGTCCCTTTTTGGACCGGACGGCTTCCACCCGGATGGCCTGGCCGCAGTGCTGGACTGTCTGCTGGCTCTTACGGGCGACCTGCTCCATTGTACGCCAGATCACCTGCACGCGCTGCTCAGTGGCATCCTGGGGATCTTCCTCTGGGGCCGCCACGCAGGCAAGCAGGTCATGCGCCTGGATACCCTGCAGATAGTCTGCCCACCGAGTCATCCGCAGCCAGGGATTCGCGTCAGTCAACTGGCTTGCCTGGATCACCTGATCGGCCTTAGCCTGGGCCTGGGCCTGCTCCCAGGCCTGCACTACCTCATCTACTGCTGTCTGGATGGCGTCAGTTGGCGGTGGTGGATGGTGGTCATTTAGCTGGTGAACGCATATATAATGGGACCCTTTTCGGGAAGGAAAAAACCGCTGGCAGGTCACCACCTGATATCCCTGCTGGATTGCAATCTGCGCTTGTTCCTGACCCTGCAAGCGTGGTCGACCTCGACCACATGGCACTATCCATCCATGATGTTCGCGCCAATGCCGCTTCAATGTATCGAGTGAACGGGTGATGAATTGGCAATTTGCTAGGTCTCACTGGCATAATAACCCATCAGGATATTCATCTAGGTGGGAAATTGACTGGGCGATCTGACTAGGCCATTGAATAGCTTGGGGGTCATGCTCCACGCCCTCCCAGCTCTGAATGGCCTGATGGATCTGCTTTGCAGTGGCCTGGGGTAACTGATGGGCTTTCCCCCGGAGATGGCTTTCTACCTCAGCAGGCCACACCCCATGGCGGCAGGTCCGGCAGATAATGATTGGTGGCTGGTTAAGCTGGATAAATAACCGCTGTTCCATTCTTAATAGATAGTTTGGATGAGTATAGTATGATTAAACTAAATATCCAAATGATGATAGGATTTCAGAGATGATGGGATTCAACCCCTGAATATTTTGTTTGTGCGCTTTGCTTTTTCTTAGTAGGAACTCAAACCACATCAAATCCTTAATCTAATATGTCCTCACCACGCCTGTAAGTCATTGATTTTAATGCTGAAATTTAATTATATTAATCAGAACTAGCATATGAGCAAGTTAGCTAAATTTAATCTGCCTCTGACCTCACCTAAAGCTATAGTGATGATTATGGGTAGTGCTTTTCAGATTCATGCTGCCCTGCGGGAACTCAAACCACATTAAATCCTTGATATTAAATTTATCCTCACCACCCCTGCAAATCATTGATTTTGATACTGAAACTTGGCTGCATTAATTAAAACTAGTATATCAGCGAGCTGGCTAAATTTAATCTGCCTCTGACCTAACCTGAAGCCATGGTGGTGATTATGGGTAGTGCTTTTCGGATCTACAATGCTCAGCGGGGACTCAAACCACGCCCAAATCCTAGGATCAAATGGCCTCACTACGCCTGCAAATCATCAATTTTGATACTGAAATTTAGCTGCATTAATTGGAACTGACATATCAGTAAGTGAGCTAAATTTAAAATACCTGCGACCTCACCTGGAGCCATGGTGTTGATTAGAGGTAGTGCTTTTTAAATTTATGCTGCTCAGCGGGGACTTGAACCACATCAAAATTCCACATATAAACCACACCCTCACTACATCTGCAGATCATTAAATTCCCCATTGAAATTTGGTTAAGTCATGCTACATTAGCCAACCAGTAAGCTACCTAAAATTGAAATGTGTACAACTCCATCTGGCGTCACAACCCTACCTCACATGGAAAAGTCGGTCCCTACCCTGTTACCACTGCCGCTAAACCGCTCTGGGCTACACCCTAAATCGGTGTCAAGTACAGTCGCCGCCCCTTGTGGGATAGGAGCTAGGTAAAATTAACTATAGGGTACAATTGGCATTTGTGCCAGTGCGGCCGAAAATGGCTGTCGCCCCGTTGCGGTTTAGCGTCTGCGCTGTGTGTACGCCCATTGGTTGGACGTGTGCCTGATCTGGTTTAGTGCTTCGTACCTTCCCGGGACGGGTTCTGCCCGCCCATACCGCCCAGCACAGGCCTACGACATCTATATAAACAGACGGTGCGTCGCTCAACAGGCCGTCCTCTTCTTCGAATTTCTTTCGTTCCCACCCAGGAGGCACTCCATACAGAACCAATATATATCATCAGCGGCCGGAGTACGCCGTCCACCCGAAATGAAAAGGGGGCTAAAAATTTTTCTTTCCTCGTCATCTGACCAATCTGTTGCCTTCACCACTCTTCGTATCTCCTAGCAAGAGGAAACCTGAAACCCAGCCAACAATTTCCGGTCATTGTGGTACATTATCCTTCTATCCGACAGGCCATCCCTGCCTCTTCCGGAACTTTCAGTGACGTGGCCTACGTCTTGGTGGCCCCCAGCAGGCAACGGCTCTCCCTCTACTGCGAGAATGCTTTCTGTCTGCACCCCAAGAATTCCTGGTTGGTCAGATGAGCAAGTCTTCCCCGCTTCCTCCTGCGTGCGCTTGAGCATTCCATTCATCAGCCTCGTCGCTAACGTATCTCTAGCAACATTCGAACGAGGAGAGCAATGCTTTGATACAGTTAGGCTGCAGCTGATCCATCCGGCATTGCCCGTCCTCGCGCACCAGTCACCAATGGAAGCTGGTCACTGCACCTTTGTTCCTCCACCAGCTGTTTCTATTTCTCTAACCCGGCCCTTTGCGATACCCAGCCAATGGCAAAAATAGTGCATCTCCATTTCCCTGAGCGCGCCTTGCAGCTGCTATCACTGCTGGCCATCCACTCATGAGCCGCAGTTGAGCCGAATCAGTGGTATCACATCTTTGTGAATTCACGGAACCTGGCCACTGCCAAGGCGCAACAGCAGGGAAAAGGGCTGATTGTAATCTCGAATGTCGCAATGACAGAATCCTGCAGCCAATCGCAAAATTGCCGCACCTCACAGAGTCGTGCTCCATTGGATTCTCTTTGTTGGTTGTCTGGGGTGGTTGGGTCTCCCTGGTGCGCGGAGCCTAGTTATTTCGCCGCCATCTCGGAGTGACCGCAGCCAATTTCCGCTTATGGTAGACTTCGGCTTGTCTGACAGAAGGATGGAGGTGTTGCGCCGTATGATTGCGCAAATTTACAACTCTAATGTGTAAGAATACAACCCAGGCGCTCTCGATGGAGGCATGGCTGAAAGGTTGGTTGACGGCTTGGGTTGTTGGCTTAGGAAGAAACGGTGAAGGGTATAAAATCACTCCTGGGGCTCGCTCTCATATCTCCTAGTCTTTAATTTCACTTTCCACAATTCTCCATTGTCCTTACTTCTCTTCAACAGACCTGGAGAAACTCTACCCTCACTACATCTTCCACCCCTATACTTTCGCGCCATGGTTGTCATCAATCTTGACTATATCATCCCTTACCACCCTTCACTTGTTTATAAGCCCCTTCCAAGCCACTACAACCGCGCGCCTCAGGCTTTGAGGTCTTAAAGCCTTCAAACTTCCCCTTACCGCCACCTTCAAAGTCACATCCTCTCCCACCTCGCCCTCCCCTACCACCTCGCCGTTGTCTTTTTTCACAGTCTGCCTCTCCTCCCCCACAAAGTCCTTCTTTATCTGCAATCTACCGCTCTTCTGAATTATTGGAAGCCGCCAATGTCCCTGCACTTCCTGCGTCCAGTATTGACATACTACAAACAACTGAGAGAAACGAGTTTGACAAAGAGTTTGCCAAACTTGATGCAACGACCCCTGAAGGCCAGCCCTGTCGCAACCCATCCATGGACAACGACAAATACCAGCAAGATGACGGTCGAGGTAAGGAAATCGCCCCACATGTCATTTCAGGCAAACTCGCTATGCCCTTTTTTGTCTCTGGTCTAGCTTTGTCAATATGATCTTCCATCTAAGTTGACTAACGTAGCTGCTACTCAGTTTCCTTAGAGAACATAACAAAAGGATGGATTGGAGACAGTCCGCAGACTGCTCCCGCGCTGGCCCATCTTACTTATAAAGAGGAGGCAACATCTCCACCGGAGCCGGTCAATTCTGAGGTCTCACCAACACATACAGCATTGGTGGATGCCCAGTCCAGAAATGGTGTACTTGACGGTGCGTCCTTCCTTCGAGCATTGCTTGCTTGCGCTCCAGTCTCATATGCTTGAACAGAACTGCCTACGGTTGATCCGAATGACGACTACAATTCCACCAAATCCTACAATTCGTTGACAGATAATGTTACGACAGATACTGCCGTATCCGAGATTGTATCTCGTCATGCTCCCAAGTGCCCTGATTCAATGACTGAGAACACGACCACGCCGACCGCGAACAACATCCAGGCGATCAGTTACTCAGCTACAGTAGAAGAAGATTCGATCCTGGCGCTGGCCGAACGTCAACAGAGCCTTCATAATGAGCACGATACATCCCCGGGGGATGAAGATGTGGCCCAGACCACCGTCCACCCAGTCAATGATACAGCATCGATCACCCGCGCCTCATATGCTCCTGAACAACCTGAGACATGCGCAGTATCAAAGTCAGGTTCGCAAAATCTTTCAAAAAGTCCCTCTCAGTCGTATTCCGTCTATGTCGTTGTACCGGAACGCCCCTCAATCATAGCGACCACCGAGCAGACGAAGACCAGCTTGCAGACGTCGAGCATGGCTAAAAGGAAGAGGAATTCCGTATCTCCAAGCGATATCGATAGTGATGACCACGGTGACAATGATTATGCCGACGGAAATGAAGATGGTGATGACAGTGACACTTTGCTGCGTCCCCAGAAGCGATGGCGACGAGGGGTCACCAAGAGGCAAAGGACGGGCCAAGTACGACAGAAAACACAAAGCACCGCACAAAGGGAAACCGTTCTCTCTGACGAACCTCGGCATCACTGTCAACCAACCGGACTTCAGGATATTGAAACTATTCCTATTAGGGGCTACTTGACGCGCCAGGTGCTCCTGTCTCGCGTGGTCTATTCCTTTACTTTTGAAGAAGACACGAGGACGGATCTTCTTCTCTCTAATAAGTCAAGAAGGAGCCCGTCGCAGGACCAAGATGAAGGCCGTCAGAGTGGATTTAAGGCATGCAGCACCAGTAAATCCTCTGGTTGTACAACCGACAGGCGTGTTGCTGTCCTATCCAAAGAGGACAAGCTTTTAATGAAATTGAAGCAGAAGGACCATCTTCCATGGAGTGAGATCGTGAAGCATTTTCCGGGGAGGACGAAGGGTTCCCTTCAGGTTCGGTATAGCACCAAGCTTAAGGGTTTGAGCTGGCTTGATGTGACTTCTGAAGAGGCGAATGGCTTGGATTCTAGATTGCACGAATCAGTATGTAGCAGACGACATTCAGGTTATCAGCAGCGGTATGGCCAGCCTCGGGCATGACGTGCAGTGGAACGTTATTCACCGGCGTAATATCTTCATAATAATAATCAGTTGGAGAACTCTCAAGGTTGCCTACATTCAGATCACCCAGTCCGACTCCACTAAGAGCTCTGTCCTTACGAAAGGTGGCTAGACATTCATGCTCGTGAGAAAACTTGTTCGTGTGATCTGGCAACTCGCAAATTCTCCTCTATTTATTTTTCACTTCTATGGCCAAGTTCATGACTATCATTTTCTCCGACTCTGAAATATATTATGTCATCGTCTCATCAGCAATGGAGATCAAAGGGCATTTCTGCTATAACACCTGACGTTCTTTCCCTTCAGTTTCCGGTTCCCTGTTGACTCGGAAAGGATTTGCTACAGGCGTCACAAGTCACCCCGTTCATACCTTAAATGGCCATCCATGGAACCAGACGGACTGCAAGCCCATTCCATCCAAACACACTACATTAATGAAATGGAAGCCAGCTAAATCAAGCCAGAGTCGCTGCTTACACAGCCATTGCAAAATGGGATCAAGGAACAACCATATACTGTCACATTTATGGTTCGACAACTGTATGAAGAGCGCATGGAAACGCATTATTTCAGGGGTAGGTATAAATTCAATACCCTTCATCGCCCTCGGTGTGCAAGAAGATTTTAGAATCGCGAGATAGAGTGATACTTCGCTCTATTTGAATGAAGTATGCACTATAAAGGAAACCTTTCCAGATGCATGACCAAGATCAAGAATACCATCGTTTAAGGCAAAACAGATCGGACGATAGTCTGGAGGAAGCCATAATATCCTCTCACGCTGAAGGCATATCCATTGGCTTTCAAATATAGACACCTCAATCTTAGTTCCTGACCATACCCAACCAGAATGGCCCTCCAGTGTTTGGTACAGCTCTGCTGTAGCGGGATTCCAGAGCTTAGTAGTCTTGTCGTAGGAGCTGGACGCCAGCAGTTGATTATTTGGCGAGAAGGCTAATGACCGGACTAAGTAAGAGTGGCCATTGAGAGTTTGGCACACCTCGCCCGAAGTGGGATTCCAGACCTTGATAGTCTTGTCATAGGAGCAGGATGCTAGTAGATCACCATTTGGCGAGAAAGTTACAGAGCAGACTTGATCAGAGTGGCCCTGAAGGGTCCGGCGTAGCTCGCCTGTCCTCGGGTCCCACAGCTTAATAGTCTTGTCATTGGAGCCAGACACCAGCAATCGACTATCTTTGGAGAAAGCCACAGACCGAACTGAGTCAGACTTTTCAACACTAGCCGGTGTACTACCATTTGCAAATTGTTCTTGTTCGCAAAGTAGTCACCACATTTGACGCACAGGTGATGTCGGGTAACGTCGTGTTCTTGCAGTTGCTTAACAGAATTGTAATAGACATTGCACTGTGGACAAAAGTGATGAGGCTTCACTAAATGGTCTTCAAGCTCTTCGCCAGTAGCAAAGTCTTATAGTTGAGGACAGGCCAAACAGACATTATGTCTGCTGGACTTTCGAAGATGCGTATTCTTTGCTTAAGCCGGAACAAAGACCCAGAAACACCTTCCACACCATTGATGTCGTGATGTCTACCTACAATGGGCGTAAAGTGCAGATTCAGAGCAGAAAAGCCATTCACAGATAGTACAATCATAGTTCGCACCATCACATGCGAGATACAGGCCTAAATCCATATTAAATCAGTTGAATCAAGCTCCAGATAGTCACATAGGAGAAGAAGTGGAGGATCCAGATTGTCAAATGAGTATGGGGAGATGGAGGGTTTAGTGGATGTGTTGAGGCTGATGCAAAGAGTGTAGATAGTGATAGTCACCTCAGAACGTGGATGGATAAGGCGCGAGCCAAAGTAGGCTGCGTCAATATTATAGATCAGAAACAAGCATGCAACTGAAATGCGGGGCGAAAGGCTTTTTGCCAAATCATGCATTTTGATTTGCTGCTAGGCTGCGCCAGACCATACAGATCAAGCTGTTTGCCGCTGTGATTCACGCAGCAAAGGCCAATTACTACTAAAACCCTTGTCATAATCCAGCATTAAATAGAGACAAATGCTCTACCCCAATAGTCCCATCACACTAACCTTTCCAGAGGGCACAGGTTCACTAGGTGTCAATCTTAAGGGTTCTCCCAATGAGCATAAGACTGCTGCATCTATTAGTTAGGCAGTCATCTTAGGCTATCTCCACAGCTACATTAGCCAATGAAAGCTTCACAGCGGCCGAAGTCGCTTTAAAGATGAGATACAGTTGATGTTAAATCAATAATGAGGCAGAGAGGCCTGATGCGTTAGATTCTCAGCGTGATAGGTAACTGCTAGGACGGACGTGGCCAGGCACACACTTAGGAAGGTCTGAAGCCTTCTCTAGAGATTTGCCTTAGTTTTTAGGTCAAGGAGGGGCATAGGCCTGGGTTCTAAACATATCAAGGGTTAAGGGGCATAGGGGGTTTGGCCTTTTGATATAGGACCAGTTACGCCAAACCTGGCGCTCCTGACAGATATGATCCAAACATCATGGTTATGCAACCATCAGGGATAGAAGACAGCTAACTGTCGGCAATGAGCCATCATTTCACATCTAACTAACCATTTTGTCCACTTCCTGTGCTTATGCACTTTATCACCGCCCTCCAACATGTATCCCAAAAGTATAGCTACCAAGCAAACAAAGCTCTATCTGTCAAGAAGCCTGTCCACACTCAGGGGCGTTCTCTACTTACTGCCAAATGACTTCAATGACAAGGTATGTAAAACTAGATGCAGCAAAAATGGGTATTATTATCAGGGACAGGCTTCCCAATGGGTGACTGATTATTTGCACAGCCTTCATAGAGACAGCGATCCATATGGCTCCCAGGAGAATGGGAAGACTGGAGACAGGTATTGTGGATAATAGAATGTTAAATATACTGCAGCCAATAATATCTTCCCTGGTTGAATTCATAAGGGAAAGGTGACTATCGGACACCTCACATATGCAGAGAGACAAATCAAGGACAATGGTAGGTACTGGTGTAAGGATGAAAATCTTATCTAAAAGTGCCACTAATGTTGCAAGACTTTTCCATCCATCGCGATCAGCCGGTAAAGAACTATTGTCTAGCAATTAGATTTGCAGAGCCATGTTGATCTGCATACTGTCTTGAGTAGGTCCGTTGCTTAGACAAGTTTGTGCTCTCATCCTCATCACTGAAGTCCAGTGCTCACGAGAGAGTTCGCCAAGGGTCACGTGACTTTACCGCCTCACTGGTGCACGGTGCAGCTCAGCGTATCCATGTGAACGCTGTGGGGAACCAGTGGTGTACTTAGAGAACAGGAACGAAACAAGTCGTCGATATTTACTCAACTCTTGACCAACTCTTAACATAGTAGCGTAGCCGCTTACCCTTCCGCTAATTTTACTTTCAGCCTGCCCTAAGAATGGAGAAAGAGCCTTTGGAGGTTACTTCCCCTTCAATATCCTACAGAGGTATGCTCAAGCTAGAGGAACAATTTAGGAATGCATCATTGTCCACTAGAACAGACATCCAATTCAACTCACTTGTTAGTCCTACAAATTCCAAGGTTGCTATTCCTCGGATTGCGTGCTCCCAGTTACAGAACGCAGCCTACCATGCTAAGAGAGCATGCCTGGGATGCAGACGGAAAAAGGCTAAATATGACAGTCACCAACCATGTTGTTAATGTATCCTTTTCAATGCCGCTTGCGAGTACGCCAAGGGGAAGGAAGACAGAATTAAAAGGTAGGTACTTTAACCCGCCTGTAGGTCCCTTGAGTAATAATATGCAGACGAGTTGTAGAACTTAAAGAATAAATTGATGTGTACAACCAGTTGCTGCGGCGGTTACGATTCAAGGTAGATGTTCACAACCGAGAGGTGATTGATAGGGTTCTCAACCAGGTAGGCATATCCCTTCAATCATCATATGCAATAATGCCCTGGCTAACACTATCCATAGTTCAACCCATCCTCATTTCTGGACACGCGAGGTGACTTGGAGCGGAAAAAACCAATAGCCTGAGAGCGGCTGGCCGGTACCAAAAACAATCAGCGAGCAGACCCAAGCGGGCGAATCAACATTAATATGGAACGCTCAATCAGTAAAAGACAGGTATAAGTCTTTACAATAGGCAGCATAGGCTCACGTATAATGTGGCTCTCGTGCACATTGTGCAAACGGCACCACGCGATAACTGCTGTTTCAGATATCAATATATGACTTCAAATTCTTACCAAGCGAGCATAACAAGCTCTTCTCATGTAACTGTTAGTTTTGCTCACTGTGGGACTGGCAAAGACTGTCAAATATTTAACATCCATGGTGCTACAGCGGAACAACCGGTCAATCAATATAACTAATATTAGCGGCGTGGTTGTGGCTGAGATACGGAGAAACCAGCATCCGGGCCTCTCCAGGCTTGTGAATCATGCGACGTATGCTTATACTTTTTGCCCCTCAGGGAGTGGGTTAAAAGGTGTGCAACCTCAGGGAAACCTGAGGTGGCCAGAAAAGCTAGTCAGACCTATTTGGCTAGCATTAAGAAAACGTGGCTCGTGATAAGGAAAGATACCATAAAGATCTGTCCTCACGGAGCACTGCGAATGATCGGAGACGAGATGCCTTATGGATGCAGGAAAAGTCAGGATCCGGCCCATAATGCTTGGTCAAAGAACGTGCCCGTCGTATACGATATACTGAAATGGTTCATTGTGGAGACAGCTCACCAGATCCTCTTTGATAAGGGAGACAATTTTGTTTACAATGGCCCTTTGCTGTTGTTCAAGGATGAGCATTTTGAATGCCTTCGGAATGCAGAGGCTGTCGTGGAGCTGGTGTGGGAAGATCATCGCACGGTAGAGTCGGTGGTATCCTCAATCGAACTGGATCAATGGGACTATTAGCTCCCAGTCACATTCAGGTGCATATTCGAGTAGACACATGTCTTGAATGAACTGCTGACTTGCAAACGCAGTGGCCATGGATCCATCGAGAACACGATGAAGGTCAACGTCTGGTGATAATCTGCGGGGGCTTCTAATGGTTCTGAGTACACACTGCGGAGACTTGGGCAGGCTGGAAGGGAGTTCGGAGAGGCTGAAGAAAAAGCAACTGATGGGAATCAATGCTTTCTCTGTGATCTTATTTGGGCGCGTTGCTTCCGGTGGCAGCAGACGAGGCTGGTGTAAGCTTGAAAGATTCTTTTGATTTTGCGTCTAGTTCTTTAGTGTACTCTGTTAGTCAATACCAACTTGGTCATTAACTTTTGCTTCTGCAAGACTTGATCTTACACTGAACTGGGTGGAGCATATCCGGCAGACAAATCAGAAGACACGATGCAGGTCATCACCCAGGTGAGTCAGCATTCTGATCGTGGCTTGGCGTCGACTAAGCTGAGCCCCAATTCTGATCACGTGTAAATATCACGTGGACTTGATACAGAACTTGATGTCTTATCATGATAAGGGCCTCCCATTGTCAGCTGTCAAATCAGGACTGTCCGGGAGCTGAGCGATTCCATCTCGGCTCCTACGTCAGGTGGAAGCTGCTCTACTGTATGATCGCTAACGCAGCTAGCTACTCTGCCCACTTTCTGATCTCTTGCTGAAGTCGAAAGCTATCTCATCAAGGCACTAATATACTCTTCTATTTCTTCAAAGGCCATATATCTCTTCGGTACATCCCGCCTTATTGTCATCACATGTATCACCAGGACCCCAAGGCATTTTCCATATGCTTTGGAGCTCTCGGGGCGCACGATGAACGGATACTAAGCCGTGTTATTGCAGACATCTGGCCAGCACGACGATGAATGGGGCAAACCCAACTCGGAACTGTCGAATGGATTAATTAGCTATCGCCGTGGTAAATTGGGCAAACCAGACTGGGACGGATGGCAAGACGGAGAACTTGAGGCGGCCTTAGTCGCTCAAGAAGTGGAGTGCTACAAGCGTGCACTTTTCGGACTGCTAGTGGATATCCAGCCTGGAAGCGAAAACCAACTCTGTGATATCCTAGCTACCGTTCAGAAGGAACAAACCCTCTCGGAAGCCATTCGCAGCGTGTTTGACAGGTATCGCCTCTGATTACGTTCCAAGTTGCAATAGTAGCGTCGGTGCAAGGCAGCTGAGGGGAAGGGATGAGAGGATGCGTGATACAAAAACAAAATTATTAAGAAAGGAATTGCGAAGCTGAATCCCATTCACTGTAAGCCTGGTTCTGTCACTTAATGCACTTGGTGTGTGACAGCCCACCAAAGGCCCATCCGTCCCTAGCAGGCCCTGGGCCCGTATCTGGCAATCAGGCGCTGGGAGTACTGCAGCACTCATAAATATCAACTGTATTAAACAAGTAAAGAGTACGACTGAACTACAAATCTGATGCAAATGACGTGGCTGCAAAACAACTCAAAGACTTGAAGTTGGTCCGCGCAGCAGTATGACGTTCTTAAAGAATAAAATTGCACTGGGACGATAAAAGCTGGCTGGACGAATCTCTATGGTTTCTTTGAGTGTGAACAGCTGAAGAGGTTTATCTAATCATACCCAAAGTGGTCATATTATGGCCCTACCTCAGGCAATGGGCATTTCTAGCATGACCACAGCAAATCAATATTCCAGTGTGGAACATGTCGTAACTTTTGTAGGGTCGCGCGGCCTAAAGGTGGGGAACCTTATCTTCACAGGCCTGGGCCAAAAAAGGTCTGTCCTGAGTGGTCAACTTTTTTCCTTGCGGGGCTACCTTCGGGCCGTGCCGGTTCGACACAGAAGGTAAAGTTACATGATTGAAGGATATCAAGGATCTTGTGAGGAAGAGTTCCTAGTTATATTCCCTTGATGCTACGCTAAACTGGCCTTATCTGTGTATATCATCTGTGGATCTGATATACCTGATTGGTAAGTAGAGAGTAAGCAGTGATAGGGCAACGAATCTTTGTTGATCGTCCCTATTGTGGGGTCCCACATCACAATCACAGGATGATTGGAGGCCAGGCATCGATATCTCTGCGCTTCGCGCCTAATGATTAATCAAATAGAGCATGCACTCCGCGGCTCCCTCAGACAACTGTATTGGCGGCATATGATGACTTGCATATTGCTAGCTAATCATCCCACCATCACACGTGTCACAAACTTGATGGGTCGCTGACCTTTTAACTGCCAGGCCCAGTAACAATGCAATTGCTTCCCCTGAAACTCAATTATCTTTGGAAAATAGGCAACCTAGTTACCACAAAATGACTAAGGATAATGAATACGGGATTATCATTCTCCATGACCCATCAACTACCGATGGGAAAAACCGGGCTTATAAGACCGTTTTCGAGTAAGCATTCTGTCAAACAGATGCATCGTTATATTTTGCTATGGAAGTGGACGAATGGCTTATTATGATACAGTTTAATTGCGATCCATGGCCTTAATGGGGACCCTATCAACACATGGACCCACACTGAAACTGGAGTAATGTGGTTAAGAGATCTTCTACCTGCAGTGATTCCAGACATTTGTATTATGACTTTTGGATATAATGCCCGCTTCAAGAATTTCACCGCGCAGTAAGATCTATGAAGTATATCATTGAAGTTGCTCGCAGAGCTAGTAGATCTATGAATAACAGAAGAAGTTAGTGACGCTTGCTGTTCTTGGCATAGTTTTGCTAACTTAGCATGAAGGAGAAATCCCGGCCTATTGTCTTTGTTTGCCACAGCCTGGGGGGAATTATAGCGAAGAAGGTGACTGTCCTTGTTTGATTTACTTTCGGACATATACTTAGCCACTGAAAAGGCGCTATTGATAGGTTGTACCTAAGAGCAAGAGCAAGTCCAACAGGCTGTATATGGAATCTTATTCCTCGGTAAAACAATCCCAATACTTCCTATATACATTGTCACTGACAGGGCCTTAGGCACCCCTCATAACGGTAGCAGCCTTGCAGCCATGGGAAAGGTCCTGGCAAATATTGTCTCAGCATTTTCGCCAATCAGGGCTCCCCGTGCGCTTATAGGGATGCTGCAGAAGGACTCAGAGGTCCTGTTAGAAATTACTGAAGACTTCCTCAAGAGGAGGAGGAAAGTTCAACTTGTATCCTTCTATGAGCTTGAGTTCACTTCCATCGGCCCCTTTTTAAGAAGACTGGTAACTCCATCTCGAGAATGCCTTTGTAGTTCGACCCGGTTAACCCGCCTTTAGATCGTCGATCAGTGCTCTGTGATTCTAAATGTTCCCTACGAAATCGCTGTCCCCCAGTTTGCCGACCACAGGAACATTGCTAGATTCAGGTCTTCGCAGGATCGGTCCTATCGACCTGTGGTTTCTCGGCTGAAAGTCTTTGCCCAGACCCTACGCAGTGGCTATCCGAGTGAAACGCGACCTTTCACGGACTAAAACAATGGTAAATTCTACAGACATTCTTGTTACACATACTGACTTTAAAAATAGAATCCTCTATTTCATTAGACTTAAGAACGCAGCCATGCTCATTCTTCTGCGGAAGAGATGATGTATTTAATATGCTGAAGACGTTCTTCTATGAAGACCAGGGGCAGGCTCAAGGCAGATGGACATTTGCAATATGTGGTCTTAGTAAGTTTATCATCATAATGGATATATAATCTTTGCTAACCTGACGCAGGGGGCGCGGGGAAAACATAGATAGCTTTGCACTATGCTGTCCAAAATTTGTCAAAATACCCGTCAGGGATTGCCTTTATAAATGTAACATCAGTGACCTTGCTTTTGGCAGACTTTGACCACTTACATGATCTTCTTAAGCTTGGAGATTCTAAGGATAAAATTAGTGCTGTTAAAGGCTGGCTATCTTGGCCTGAAAACAGTAAGTGGCTTCTGGTGTTTAATAATGCAGATAATCTGGATAATGTACCACTTCATAAGTTTTACCTAGCTGTGAACTGGGGCCACATTATTATCACCAGTTGTGACTAGGTGGTGATTGGTAGTATAGCGGAGAACGGCCACATTCTGAGTCCCCTGATGGAAAATGATGCGGTGCAACTACTCCTTGAAAAGTTAGGGATCCAGAACCCTACCGCAGGGGATATTGAAGACGCAAGGACCATTACAGGCCTTCTTAGGTCTCTTCCTCTTACTTTAGTACAGGCTGGGGCATTTATTCGCTCAAGGCACAGAAGCCTTTGGGAATATAGTAGGTTGTATATGACGCAGCGGGACTATTTACTTGGCTTTATATTATATCTTGGAGACTCTGAAAAGGCAGTATTAACAACCTGGGAAATTAATTTTAAGTAAGTGGAATGAGAGTCCCTAGGAGCTGCCTCACTTCTCCTTCTATTCTCTTTCTTAGAACTATCTTTAATTCTGGAAATGCTGCTACATCAAGGCTCCTCTCCTCAAAGAAGATGGGGTGAGGATGGTGAGATAACTAAGGTGGATGTGGAAATGGAAGGGGTGGAGAGACAATTAATCCAGGTCATCTAAGGAGATGTTGAGTTTGATATGGCTGTAGAGAAGCTGCTTTCTTTCTTGCTAATTTTGTGCAACAAAGAATCTGAAGGGCTTAGGAGTTTTTCTATTCATCCCCTTATCCAGTACTGTGCTATAAAATAGTTGTTGCCATCTGATGTGAGAAAATAGTGATGGCAAGCTCTTCTGCTTGTTTATTATATATTTCTGAGGAACTGCTTCCTTAAGCTGCAGTAGGTTCCTTCTTTCTCTTCAGGAGTCACTAGCTAATGCCTGTCATATAGAAATGGAGAGTTTAGAAGGAGGCTATTACCCTACCTGAACTGAGCCCTTTCTGAATATGATGTAATATGTCTTAAGCACAGTGATTATGCCTCCTTCCAGCATGAACTCATAGCAACTCTTCTTACTGCTTTATGATTTTTAAATGCAAATTGGAAGGTAGAGGCAATTAACCATACTAAAAAGCTCCTTAAAGGGGACAATGATTATTTCCTTAATGCCTGGCTCGCATTTAGGGAGAGCTCAGTGATGAGAATGTCTGAAAAAATAAAAGAATTGGAGAGCGCCCTGCATAGGTTCTTACATAACGCGGCTACACCCAAAGAGAGAGAGTTTGAACTGAGTAGGAGATATAACACCTAATGTGGGGAGCTTATCATTTCATTCATGGAAAATCTAATCTGCTAACAGAAGCTTGTTAAAGTGAAAGCAGAGTTGACAGAGTGGCAGCTGCTGGACATTATCCCTTCCTCTCTAGAAAAAATCACATCAAGAGCCTAAGACATAACTCTAGGTAAGATCCTTCAACTCCAGGGCCTCTTCCATAAAGCCTTAACTCTTCTTGATGGTATTCTTTAAGGCTGCCTTCTTGATGAGTACTTTAAGAGAACTGGGTGGTACTGGGTACTCCTTTCAGAAGTGGCAGACCTATGTTGCGAACTAGGCCAGCTGCTTGAGGCTAAAAAGCTCCTACTTCATGAGCTAACTCTGATAAGAGAGAAGGGCACTCAAGATATTACAACTGGCTGATGGCTAAGAATATTGCTCGCAGAGACCTACCTGGAATGGAATATGTTTATACAGGCTGAAGAGCTTCTGCTTAAGCTTCAACGCGCTTTTTTATCTTTGAATAAACCAGACTATAATGCTCAGTTCTATATTTTTTACCTCTAGATTTCACTGGCAAGGAATTCTCATAAGCAGTTCAAGTGGGAGCAAGTGATTTTATACTAGAGAAATGCTTTATCAGCCTTGCAGCGCCTAAGCCAGGATAAGAGTTTTAATGCTGGTCTTATGTGTTGCTCTGTCACTCATGCGCTTTTAATGGCTGGGTGTCAGACAGATGGCGCGCATGTACTGCAGGAGGCAAGATCAGATATGGAAGCAGAGGCTTGCATATATTAGATTCCTGTTTTTAATTCCCATTAGCATAACTACATTACCAAAGCCACGCAAGGTCTCTGAGTGGGGAAAGCTCGATGATTTCTTTTTATGTCATTGTATGAAGTTACATTTAGGTGCTGATTTTCAGCTAATAACTGAAATCCTTCGTTCAGTAGCAAGCACTGTGCAAATGACTTTATACCCTCTTTGTACACACTGGTAATGTGTCAATAGGTCGGTTAGGCGTCGTAGCTGTTGTGGGGCACAATGGACCAACCACTAGCATGCCACATGCCAGCTAAGATGACAGATAGAGGAGTGAAGGCGACCTTAAGTGGTTATGCAATCATCAACCAGAGGTTAAACTGTCATATAAGCCAGAATGAAACGCACTTATGAGGTATATCTCTCATTGAGTTTTGATACCAGGACTAATAATATAAAGAACGCACTCAAACTCCTTGAAACCAGAAGATGTAAAGCCCGACCAACAAGCTGACCTGTGAGTCTAACAACTCTGGTTTCCACCATTCAAGATACCACGACAGTAAATGGGAATTCTCTTAAAGGCGTACCAAGCTTGATTAGAATGAAGGAATGGCTGCAAAGTTTAGGGCACTTAGTACGAATTATCCATGAACTGTGATACACCAGCAATTGACCTGTTCTAGGATAATGCAGTAAACAGGTTGAATGTCATCCATGTCAGTGGCATAAAGGGGAAGGGTAGCACCTATGCTTTCACACACAGCTTCCTTCATGCACATAGTGTGAGGACAGGGTTTCCCAAGAAGATTGGGCTCTATACAGGGCTACATTTGCAATGCGTTCACAAATAAATATAAATTGATGACCATCCAGTCACGGAAGAATTATTTACCTGGTATTTCTTCGAAGTGTGGGATCGCGTGATGCCTGCAGACATAGAACTGGGTGTGGGAGTTGCAAAGCAACCCTGATACCTGCAGTTTCTCACCCTACTGGCTTTCCACACCTTCATTAAAGAAGAGGTTGATGCGGCCATATTTGAGGTCCACCATGGCGGAGAGTATGATGCAATAAATATAATACAAAATCCTGTTATAACTGGAATTATGTCTCTTGGAATGGACCATGTTGCATAGCTCAGACCAACCATCAAGACAATTGCTTAGCACAAAGCAGGAATATTTAAACTAGGTGCACCTGCCTTTTCTGTAACCCAGGACCCTGGGCCCGCGGAAGTTATACAAAAGCATGCTCTTGATAAAGGCATAACTTTGACATTCATGTCAGTAAATGAGTGTCTTCCCACTGATGGTAGAGTACTCAGTGTCCTAGTATAATGATTGAACTGCTCCTTAGCACTTGAACTTACTAAAGTGTTTCTTTGAGCTAAGACACCTGGCCATACACTTAGTGATGCAGACATCTACCATGGTGTGCAAAGTTTCCGGCTCACAGGGAGATTTAAGATTATAGATGAAGGGAAGTTATAATGGTTTATAGATGGAGCGCACAACATTCTTAGTTTAGAATAAACTGCAGAATGGTTTGCTAGGAACGTGAACAATGAGCAGAAGTAAGTCAACCAAATGCAATTTAAAAATGATTGTCAGCTAAGATAGGAAGGTGCCGCGCCCTTATTTTCAGCCATCTGTCAGACAAATGAGATGGAGTGGCGCTCATGCAATCTTTAGCGCACACACTCTTTAGAAACAAGGTGAAACCTGGCCATGTCATTTTTACTACATATCAAGAGAAAGATGGTGAACCTATCGGTAAGTAGATATAGGAATCTTCTGCAGATCTTAACTGATGAATTTACCTTATATGGGCAGACCGAGCCATCAAAGACTCTGAGCCACTATTACATGACGTATGCGCTTTGTATACCTCGGTATGGAAGGGACTTGATCCGCAGGCCATGGTTACAACCACACCAATGATTGAGGGGGCAGTAAGGCTTGCAAGGGAAATAGGAGATCATGAAGATGGAATACAAGTCCTTGTTACAGGGAGCTTATACATGGTTGGTGGAACACTCAGCCTTTTGAGGCCATTGTTGCATACACACAAATGATCTGGAGCGCCGTATTTGCCCTAATGGCAGTGATAATGCAAAGAGACTTGTACGGGTAGGGTGCACATACTCCCAGCCTCTGAAGAGCAGGGAAAGTCTCCAATCTATCTAAACTAAGAGCCTCTGTAGTATTATTGGGCGCTCAGTAAACCAGTGGATTATCCATCACTTGACAGAGAAGATACCATCACAAGGCTGAGCCATCATCATAATTTCATGCTAGAGTGCATGTTTGCCTCAGAGCTTAATATGTGAGAGCAGAAATAAATCATGTAACAAAAGTTAATCTTAGCACTTGGTGTTCTCTTGAAAGCCATTACGTGACATTAGCATGCATTGCCTCATCTGATTATTATGTAGGTCATCTTGGGCTTGTAGATTACAATTGCTTCTAATTAATCACATGAAGAGTTGAGGAGTAGCTAGTTCAGAATTTTTGACCACACACCCTTGGTCTCTAAACACCTTAGTGTCCGGACTCGCCTGTGTCTGGATAATTTTGTCTGAATGCTTCGGCGTCTAAACACCCATGATGACCCTCACCAAGATACTATTCCCTGTGGTAGCTTTGGAATCGGGCCAATTTTCTCTAGGATATCATCCTTCCGGAATGCTTTACGTTCCACAGCATTATCAGCGCCAAAGCCGGATCCCCTATCACTACGAAGCTGAAGCCGGGAGAAAATCCTGTCCAGCCTAGTTGTATTATCATCCTATGAATCCATTAGCCTGACTCTACAGTAACTCACAAACCACCCTACCTTAGAGGATATTCCCAGCGTTTTAAGCCCCTCAACCAGTTCAGTACTTGCAATTTCTGATCCGCTAATCCACAGGTATGAGATGCGGACACCCTCAGGCGTGGCAACAAATGCCGGGCCATCTCTCGCACAAGCTTTAAGGTTATGCAAACCAAAGCCCGTTATTCTTCATCCAGCAAGGGCATTCGATGCGATTATGAATCCAGCATCAAACAAATACTCCCGCAACACTGCCTTTGTCATGCTGTCGTTTGGCGCCTCACGCATGTACTCAAGATACATTAGGTGAAAACCCTTCACTATCACTAATTCATGTTGAGTCCTTGGAAGGCGAAGCATGCTTATATCCGTAGCCTCGTCGATTAATGAACAAACCTGCTGAGCAAACTAGTTCCCCACTTCATTCATATTAGTTTGGTATTGACAGACAAGGATAACATCTGGTTTTAGATCGCAGAGTATCTGTTCGAAGGCGGTATAGGCAAGCTCGTCAGCTCTAAGTTTGTCTGAACCATGCTGTGTTCGACGAATTGAATCGCTTCGAAATGCCCGGATATCCAAGATAATTGTGTTCTGGATACTACGCTGCCCATCGAATGTATGGCATAGAGATGAATCAACTGCCCTTAAAGCCGTTGAGGCGTTGAGCATATCGTCAAAGCAGTGAGTGTCCGCCTTATCGCTTGGCTCCAGGAGGACCACAGCCAGATCATCATAACCAGTTCCTAGTTTATATGCATTTTCGAGTGCTTGCGCACCGGCCTTTAAATCTTGCGCGAGTTTCTTAAGGGGCCTTAGGTGGTCATGAGTGATTTTAGTGTTTAACAGTAAGGTTGGGCGTCGGAGGTTTAACAATGCGGGGTAGATCTTGTCAATTTCAGTGAACTCAAACACTTGTCTGCTTTGGGCTTGAAATATATTAACATATGAGCTTTGCTTCTTCTTAGACAGACTTTGGGGGTTTGGAACATATAGTAAGGTGTTCTTACAGGTAGCCATAATCCACTTTATCTAATGCATGGGTGCGATCAAAGTATGCTTGAGGCACTCAATATCCAATGCCACTGTTAGACGCTAGGACCATACGGGCTAGGTACATCAGCCTCTTTTTATTGGTCAAGGTTGTCGGGCCGTCCGAGAATCACTGGAGAAATATATCTCTGGCACCATCCACATGGGGGCCCCATTGCAGGGGAAGCTATGTGAGATGAGGTGGCGGGAGAACCCCGCCCTTTATATAGTCAAGTCTGTTACTCAGTTGACAGGGAGGTCAAGCCTTGCTCAGCCATAAGGGACGGATTGATGAGGCTGGGTTGCTTTTCAACAAGCACTCATCAAGATATTCATTCCCTTCAGCTTCTGGCTTTGCTTCATATAAACCTGGGTTGCGGTCCACTCTGAACTTGGCAACAACTTACTGGCCTGCAATTAATAAATCACAAAAATCTCCCATTATTCCATTGAGCAAATGAAATTGCGATCATCAATGAACCAGTATTAAGTTTACTAGACTAAAGAACCAAAAAATCAATCAAACTCAATCCTTTAATGGAAGTCCCCGGTGCAGCTATCAGAGAAGAAAAGGATGCCACCCCGCAATTATGCCAGGAGTATCTCAAGTAGCCTGAATTGGAATGCCACTGTGGAGACCTGAAGCCACACACAGTCTCTAGAAGTTGGCAGTAACTCAAACCTGGAAAAGGGGCTGCAGGTTCTAGAAAGAGCAATCCGCTTGAGTGCATGTGTTTCATAAGAGCTCCCAACATGATGGAACTACATTCAAAACAGCAACCTCGACTCCCATCCAGGAAAGAGTCCCGTTGTTCCATGAGCGATGAGAGGACGGCGGAGATTACATCAATCCTGCGCCTATTCATTTCATCTACGGAAGCTGTTATGATAGGTTCTCACGGATAAGGGACTTAACACTTACCAATGACTTTCGCTGGAATTAGCAAGTCAAGACTTGTAATCAAACTGTTACTTTGGGAGATAGCAATGGATGTTGATTTCTCAAACTTGAAGAATTATCTGAAGTTCCACAAGACCCACACCCAGAGCATTGAATCACAGGAATATATCATGGGAAAGATTTTTCTTCTTAGATGACCAATCCATATTTCAGCGAAGAATCGCACCAGTGTCTGGCATTGGTAACAGTCTGCTAAAACGGCAATCTTAGCAAGCAACTCCAGGCATATTTCCCGGGGTAGGTTTTGGGCTTGACAGTGAAAAATATCCATCAAGATCAGAAACACCTTGAGATCCTAATCGCGTATTGGGATCTCTACTGACCCTTCATTAAGCAAGTGAAGGCCTTCTTTCCAACATCCACTAAGTGTCTTCTTAAAGATGGGAGAGGCCAGAGTCAAATGCTTTACAGATACTTGGATGCAGAAGCAATCCCCTCCCATATACTCATCATGTTCAGGTTCTTGCAGGGCAACTTCAGAGTCTATTCCACACCTATTTTCTATTAGGCCATCAAGTGCAGCATCTGGCTGTGCTCCTTAAAGTTGCTCATCCAAAGGCTCAGTGGTAGGCCCATTAGCCGACTCAGTAACACTCTCATCAACTATCTCAGTAGCAGACTGCATAGCTATGTCAGCTGGCTCTGGCGTTTCAGCAGGGTTGTTGGTTGATTCGTCCATTTCTGGCTGGACGGGCGTTTGATGTCCCTTCTTATTCTTTTTCTTCAACCTCTTCTTCATGAATTTCTTATGAATTGCTTCCAGAGTAGGGTTGTCGCCACTGTCATTTTTTTGCACATCGCCATGGCTCTTTAACAGTTCCAGGTCCGCCACATCTTCATTCCATGGTGCAAACGGAGATTCCGGACATTTTAAGAAGATAATCACTTCTCCTTCCGTATCTATAATATGTGTTGGCTCGGTCATATCGTTATCTGAAGATGTGGGAAATCTGGCAGAGGTGCTTTTAAGAGAAAGGGAGATGGAGTAGAGGAATGGAGTTACCCATCAGAGAAATCTGTTATACTCATATTTCCAATGTTATCGAGTCGCCCCCTCAACTTTCTGTAACGTGGCTGCGTGTGAGTGGCCAACTTGATTTCAAGAAATGTGACTTTTGCAGTGACAGGGATTTGGCAGTCACCTATGCGACTGGGCCTGAGTCTAGAGTGAAGCTGTGCGTGGTATGTACTATTACTAATGTATTATAAGAGTCATAGCTCTGATCTCCATGCCAGATACAAAGAACCTTTATGTGAATGACAGTGGCTTTGTTTGAGGGTCTAATGAAGGAGATGATGCTCAAGCCAAAAGGGTCGCTTTTTATGGGTGAAGTTGCAAACCTTGTGGCGGTCCAAAGAAACGGCGGCAGACCGCTTCCCTAAGGACTGAGCTCTGCGTGGTGTCAAAAGTTGACATGAATGTAGTAACACTAAATACTCTTACTCCCACAAGACTTGATCTGGGGCGCGGCATGTCCAGTGGACAAATCAGAAGAAGCGATGCAGGTCATCACGCGGGTGAGTCAGCATTCTGATAATGTTGCTTGGCGTCGACTAAGTTACCTCTTTATCTACTCCCAAGTCATCCAGGGGTAATAAATTTACACATAGACATGAGTTTGAGCCGTCCGCTTCTACGTATCTTTCGCTGATTGTATGAAACAAACCCAACTTGAGTTACAGCAGCAGTCATTTACTGATAACTTTTCATCTTTTGCGTGCCCGTGCTGCCTCAGTCCAAAGATCACGGCCGACTCCATTTCTGAACGGGAAATGAGATAGCGGATGAGAAGGTCCCTCAAATCAGAATGAATCATCAGCCAGACTAGTTTGTGATGCACAGAAACTGTACAATGATAGGAAGCAACTGACGGAAAGTAGCATCTTCAGGTCTCAGCCCTTGTATAACTTGGTGGGCTCAGAGCAAACCCGGTTATCAATACATTCAGCAGTTATTGAGCATTTTCCACGGCCGTTAAGAGAGCATTTAGATATTCCCCAGAGACTACAAGGTGAAGAACCAATCATTGTGAAAAATATCGACCTCCACACTTTTGCCCTTTACTGTGAGTTCATCTACATGGGGAACTATTTAATCTCAGAGATAGTCCTTGCTTCACAGAAAAGCTTTCAGGTGCCACTGTGATTAAAAGAGGTGAACGATCAAGACTTTAATAGACCGTTCGCGGTTGTGGTGCTAAAGTACCCTAGGGAGAGTCACACACTCTTACCTACACTCTTCATCTACTCTTGGATCTACATTCATGCAGCCAAATATAAATGGGAGCCCTTAAAGTTGCTTTCCTTCCAGAAACTTCAGAATGCTCTGGAAACGTCCCCTTTAACTGCCGCTCTTATTGCTGAGTTGGCGCCGATGTTCTGTTTCATCTCTGAACAAGAGTTGGAGGCAGCCCGTAACTTGGCACGGTACGTAACAGGTTATGTGACAGCAACGATAGGACCATTGTAAGAAAACCTCAGCTTCCGGGATTTCGCCGAGTGGGCACAGTTCAAGGATTAATTAAAGCTAGAATACCTTGCCTGCTCATATAAAGATTCGGCTCGGGATGGTTGAATGCTGAATATCAACTTGGGCAGAGGGATATAAAGGACGCTCTATATCCAGAATGCTCTTAGTTGACCATTAACAAACTTACCTTCTCCCGTCGCAAGTTACTTCAATACTTATATCATTATCAACATTTTATTATTACGCCGCATTCCGCTTACTGTAGGCGACGGAAAGAGCACATATAGGAAGGAACCTGTACATTTATTGTGTAACTCACTCTCGTCTGATTGGACGAATTTCGAGTACTTGATGGGCGCATGAGTGAATTTGGGATAGTTATTCAGAATTGCATAAGTGTACAGGATTAACCCAATTAGCAATCTGCAAGAATGCCCTCGCTGACGCTTGTCTTACATATGACCTAGTCAGCTCGTCTATTTTGACCCTAGCACTAGTCCAACGACCAATGGCATCGCGCACCCATCTCAGTCATCTTACACATTGGCCGCACGGAAAATACAAGTCCCACAGAAAACAATGGATCTCCAAAGAAGCCGCTTCCCTTCCTGGTCCTCCAGGAGTCATCACAAATTTTCCCCATCCCATTTTTGCTTGAAGTGTTCAACATGCGTTCAACACAATCCACAATATGTTTAACGCACGCTTAAACATATTGAACAGTACTCAGAAGACATGGTCGACACAATGAGATATCCAGCTATGCTGATCAAATTGCAACTATCCTCTAAATCTTCATTGAACCATAATGTCGCTATTTTACTTTCATACTTTGCCTCACAAAAGGTTCAAACTCTACGCCAGTGAATCATGAAAACGCCATAAAATCAACCTTTCTAAGCAAGTGTCTCATACTACTGCCGTCAACCAACAGTTATATGAACTGATTAACCACGCTGGTCATCAACCACTATTTTAAGCATGTCTACCAGACCAGAGGAGTCATATCTCTCAGCTGTCACGGAACTTTCGTCCATGTCCTCCAGGAGATATCTTCTGTTGCAATTGGAGTTGTTGTTGCTAACATCAAAAAATAAATCTAGGCACGAAGCGCATTGACGCAAGAAGCGACCTCACTTCTCTTTAAGAACTAAAATAAAGAGCTTGAAGTCATCATCGCGAACCCTAGCCCATCTGTTGCTATTAGTGGAATGATATGAGCTGCTCTCTAGGGAAGCTCTTACTGGTTGTCTGTTATGCTCGACTTTCCGAGCCCCTCGCCTACTGGTATCAGGTCGAGGATATGTCTCCTAAATTCATGGGCGAGGGTGTGTGGATTCCAACCACTACTCAGATTGTTCCTCAGCGTGGTTTAAGATTTGTTATACTCATCTGAACCCTTTATTACTATCGGATATGCTTCCCTTATCATCTCATCCAGGGCCAGCCCTTCAGAGCGCTCTAGATGCTGTTTGTTCTCCCTGATCATCTTCGCCCGCCGAAAGTTCTTAGGTTTATACTTATCCTCCAGTTGGTTCTGATGCTCTACTAGCTCCACGAGAAGATGGCGTTGCATGATGCATCTAGTAGTTAGGTTGGAGGCCACTTGTTCCAAAGACTTCAGGTTATTAAACACTGTTTTAGCAGAAAACGAAATCTTCATACTGCCGCGGAGCTGAGGAATTGCTTTCTTGAGCTACATGAAAGCTTCTTGGCAAGCAATTGAGAAAAAAAGGTAAGTGAGAATATCAGGACTGTCAGTGCTCTTGCAGTTTTCAGTAAAACACCTGTATATCTCCTGCTCAGAAATTTTACAACCCATGAATTCTGTTAGCTGTTTAGCCTGTCCTAACCTTGCCTTTTTCCACTATGAACCTACTCCACTGCCATTGCATTTCTTGCTGCGCTGACATTTGGATCTTCCTGGCTTGCATTGATTGGATGGAGGTTCAGATGGACCTGCAGAGTCTTTGTTAGGAATTACATCATCTGCTGTCGGACTGTTAATGTTATTTCCAGACCACGGTTGTTCTGCTGCTGGACTGTCAATCTTATTTAACTCACTAATACTGCTATTGACATTGACATCCAGGGAAGGATTAGTGCCAGGTGATGATGTCCCTTTGGCATACTCACGATCATGTGCGCTTGACAGCTGAGACAGACAGAGGTCTTTCTCTGGCACACAGTTCGGGGCGTCATCTGAATTGCTGCCTAGAAGCTGATCATCCTGCGCAGTACTATTCTGAGGCAGACCAGCGCGTTGGTCTATTGTTGGCTCTTCTGCACATGGTGAAAACATGGTGGCATAGTTGTCTAAATCAAGCACTGAGGACTCTACATCAGAACTATCCAGTTCATCTGCAGGCTGTTAGCTTCAGTGTTATCGGTGGCTTCATGGCCGTGTTGAAAAACCTACCAGGCGAAATTGAGCGTTCAATGCCCACTGAACTAAGGTTTGGAGGCGGGCAGAATACTTCTCCAGAACCCTGACGTTGATCTCCCATAAGGTCATCTGGGAATAATCTCAATGCATGGTCTGCAGATTGCTTCTCCGCGTAAGTAAGAGACTTGAAATATGGGGTGTCAGGATAGAGTGAGTCGCGCGGAGTTCCTCTAAGACTCTTAGAGTTATTAACAAGGCTTGGTGGAGTAGACAATGCTTCTAGCGCTTTTCCGTCCATAAAGCTGTTGTTGCAAGGATGATCTTTCACTATTGCTTGCTTGAGTAGAGATTCCACTGATTGTGCAAAGTCCGGCCACCAGTTGCGGATACGTTTCTGATTGTGAGGGTAAGAGGAAAGTAATCTATTGATTCCATCCTTAATATTTTTCTGAACTTCTGTGAGGCCCTGCTGTCAGGACGCTTGTTAGAGAGCAGTGCTTGATCCAGATGATAACTACACTGACTGACCTCTTCCATGATATAGCTCTGGTATATACCATAACCTGGCTTTCTAGTGACAGGTAAATAAATGGAAAGAGGATTATGGAACTGGAAGTGGGAATATCTAGAAGGGTCCACTGGGAAGGTCTCACACTCCAGTAGGATCCACTTACTGTGTGGAAGATTCTAGTAGTTACCAGGTTGCCTCTAAGTCACGTGAACAGCAAAAGTTTTGTGCATGCAAAGGTTTGTGGATCCGGTTCGTTATTTCGTCTTGTTATCGCACAGAATGTTGCCCCAGAACCAGATTGAAAGGTACTTTCTGCCCTGGATATGAGCTTGTAGGTTCCAAGGTTCGGAATGAAAGCTTCCCCTAACGATCCGTGGCACAGCCAGGAACGGATAACCTCTTGTGGAGAGTCATAGCCAAAGATCAACCGCCACATCGTGGCTGGTGCATTTCCCCACAAATTTAATGGGAGTTTTACATCATCTAAAAATGAACAGGAAAGGAAGCAAACCATAAGTTACATTAACAACGAAATCGCTGGAATAAAATACAAAGCTGATATCCTCGCAGGAACCTGTCCGTTGTCACACTATCACCTTTAAGAACCGCCCATTATACATGACATATTCCCGTCGTGTCGTCTCCGCGCAGCTTCGTAACTAAATATATTTGCAGAACGCCTAAACTCGGTTGCTGCGGATTTCGCGGCCTCTTCTGGAGTGTATGATTCCCATCTCTCTGGATAACACTGATTATATAGATCCGACTCGGCTACCCCTTCAAGGAGATTCATTATCTCACTGCACTCACAGACAGTAAGGCTCCTTCCAAGCATTATATTCTAGGTAACGCCTGCAAGTGATCGAAGCAAAGTCACAAGGTTCGGGAGCGTGTTCCATATATAAATGGCAAGTGCTTCGACCATTCAAAGTTAAAACTGCGTGTTTCCTCTGTCCACTGTATGAGTAGGGTTCGCGGACGTCGCGGGGAAGATCAAATACATATACTTAGCTAGACCATCACTAGTAAGGAGTAAGAGACCTAATCCATCATAGCTTACAACCTTCCACCACTAATGGCCCAGCGGCACTCCTCTGCAACATGTTTCCGCGCTGCTTTAGTATCCACATCACCATAAGCTGCTTGTAGGACCTAGTCACCGGCAACAGTCTGTATTGTCCTTCCTTGTTGATTGATGGATAGTGATCTGTCTTGCTCTCTCAGACCTATTTCTCTGGCAAAGTCTTCAAAGGTTAGATAAAACAGCACTTATACCATGCGTTGACGCATGTAATTAATTGCTGATTCTGGCTTCCACTTGACACTTTTACTTGGCTATAAGACTTTGTAATAGGCCGCACAGGCTTCTTGTAGTGATGTGAAGCAATAGAGAGGAATCTAAAATGAGAATTCTTTAGATTTGTTGATCTTCAGAGAGTCCATAATACTTTTAGTGAACTCTGCCACTCCAATACAGAGACAACTGCTGGCTGCCGTCTTGACCATCTGTGTATGAGCAGCGTCCAATGGTTTGCCAACAGTGGTTTTGTACATAGACTGGATTAGAGTGATGGCTTCCTCTTCGATCCCACATATGAACACTGGAGTAGCCGCACCAATAGCCAAAGTAGGCAGGTTCAGATCTAACATGATTTCTAAGCTGTTGCTAGGGATCCTGATCCCTACTAACCCTAGGTTGGCTTTCTTCGAAGCCTTCAAAACCGCTCTGCTTTTCTTAGGAATTTTTTTCTCCACTTTAGATGGTGCTGAAGCTCCTTTTAGGGAGATTCCAACATTATTAGTTGAGGATGATGAGGGTGAACATGAGCGCTTCCTAGTCATCATGACCGTGGTCTCCGGAGGAGACTGATCCTGCATGTCACATATCAAAGGCTTCCACTCGGACGCTTCCTCCTTAACTGGGGTTTGATTTTCCTTATCATCATAGCTAACCATATGAGGATCACGTTAGAGAATCCATTCAATTATTTCCTTGTCTAATTTGCCTGGGCCGAGTAGCGCGGACGGTATGCTTTGACGGTCACTATCAATAAAGGATGCAGGCTGGATATAATAATATTCGTCGTCAGTAGGGATATCTATAAATTCATCCCAGGGAAGTGATAACCCTGTTAGACCGACAAGGCTTAGCCGCGGATCATCTTAGGAGAGGGTACAACTCAGACCATCCGTTTCCCATGTGGGGTGCGGCTCATCTCGGATTGGATCCGAAGCCTGTAACAAACTTTCATTCCAAACCTGGAAAGTATCCAATACCTCTGAATCATTGTGAACTTCTTGGAGCAGCAGGAGTGCTTCCGTGGGGGTGAGGCTGGATATGACAGATAAGATAAGGCTGAGGCAAGCTTTTATCTGCGACACAGGAGCTCGTATCATGCACAGCTAATTAGCTTGGTAAATATACCTTTGGATGCCTGCTCAACAAGCGTAGAAAGATGACTTCGTCTGGGTTATCATCTGCACTTACGTAGGATTCCTATTGCGATCAGCAGTGAGCGCTGAAGTGGTATCGCCTGATATACTCATAATTCAATTTTCAGTGATAGCATCCTGAGTTGCATTGATCTCACCAGTGTACCGCCGATGATATCAGAGGCTGCAGTATGCGAGCGGCGATGTGCAGAGAGTCAGAGAATAAAGGAAAGAAAAGTGAAAGAGCGTACTGGGAATATGTATGTGGAAAGAAAAGAAAGTTGATTGAAATGAATGGACTAAAGGTGCTGGCTTGTTGCTGCTTGCTGGAGAAATAAATACGTTTTTAACAGGATCAAAGGGCCGCCATATTCTGCGGAGGCCACACTTTCTTGATGGCCGCGATTTCTTGAGAGCCACTGAGGTAAACCATGGCCTCGAGACCGCCGAGCTTTGGCATTAAGTCAGTTCAACAGGGAGCAAAGAGCAGTCGCGTCGCTTTCAGACTTAGACTCAGACCAGGTTGGAATGACAGTTATGGGAAAGATGAAACACTCTCTCGCCCCACCACCCCACGGCCAAGAAATACTGTTCATCACGTCACCCCAGATGCATTCCCCTGGTGAGGAAAAGCTTGATTTTTTTACACTGCAGTACGATCACCATAAGCTCCTTATTCTGTCAGGTGGGACATTCTACAGGCAGCCAAAGCAATGAAAGGGATTGTGCACTTCGTAAATCTAAGCCACGTAAAAGCAAAGAATGGAAAAGTGCAAAGTATAGAACAGTTGAAAGGGGAACATTGGAAGAGGGAAGCCCTGCTGGGATCAGCTTCGAATCGCACAAAGTCAAAAGTAAAAGGAAAGGAAATACAGAACAAAATAATCTGTAAAATAAATTATTAAAATCGATAATAAAAATAAAACCCCAGTAACAATAATGCCAGGTGAAATACCAAAGCAAAGCAATAAAATACTAGTTAATAAATGTAAAGAAAAAATACAGAAATAATATAAAATAAATAAATAAATAAATAAATAAATAAATAAATAAAAGTTAAATAAATTAAAAATTAAAATAAATTAAATAAAAAGCTGCACAGTATTAAATAAAATAATTTTGAAAATAAATTCAATAGATGATTCGCTCACTCTCTGATCTTCAATAAAAGTGATGACTTTCTGAATTCCATTTATTCTTTATGGCTCTCCCAGCTTCTTCCTCGGTCTTTGTGACCTTTGGTCCCATCACGCAATCAAATTAAATACACAATACTCTGGAGCTTAGGAGGGTTGGAATTCTACCTTATGAAATTTGACCCTTTGGTCGAGATATTTCCTCACGATCACCGTCAAATGATCTTGTAGTTCATCCTTTGCTGAGACTGGGGCCCCTTAGCATAAAATACCACAAGAAGTAGCAGACCAACTCACTCAGTACTAGTAATTTACCCCTTTCCTCTTGAGTGTTGGAAACTCGTTCGATATGTTCGCCGGTTGCTTCGGTCGATATGATACTGTCGTAATCTGGAAAACCATTGTAGATAGTTGCGCGGTGATGGTCTCCGAAAGGCCTTCCTTTCCCAGCTATTGTCTTATACTCCACATAGAACGACATTTCGAGAATCTATGCCCCGTTAGCCGTAAGCCAGCCGAGCCCGCAGAAGGTTGACATACATAGCCATCGTCGAGGACATCGTCATCCAGGAGACTGTTCAACAACAGTTCAGCGGCAACCGCAATATCTGGGCGCCTTTAGCGTCAAATATCCCAAAGGCCACATTCACTTACCCATTGTCTGCACCTGCCACACCAGATGCACGCGACAAACCCGTACCAAGGACGTGTTGTAGCCATAGAGGAGTCGCTTAATGTAAGGAACAACACCAGCAATACCAAAGCCACTAGCAACTGCTAGTACGCTCTCGTACTCACCTACTGGCTCACTCCTGCCATACGGACCGCTTACAAAGGCTGTAAATGATGCCGTTCCCTCCAGAGCAGCGCGCGCTCGTAGCTTCTCTGTTAGGCCATGATGGGTTTGCACGAATAGGTCCAAAACGTCTTGTTTTCCAAGTGACCAGGATGTTACCATGAATGGATGGCATTGTAGCTAAGAAGAAAAACTGACGGAGGGCATCCAGAGGTTCACATACTGGCCTGCCTTCACGTGCATTGGCCTTGGAAGCGCCACACATATCTTTAATGGCGTACCCTCAGCCGGGCCTTCGTCGGATCCCTCAGTATTTTTGCTTTTCGTCCTGCACATGACCGATGCATAAGGATAAGTCCGAGAGGGAAGGATACTGTTTCGATAAAGGAATAGTAGGACGTGCAGGAAAGTTGACAGGAGCAGTATAGCAAGTGGAATATAAAGGTAGACTTAAGGGAATATCGATTCAGAGGGAAGGTGCCGCCAGGTCATATAGATGCACACCACAGCAAGCGCTTGATGTGTACGCAAAAACAGCTTGAAGGAAAGACGGCGGAATAAGGAAAGTAATAACAGCATTAAAGCCACTAGTGACCCAGCCCCCTGCAATAGATTAGTTAAGGACACCTCCACGGTTGTTTCTTTCATCATATAATAACAGCAAAAAGGTTGTTTTGTTTGTGGAGCGAGAACTTCTGCTGGTCAAGCATGGCTACAACAATGTGTAAGGTAAGAAGAGCCGACGTCATCCATGCTGCTGCCCCATGGACACGGCAGCAGGTGTTGAACAAAAGCCCAAGGACATCAGCGAAGAGACCAAGCTGCATAAAGGGATAGAGAAGTGCCATGTTGAGAAGCGACAAGGTCCCAGCTCGCCGACTAATTTTGCTGGTTGATGAAGCGCGAAATATCACAAAGAAAATATTGATAACTCCATAGGCAAGGGAAAACAAAACGGCCAGCCGAGTCCAAGGTCCTATAAGTCAATGACGACCTAGGAGATACGGATAGGCAAGATGCTTCGCGACCCACCTAGAAAGAGCTTCCGCTAGTGGTTTGAACGACGGAGCAATTCATACCAGAACTAGAAGCAAGAAAATGCCGCCTGCGGTAATTGCGTACAAGGTCATAAATTCCATTTTATTTAGATGAGATAAAAGAAGATGCAGCAAGCCAAAATCTCCCAGGGGCTTGGTGCCTTTAAGTAGTAGGAGACTAGTGCCTGTCTTTGACAGTCTCCAGTGATCCAACATCACACTCATTACATCATCCAAGTAAATTAAATAGAGAGTAGCCCATTGGTTTCTTTAGAGTTCTCTAGGTCAAAAGAATGGTGGTCCTCACATCTCACATGAAACAAGCCTTCGACAGAGGGAGAAATATATAAAGCCATACCTACTGTCCCTGAACTCAAGAGGCATTCCCCTGTAATTCTCATTCCGTCGACTTTGCCCAGCAGCACTTGTGGTCTCCTACTGTCTCTTGTGAAGGAAAAAATGGATTGTCAAACTATAGCAAGACCTCGCCGGTCGGATAGTCCGCGGGTAAAAGGTCAGCAAAGATGCAGACTCCGGAAGAGTTTATTTAAAAGTGCCCATAAATATGGCGTCAAGTGTGATGCGGATGTCTGCGTTATCCTACGGACGCGGGAAGATGGCCGAATATTTACCTTCAGTACTGACTCATTCGACGAATTTTTGCCTATCTTGCAAGAACTGGTGCGAATGACCATAGCTCTGATCGACCAGGAAGCTTACAGTGATAGGATTGACACTATCCACCTCCAGTTAAGAAGACCCCAACAGATTTTACTGGCGGAGTGGCGGATCCGCAGAACTCACAAGAAAGATTAGACGCGGGGTCTGAATCTGGGGATAGTTGATTCAGGCTAGCAATTTGGTTTATAGTTAATATTCTGCACATATAGTCTTCAACTATACCAAGCAGATTACTTCCTGACTCGAGTTCCAGTAGATTTAACAGTTGTAGGAAGTTTGAGTATGGGACAGATTTCCACATCTAGTATGGGGTTCGGGCCGCACCCTGGACGCTGATCAGTTAAAGGGGACTGAACCACATGCTGAGGGGCAGGGCTTGGCCCAGTTCTCATACAGAATACTTGGCCCCTATGGCAACAATAGCCGAGAATCATACAATAACTAAAGTATGTCTTTAAGGACATAAATTTTTGCATTTTAGGAGAGTAGACATCGGGCTTTCGATCGCTCATCATTCGTTACTGTTTCAGACATCAAGGAATGGTCTACTAGCTATGCAACAATAACCCAAATCTTGTTAAGTGACGTAACCACCAAGTCAGATAGTTATCTGAGTTGACTAGATAACTTACTTAGGAGAGTCACTACAAGTTAGACATACCCAACGCTTTTGTTCTAGTTATGGGGACAACATGTAAAATAACTAGAGACATGACCCACGTGTTCCTACCCCGGTGCTCTTGGGATCTACTGTGTGCCTTGCACCTTTGGTCTAAATTTGAACCTCCGAAATGGTATGTATTGCAATGATAAGTCACTCCAGGGTCTAGTGGTAATTATTCACAGGGTGAGACAGAAGCAGTTAAGGAACCCATCATGGAACAGCTGGAACAGCCTGTGCATATTTTATGGAACTGCTCCTCCGAATTTTACTCCGTCCATAGGAAGATCGGTAACTTACAGGAGCAGGGAATGAACTAAGTGGTAATGGTCACTCGCCCCTGCCTGAAATACCATCACTTTGCCCAAACGATGGATTGATAAATAAATACTGGCGTAGGTTACCTGGCCCCTGATCGACGGTAATGTCTATCTTTAGCGGTAATAATCAAAGGAACAGCAAGAAGCTCCACGGGGAATCGTGGAACGGAGGACTGCGCACTACGGAGTCCAGGGCTTGCTCACTTGGTTAAGAACCTTGAAGGCCGGTAACTTACATATGCATTGAAATACTGTACATAGGTGTATGTTATCGTAATTGGTTTTTCGAGTCAAGATACTCTGTGGATCATTGTACGCCTCAAGACCTACTAGCACTTAGGTCAGCGAACCTAAATAGTAATATGGCTGTATGTAAACTTCCTACTGGATTGTCCAAGACCTGGCAGACGTGGATAAGGTACACGTACAGTCTCGTGGCTAGATGTAGTCGTGATAAAATCGGCTTGTGGCTCTCCAAAATGGCGCGGCGATCACTTCAAATTGGAGTGGTGGGTTAACGCCGGCTGTGGAGAACGCGCCGAATATTCCACGGCGGTATGTCAAACAGCCTGGACCATGTGCGGATGCCTACGCTGAATTGAAGTGTGTTGTCCGGATGGTAGCCAGACAAATTTGCGCTATGTATAAACGGAAGTCTTAATCTGGTTGCAAAGAGAATTATCCATTACTATTTCCAGAGTCTCAGAACCAACGCCAAGGGTGATTGAAGATAGGGGCATCTCCCGTTGGACACTGACATTGAAGCAAAAAGAGGATACTGCCAGGTACTAAAACGGCTAACCAGGGCACCAAATGAAGCCATCAGACAGCCATGGGATGCGGAATTTAACTTTTCCCCCCGTAACTGCCTCTTTTTCAATATTTACTTCTTACAATATCTACTCATAGTAGAAGGAAGGTCGATAGCTTAGAGAACCTAGAGGAAAAGAATAAGCAGTAATGATCCCTCATCCCCAGCCAAAAATACGGCGCCGCTGCAACGATGGATTTGATTCCAACCGACATTTATTACCAGATTACCACTGAATTATTCAGTAACATATGCACCTGCGTCTTAGCGGTAACAGCCCAGGACCAAAAGAAGCCCTGGGGATGACTGAGCTGTGGAGTGTATTTTACAGAACAATCTCTTCATATCAAGACCGTAATACCGAGGGGAAGATAGATAACTTACAGTGGCAAAAAAGTAACATCAAGTCATAATCCCTGATCCCCTTGGCAAACATACGAGGCCCGAGCTCAAAAGATGGTTGAACCCAGACGGGGTTAAAATACCAGGGTGAAAACATAAATAGTCTTATGAATTGACGTACATGATGTATCGTAAAACGACTCTAAAAAATACTGGCACCAGGCCAAATGACTAAGATGGCTGTCAGGCCCAGAGTGCAGGATGTTGCCCAAGAGGAACGGTAGAGGGGACCATTTGGTGTCGCATTGCGTCCACTCTGTATGGATCCTAAACCTATCAGACGACGGGACCCAACAGAGTCTTTGGTATTACCACACTATTATATTCGCCTAGGTTTGATTTCCAGAACTACACCAACAATGACCATTGGTACGATGCGATGGGGGATTGGACACTAACACTTGAGGCAGAAAAGAGTATGCAGCTAGCTAAAGAGATTATCTATGGTGGGACCGTCGGAATTTAAGTGAAAGCACGTATACACGTGACCCCAGTATATCACGTGAATAAAAAGTCTTGTGCGAACAAGAAAAACATACACCATTCCCTTTCCACTACGCACACCGTTGCGTACTTCAGACAAACACAGAGGCTATAAAAATTGACGATTCAGGAGCTCATCAGCTAGTTTATAGTGAGTTACTCGTAGCCATCTTCATGGCTTTGATCTGGGGAGTAGCGTGCGTAAACATGTCTAGATTTCGGTGTCTTCCAATCTGCAACACTCCTAACCTACCACTCTCTTGATGCTATTCCAATAAATTCATACAGAACTGGGAGCACAGAGTATTGAACATGGCACCGGCGGATTAAACTCTGCGGGAATAAAAGGTCTTTGTCGCGATTGGAGCCAGGCGAGCCAGCCCGACTAGTTCGCCTGGTCGGTGTTTTTTGGCCACAAACAGGTGCTGAACAAATGTCAGGTTGGTAGAAGCTTCTATGATGCAACAAGGTACACACCTTCATTAGGGCCTCCACCGAGCGCGCTGAGGATATCGCCTCTAGAAATCCAAAGGCTTCTGAATCAGGAGGCCAGCGTCCCAGGTCATCAACTCTAATTACTCTATCATCCATTTCATAGCTCTGCATGAGTTGCATTGTGATAGTGGCCAGGGAATTGATCACTTGAGCTTGAGACTATGTCCAGGGCCGCTTAACACAGTGCTCCAATGCAGCTGTAGGCTGTTTAGCATAACCAGTCTAGGGAGTCAATGATGCGAACTCCTACCAATCTTGACTATCCCATCTGAGCCGAGGAGGATATTCGAGGAGGTTAAAGACGTGTGCTCAAATCCAGCCTCAACCAGGTAGTGTAAACCATTAAGGATCTGCAAAATGTCAATAGAATCACTCATGCCTTGTTTGCACGTTGTACCTGATGCATAACTGAGGCCACCTGATGCTGATCTGGGTGGAGGCTTACAAGGTGCTTGAGAGTGAGAGGAAGGTTATTAACTAAAATAAAGAGTCCGTTCCCCTCCCTGTAACACTCTTTGGCAGAGAGGATGTTTTTGTGTTGAATTACTTGAAAAGCCCGTAGCATTTCGTCGGCTCGCTCTGGAGGATACGCCCGAATTGCTTCTAACTGGGATGGATGGGTTTTATGCGCTGCGATAATCACAGTGCCCGCAAGCTTGCAGCAAAGACTGGCTTGAACGTATTCCAGGGAGACTCTTTTTCTCGAATGATGAGCGGGCGAGATGTTGAACTACCTGAGTCTACGACCTGAGGAAGTCCGAGTGCTTTAGGTAGTCCCTGGATGACCTTTCCAGAATGGATGTCGGTCTCGCGACTCTGGAGTCTACTTTTTTGATGGCTACGCTGCAACTGCAACATTTCCCTTGACCGGTGAGGGTGTGGACCTGACGAGTGTGAGCCGGAGGTAAACTGGTCTGGGACGTCTGGGACGTGGAGAAGTTGAGAGTCGCTTGCAGTGAGGTATTTGCTCGAATCCATCAATGTCACTGTCCAGGCCGCGGGATCCGCGCAGGTTAGTAGATAGATACAAATCAACACCGACCAGGGCAAATGGTGGATTTTATACAGTTGTATGCTCGCCCTTGGAGCAGCTCCGACCAAGGATCAAGGAGTGCTATTTCTATGTGCTTCTATTATTAGCAATAGAAGCTAGTTATCCCAATATCATGCTGCTTAATCAGCCGCATGAAAGGATGCTAGTTATTCAATAGTGACATTCTCATTATATAAAGAATACTAGTCCTTCCTCCCCTCTGGGTATGAATCTTTGCTATGTATATGTGGCAGCTGTTATAGATAGGAGTTTGTTGACAGACACCGAACTCCAGCTCACTTGAGAGCGGAATTTGAAGTACAAGGGTACTGCAAAAGTTTACATTAACCAGATAGTTGCCCATCCATCCATATCTTGAGGACTGGATCCGAAGAATGTTGAAAGGTTGTGCAAGATTTTTAGTCATGACCATTGTCGACGGCTGGACGTCCGCAACCATGTCACTACTGTTGTGTCCAGGCAGCACTTGGAGATGGCGCTCGCATCCACAGGAGTGAGTACCATTGCTCTGATAACTAATCCGCCCGATCAATATCCCCTGCTAGATTTTCCCGCTGGGCAGGTATAATGCCTTCATGGCTAGCACTGTCTGAAGGCTGCGGAAGAACTGCTAGCGCTAAGTGATTAATGGTGGATGGTTGATCTTTACCTTGATGGTGGGCAAGACTTAAGACATCCTGCCTTGCACTGCCCTACTCTGCTCCTTTTATTGAATCTTTTCTGTGAGGGTTCATTCTGACCTGCATCTCGCCCTCGCAACAGACATTAGTTCCGATTTGCAAGCAGCACTTGTGGATGAATATTCAAATGAGAGGGTTCTAAGTGACGGCGAGGTCTATCTCAAAGTTCGTCAGTATCAATATGAGGGGAACGCATGTTTCGAAGAATGATGGATGGCCCGCCTGACAGCTAACAAAGCCAAACAGTTCTGGCAGCTTACATCATGGGTTGATGTTCGCGCTGCCTTTGACCGGCTACAGATCATTCCTGTGCTGCTACTGTAGGGAATGAAGTTTGGCTCTATTCCTAGAGCACTCGCCATGAACTGTTATGAGGTATGTGTTCCTTCGTCACCCACTACAACTCGTCCAGAGCTGAATCGGATAGGAGATGGTTCACGGTTTAGATTCGTTACTGGAGTCATGGTCTTACTACGTGAGAGGCGACTGTGAGAAGATGCTAAAGATTGACCTGCATACAGTGGAAACTCTGTAGGGCTTGGCTCCGTGTGTTTCCGTCAAGGATGTGAAGGTTGTTAAAGGCCTGGTTCTAAGCAGGGAAGTCTTTTCGGAATTCACGTCGTCTGAATGTAAGGCTATATGGAAGAGGTTAAAACGCAGGAGGAATATTATCCCGTCGCTGTATACCTTTTTCCAAGATATGTGGTATCTTAAGGCATGCGCAAACTGCATGAAACATCTGGTTAGCCCATGCCAGTGTTATCCTTCAGTCAAGAGCGCCTTCCTAGGCGTATATAAAATGGGCCTGAACGATGGCGATTGCCTGATCCAAATATCTGAGACGGATTTCCGGCACCAGCGTGGCTCTTAAAGCCTCTGAGCAGAGCTTGGATACCGGCAGCTGTGGCTGTATGTGATGTGATACTATCCACAGATCCCCCGAGAGCAAGGCAGTGACGACCTTGTGGTAAAACCAGGTCATGAAAAGGCGGATGAGATGATCCTGCATGACATGGCCGTCCTTGCCCAACGCCTTGGGTTTGACTTGCCGCATATCCAGAACCTGATCCAGCGATCGCCCGATTGATAGATGGCGCGCGACATACTCCTCAAAGCCTGAAAAGCGGACTGTTACTAATACCCAGAAGATATTTTTGAGTCTCTTGTAACTTGAATCTGTGAGTGTTTCACGGAGGCGGTTCCCCTCGATCACCCAACTTCCCTTGAACCAGCTATGGCCAGAGAGGTAAAACTTAATGAGCGGTATGGACTGCCCTACTGAAAGGCTCAGAAATAGGATTCTCAATTACTCTTCCTCGACATATTGCATGCCGGCAATGTACTGCTTGATAGAAAAGTCACTACTTTGTTCATGAGATAATGTTTCTACTTTGCCTTCTTTGGCCAGCTGCTGGAGACTACGCCGCTGAGCCTAGCCCAGACCAGTTCTCCCTCTTCTGATGGCTCCCTGCCTCACTCGCCACTTTTTGTCCCGGATGACAGAGTACTTGCACCAGGGCCCTTGGTTATTTCAGCAACCCAGAGATACCGTGAAGGCCGGAATGATGGTCACAGTTATAGGGAGGCTGCAAGGCCAGACTGAAGACGGCAGAAGCTGGAGGCAAAGAAATGTAGGTGAGAAGAGAGACAAAGGCGACAGGAGTTACGATGATCGCGTCCTGCACATGATTATTCTTCGACCATCCAAGATATTGATGACTATGATATGGAGAGGCCCCTTGGACCGCCCGTCGTACACCCTGAGGAGCCAGAGGGCATGGAAAGTGAACGCACCAACATGGAAGTGGACAGTCCAGTCATTCCTAGCAACAATGACCTGAATGATCGTGAAGAAATGGAAGAATCTAACAGCTTCGACAATGACTCTGAGCGTGCTTCGACTGCAACCCACGTTCAGTTTGGTGAGGAATCGGAAGTGACTCCTGACAGGGCAGATCGAGCCCTCACTAGCATTGTTGAGAGAATGTCTACCAAGGAGGCTCTAGGTCAGCCAGCAGCTGATGCTCCAGGGGATTTAGAGATGGAACTGCAGCATGAGCTTAACTGCTTGCAGCAAGATGTGGAGGACAGAGTGAAAGACGCTGGGGAGGGAAATGGAGCGGCAGAAAGCCCCACCACTGAACATGCTATATCTGTTAGATGAAGCATGATGAATGTTGAAGTCGCACTAGAAGAGGGCACTGTTCATTCAGCTACCGCGCGTTCGACGGACCAAGTGGAGGCTCATCAACAGTTGTTAAATGATATGCTGGTCCAAGAGGCTGAGCGCCAGGACGTGGGCAGCATTGCCTCCACAGACAGATCAGCTACGCAGGCCTTGAACAAGAAGGCAATGACAAACAAAGATAAGTGACTGGGAGGGATTGCGAAGTGGGCACCGTATATAAATGGGAACAGTAGGGCAGGTTGAGGCCGAGGCCAATGGGTTACACGAGTCAACTTCACGGATGTAGAGCTGAGCTCAAACCAACGGTCTACTTCGAATGTATTGCAACCAGCAATTAAAGACCACACGGAGAACGAAGCGATTCGGCTGGAGGACAGGCTCATCAACTCCAATGGTCCAGGCCGCAGTGAAGTCTTACCGACAGCTCCTGGTTCAAACACAGTCCCTGATATTGTGATCCATTCCATAGCTGAGCAAGCGGATACACTAGCTGCACCCCTCAAGCCTGAGGTTGTGGAATCATGGCAAAATTCCTCTGATGAAGGTAGAGTCGCGGAACCAGTGGACTTGGTCATGGTCGAAGCTGCAAGTCAACCGCCGAAGGTGTTGAGGAAGAAGTCAGCCCAAATTAAGGGCCAAGGTCAACAGACAGATCCAAAATGGGCGCCCTATGACCCAACCAGGAGAGACAATCAAAAATGAGTGGAAAGGCACACGCCAGAACAGGAACCACAAGGGCGGCAGCATACAAGGCCAGTTACACAGATTATCTTCAGCGGGCTGGAGCTAGCTCCGTCATAGCAGCCACCAGAAAGCGAAGCGAGCATAGAGCATGGACTGTTGCCTCCAGAAGTGACCATTCCGGCCCACTCGCACACCCCTAATGACCTAGATGTACGTGCCGTCGCCCACGAACTGTTGGTTTCTGGAGAGGTACAGGGTTAGGTAGCTGGGACGGTGGACAAGCAAGCATGACAGAATTGAGGCCCGGTGACCAAGTCGCCTGGTCCCGGTCTGCATCAGGATGCACAGGAATCTCGAGCCAAGAAGGTGGTAACTTGGATTAATTTCGAGGACTGGGCCAAGACCATGATCCAGGAGGAACACAAAGCCAGTTTAATGCCAGTGCCGGAGCCCCCAATCACCACAGAGCTAAGAGCAGAGACTGCGTCTCTAGATGGCCAGCCTATAACTGTGATGGCGGAATCGAGTCAAGCTACAACGGCTCAAAGCGCAAGAAAAATTCTCAAGCCTCGCATTGTTGTCTGACCCGTCCAGGAGGTCCGCAGGGCACCATCAGCATCCAATCCCAATTCACAAACTGTCACGATCACCTTCCGAGCTCGGGGGGACGATGGGGGATGGAAGACTGTTCATGAACTCCAGGTTAACCCATCAGATCCGTCCGAGGTGGAACGGGTAGCGCGGAAGGATGCGAGGAACCGAAATGCCACATTTTATGACAAGGATCTACACAAGCTAACACCGGCGCAGTGTTTCAAGGCCGCGATTGAGGACAAAACTAATATGATTTTCATGGAATTCGATGGGGAGCTCGTTGTGGATGAAGAAACAATGGCATCTATTACACAGCATATTGAACTTTGAGTAGAGGAATTAGAGCAATTAAGACCGTTGTCCTAGGTTCTACGTCCATAGTGGACCATAAGCTTCGCATCAGGAGCCCATGTAGGCAGCAAGCCATTTGGGACGCCAGTTGGCTGTCCGCGGGCCTAGCTGGCTCACAGTCCGCGGCCCATGGTCTAGCCAGGATTGCGGACGACTGTTCTAAGGACAGGGATCAAAGTTACTGAATTTCCGTCCCTAGCCAACAAGCTTTGGCTTGAAAGCTCCTGCTTATGGGTACTAGATTTGCTGCTATAATGTCCCATGGCCCGATACGGCTTGTAACTGTTGCCTTGTTGTCTCTTGCAGATTTCAGTCTCTTAATTGTGGTCTATTTTGGATCATTTACCTAGTGGGCTTATTATCTTGGTCTTTATGTCACCCATGGATTGCTGGCTAACATAATGTCTTAAGGGTTCTTCTGATCTCCGCCTGAGGTTCTAGGTCCAAAACGGACAAATGCTAGTGGTCTGAACACCTGTAGGGTTGGAGTGACTAGAGCGGAGGGCTACGGGCTTAGAGCCAGATGCTGATGACCCAGGCAGTAAGATGCAGTGTGTAGGCATTGTGATGTATGCCCACGAACACGCGACCTAGCGCCCCTGACCTATATGATTGAAAGACCGCGGTCGTACGACTGGCACAGACAAAGGACCGCCAACTGGCGTCTGTATAAGGTGCAAGACCATCATGGCTGCCCGACTATGTTGTTATGATCCCCGTGGCCTACAGACCACCTGTTATTTTACTAGAGTCATTTACAGGATTTCATCCTCAATGACTGGCGCATCATTCCTAATATTCTTGAGAAGTCCAGCCACTGAAGCGCTAAGATGTTGCATCATGATTAGGTCCCTCTCAAAACGCATGAAGACTGTCTTCAACTGGGTACTGCTTAAATCCTAGAGTAACCGCTGAATGTTGCGCTCTACTTGGTCCATCTCCTAACTCTTCATGCGATTAATTCTAAGCATTTACAATCTGCTAGCCCATGATAATGTATTGTACTAACCAGACCAAGCAATGCATGAAAACATTCACGTAATGGTTTTCAGAAGAACACTGAGTGCTAAGGTTAACTTTCTCTGAGATGTAATCATGATGATGACTTAGCCTTGTGATGCTCTTGGCAAACAGTGGAGACCTGGTCTATTTGATTGGGAATCTCCAGAATGACTAAGTGAGAGTGCCAAGCCGTCAGCATATAGTCACGTGGCTACTACTCTAGATTTTCGATATCCTAGGACATTGAAACGGACACTTCGCCCTCGCACCCTTAAATGACAAACACCCGAGAAAGCAACGCACGGGAGAGCAGGCTAGGCTTTCAGCTAGACTTTCTACCAGACTTTCTACCAGACTTTCTAATATGTTACAGATCAAGTTCAGATAAAAGCAGAAGCTTGTAGTCTTGAAGTGAACAGCAAGCATGAATGGGCAGAAGTACAAGATAAATGACATGCCAACAGGGGACTCTCTTAAGGCAAAGGAAGGATTAGTGGTTTAACAGTCCTAATGTTAATATAATAATCTACAACTTCGGAGAGTGCTAATTGCTTATGGATCACCATGCAGCGCTTCTGGTAACCTATGCAGTGAAGTGAGTTCCAAGGATTGCTGAACAGACACAGTGTGCCCTCTGAGGATAGAAGAGCAAGAGACCATGTTGTCCAGAGACACTTTAACCGTTAGAACCAGGGAAAGGATTGAAATTGGAGACATGCGCTATGTGAAGCCAGGGTAATTCTGTGAGAGGCGCTGATGAATACCCTGAAAAGGAGTCCCAGTAAGTATTATTATTACTGTTCTCGTCTGGCCATGACTGCTGAGGAAGGCTGTGAGACATGGTATGTGCATAAGACGCTGGGTTTGACGGAAGCGTCTGCTGGGACAAACTTGGACTTGGGGCTGTAGAATCAGCTGGGTCAAAGCTATTATGTTGAGCTATGAGAAAGTAGTGGTAGGAGCAGCAGGAGTGGCATGCTAATAGCATAGGTTGCACTAATTACTAATAATGCATTGTGTGTCCGGAAGATAGATTATGAAGGCATGGCTATAAGAGACGGCCCAGAACTAGTTGCTGTTTGTTCGGGTGGAATCCTATTGGAGGAGCCTTTGTAATGCTATAATGTGGATGATAATTAGCAAAATGACTTTAAGGATGAGAAGGGCAGTCTTGCCTTAGTGGGGCTCTGAAACTGACAGATTGAGACACTGGGTAGGGCGTTTGATACTGGCTTCGGGGAGAGTACATTGTATTAGCTAGTGCTTCAGATGTGAGAGGATAGGAGCTGGGTGTAGCAAAGTCAGGCGAGGATTCTAGCAAAGGGCTAGTTGGAGAGATCTCTTTAATTTAGTCTTCTGGGCTTCCCGCGGGAGACCTCCCTCTGTTATAATAAAATACCCTCATGCCTTGTTACCTCCTATTCAGCCAATCAGCATCCAAATAGAATGAGCTTCGCCACGCCTCGCTGCCAATTGTTCAAATCATGATTAAGAGAAAGAAAGTGAAATAAATAAACATAAGAACATTACCTATATTTGCATCTCATGCCATCTGGCGCCATCTTGGACAGGGTTTTGAACATATATATAAGGAAAAAGACATGATTGAACATAGAACAAGAAACAAGTATATATACTAAATGAAGAAGAATTGGGAAGTCATTAACAGTACCTGTGATATAAAACCACAGAGTGTCCTGGCAGTCACTTAATATAGAACAAGCCGCATGGCTAAGTCCGCATTAATAACAAAGTTAGGGGACCAGGAAAGAAACAGAAACAAAGTCAAAAAATAATCATCAGTGAACCAAAGCTTTAAGGCTGCAGGAGGGTCAAAACAGTGGTCAAGGATCAATCATTTAAGATCATGCATGTGGTCTATTTTGTGTCTAACAGTTAGGATGGCTGCATCAGCTAGAATGAGGAGCCTGCTGTGATGGGTCACACGGATGACTTAAAAATCCTGTGCAGAAAGAAGGGCCTCTCATGCTTATGCTTATGCCATCCATGCTTGAAGGTCTGTCTTAAGGCAGGTTCGGCAGGCTGTGAGCTATGTGAGGCATTTCCTGGGGATGAGAGGTCAGGGACCTAGGAAGCTGATATAACATAGTAGCCTGAGACATGGCGTGACTGGGTGAAGTACTATACACCATTAGGTTGAAGAAATTATATCAGAATGTAGGCGTCCAAGGGTCAAAGCTGGCTGAGTGCTACATGGGCAGGGGTGCTTGGTAGTGATAGAAAATCTACTCTAGGGTGGAGGAGGTGATGGGCGCCTGTGTTATATAATTAAAAGCAGCAGGTGTCTCATTGGGGCTGACAAGTGCTGTTATTACAGGTGTTCTAGGCATCTGCTACAATGCATAATTTTTGGTATACTTAGAGGTCGTGGGAAAGAAAGTCTGATTATCCTGGGGTGTCTTACTAAAGCTCAGCCACTCCAGTAAAGGAAATAATTAGTTTCTATCATCTCCCATATTTATTAGACCACTTGGTGCCACCATGCCTATGTGCTTAACTGAGCTTAACATCAGGCTGGTTGAGTTTATCTTAGAGTAGAGAATAGGAAGTACCTCATCCGCATTATCATCTTCTTGCTCATGCTTCTGGTCTAGATCCACATTGGAGTCGCCATCCTTCTCTTTCTAGTTCAACTCTTAGTTGACAATATATACAATCTTATTGGCATCTGAGGCTCATCAATAGCTATCAAAATAAATTTTATGGAAAGAAGATGCTACTTACTAACTTCTCCTCTTTTATAGCATTCTTTAATCCTTCTCACTTCAAAGACCTCATCCAAGATTTGGAGTTTGTTAGGGTCGCTGAGCCGCTGCTTGCAGTCATGGGCAATTTCCTGTAATTGATCTATAGTGATGCCGAATCTTCTAAGCTTACAGATGATATGAATTAACAGAGATAGGTATTCTAAGTCTGTCAGCAAAGCTACTTAACACTAGAGATTTTCTGTAGGGGTACGCGTATAATCCTTTTAAAGATGGTCAGGCTCCTTGTGAACCACATCAGCAGGCTACTATTTAGGCTTTATCTTCTCTGGATCTCCCTTCTTACCAGGACGGGCTCCTGCAGGGGGTTTACCTCTATTATAGGGGTGCTTGACCTGCTTTCCTGGCTTAATGAACTTAATGAATGCCTTTGCAACCTAACAACAGTTAAACTGCTGGAAGTGCTCTAAGGATCTCTCATAGTACTCAAGGACTCTAGGAGTATCACTAATCTTGAGCCTGACCATGTGCACTGATCCATAAGAGGGCATTTCCTCAACGGGGACTGAGAATGGGATAGATGGCGGCACACCATACATAGAGTTGGCTAGAGAATTTCTGCCCTGCTTAGTTTAACAGTAAGACAAGTTACTAAGCGGTTGTTGAGGATCATAACTATATGCTGTAGCACCTGCAGCTGATAACCCTGTTCAAATTTAGTAAGAATATTGAGTTGTGCACGGAGTGTTTATATACTTTGAACCATGGGCGGTTGATATCCTACCTTGGCACTAAGGATTTCTAAAAATCTTTCACAGACTTCGGTTGTGAAAATAGTTTTATTTTTCTCCTGGATAGACGGAGATTCCATCACCTTAAGTCTGCCTATGTTATTGAGATAGATTATGGCGTAGTGGGCGTAAGGGATGTTGATTGATGAATGCATGGATAGACCCATGGGCTATATAGGAGATGAGTTAGCTCCATATGCCTTTCTAATGCTGGTATCACTTACTGAGACATTATCCCAGTCATTAACCTTATCCTGCATGCATGATGCTGGCCTTTTACTGGAGCCAACCCTAGGAGCAGGTGCGCTGAATACCATGATGTAATTTGAGAGGTTGATGTTGACAGAGGTACAGTAGGTTTCGTGGGTGTATTGTTTGGATAATCTTGAGTTGGATGTTTCTCAGGTGGTACAGTTACTGAAGGCTGAGAATAGATAGTGCTCAACACATGCAAATGCTGTCGGGATTGGAGCAAGTTTACACCTGCGATGGTATATTGTCTTGAAGATCTTTGTTCTTCTAACAGGATCAGAATAAGGTGATCTGAGATGGTGATGAGGCTGCAGAGATCCAGGTCTGGTGGGGTCATAGTAAGTAAATACCACTGATTAGCTTTGGTTTGACACTTGAAAAGGCGCAGCGTGCTGGAAGCCTTAAAGGGATACAAGATACAGTAATAAGAAAGGCCCAAAATAGAGATAAGAATGTCAAGATAGAAGCAAAACCTAGCACGGTGGTTTGAGTCCATGACCCCACCATCTGCTGTAGTTTGCTTCTAAAGGCAGATGAGCCATTTCGAGGCAGACTAACCCATCAAACAAATTTGAGAGGGGTTAGTATGCGTGAGGAGTGATGACATGCTACTTACAGGATACACCTAGAGAAGAATAGAGATTAAACACCCAATGAGGTTCAGGAGCAAACGATCAAGATTAGCCTAGGAAGTGGGAGATGCTGCAAGATGGATGCTAGCAACCAAATTTTAGTACACAGACAGGCAGGTGTGATAAGCTGCAACAGAGTTGGAATGAGATCAAGACTACTTAGTCTTTTTCTTTGTTTTCTGCTCCGGGGATATGTACGGTAAATGAGGATGGTGATACTAGAGTCAAGGCAAGAGAGGAGATAATTAATGACTGACAGGTAAGAAGTTACCTAATAACTCAACAGAACACTCAAGGTCCTGAAGAAGAGAGAAAGTAGATGAGAAGAAGGAGGATTAGAGCTTCAAGACGGGGGGAAATGGCTGCATTTCAGTGTTAGCAATGAGAGATTAGATGCCTGTGCCTCTAGGGTGTTGAATAACAATTAAATATAGAAGTAGAAGCGCCATCTGGGGGGTTTTTTTTATTTAGATTTTGATTTTTTAATTTATTAATTCCCTGTTTTTTTTTTAACAAAGAGTGTTCTGAACTACCACTGCCTATAAGTTTATGGCGCATGGGAATAATACATGCATGACAAGCTGCAGACAGGGAAGTCATGCAGGGGCTCCTGTGGGGTATGATATCTCTCTCTGCCCTGCTAGTGTGAACCAAGCATAATACATGGGTTCTCTACCATACTTCCTGCATCTAATGCAGATAGATTGCATGCCATGGATGGTATGGTTATATGAATGTGAATTCCTACAGCCCTCAGCTAAGAATAGAGTATCATTCCTCCCCAGTAACAGTAGTTGGAGGAGCCTCTCTCTAAAGCACTTAAAACTAGTAACTATCCTCTCTCCTCAGCTAAAATAAAGCACCAAACGCCACTGTTAAGGGTGAGTACTATTCTAGTGGTAACTAGTCCTAGTATAGAGGCCTGTGTATCTAATCAACATCTGTAATCTCACTCTTGCATGTACAAGCACTCAGGACAAGACTCGTGGTGATAAACATAATAGACTAGGCCTACTGGTACTTCCGCCCTGCAGCTACAGCAGGGCCGCCTAAGGCGCAAACTAGGTAACTTCTTATCCTAATCATGTTTTGGCGCTTCTCCAGCTCTCCTGTAGATTAATGGCAGCCTCTTAACAGCAGGATCTTTGACTTTGGGCATATGGATGCCTGTTTCTTGCTATAGACCATCAGCTAGTGGATGCTAATGAGGATTGCCACCTCTTACACTCTTATGTTCTTCCTTGTCCTTCTTTCTTGGAATGAGTCCTTCCCTTCCTGCCCCTATATTTTGCCGCTTCCTAGTTTCCATCTAATATGTTAGTAACTGGGGTCTATAATAATCATCAGAAGGGACATACAGAACTCATGTTACTCTTGATAGGGATGATTAGTGATGGCAGCAGAAGACTTAGGATTAGAAATGCACTTCTTCTTAAAGTAGGCGTTCAGGGCAACTAAGACTAGAAAAGCTCCCATCCAAATCTAAATAATAATGTATACGAAGGGAACCATTGCTTGAATAAAACTGATTTCATGCCTCCTTTCTCAGTGGATGACACTATTTATATTCTCATCAAGAATGAAAGCAGTTCGTGACATACTCTGTTATGGAGATAGAACTATCTATTTTAAAATGTGCTCATGATAACATTAAGCAGCCAGTAGGCGAAAAAAGGGAAAGAAAGAAAAAAGTAAGAAAAAAAAAAAACCCTAATCAAGAAAGTCAGACTGTTTAGTATACACTGTTTAAAACTATTCGAGCTCTGGCATACGAATAAGGAACATAAAGCCAAAAATCCTCTCCTTGATAATGACAGTGGGTCTCGATTGGATCATCGTCAGACCCTGGGATACGAGATTCAAGGCCTCTGATCTCAAGTTCATCGAGGCGTACTGATTGCTTGTAGTAGAGTCTAACCATCCACTCGCTGGTTGAGTTGTCAACGTATGGAGAGTGAGCAGCAAAGAGTTCAGGTTCTTCCAGGGACTTCGCGTCATCAATAATTGTACTTTGATCTGAAAGGCTGATAGAGCTATGTCTAGAATGTCTGGTTTCTGCAATGCTGTTTAAATCACAGTTATTGATGCAGGTGTGTCCTTGGTCATCAATGTGCTTGGTCTCCATGACAATGTGCTCCATGACTTTTTCACTATTAATGTACTTTGCAGTCTGCCTAAGGAAGGCATTAGATGGCTGGAAGCAAACTCACAAACAGTACTCATAATTGTGATTTCCTTGAAAATAGGCATCTGATTAATTAACGGAGCCTGGTCGTCTTCATTCTGTCCGTCCTTATTAGTGCTGTTACGACCCAGGACCTTCTGCCACCATGACTTGCAAGGGAGTAAGGCTCTATACCAAGCCATGCCGAAGCAATCATGCAGTGATCTAGAATGAAGGAGGGTCAATGATAGCCAGAGTTGGTCTGTGCTGAATTGCAGTGAGTATCTGGGACAAGGCTGGCGCCTTTATAGACCATGCTGCGCTCATTGAGAGCTTGCTGATGAGTATTGAATCATTTAGATTAGCTATGTTTGTTGAATCTATCCATTAGATAATCCGATACATTGTCCCTATCAATCGCTTCAGGAATTTTTCCAGTGCATCCAACCAATAGGAGTGAGGAGAGTTTATACCTGGATGTTTTGTCTTCAAGTGTGGTGTCCCCTTCAATCCTGTCCTGTCCCCTCCCCTCCAGTCCTGTCCCCTCCAGTCCCGTCCAGTTCCGTCACCCCCTTTCCCCATCTTACTGATTCCTGGATGACAAAGGAAAAGATACTGGGGCTCTAGAGTGATAAACAAGCGCTGCTTTCCATCTTAAGGGTGTGAGATGTTTGCATCAGGTATTATTTGTCTTGTACAGTGGGGTGTATTATTTATTTTTTGACATCCCACTGCACACACCTTTTAATCTTTGGAAGATGGCTTTTCTGTCCTCCCTAATTGGGATGTCCCATCTTGATGACTCAGCAAATTTATAGAAAAGATGGAGGGGTATTGGGCCTAAATGTGATAAATAAGCTAATTAAATTTCTATTAGGTAGTAACAGCGCCTTGGGCCACATGAGATAATGGCTTCATAACATTCTAGTACTGGGCTATATACACTACTAGAAGTCGGTTTTCTTCCGCTAAGCCTTTAAATAGTCGATTCTTGCTGCTTTGCGGCTATAGATGCGCAAATACTGACGCTTTGCAGTTGAGGAAGCAAGTAGGAGATATTTCCCTACTAATGGCTGCGACCTTTACAGTTCAAATAATTCTCCTTGCTTACTTGGTGGTATCTGATGAGCCATGACAAATGTTGTCGGGCAAAAGGCTCTGAATGGAGAGTGGGAGTGGATCTCAAATAAATGCTTTGAGATCCAGGAAGATATGATCATGACATTTGAAGGTCAGTCCTGCAATATTGCAGATTCTGAGGGAAACCCTATTCCGAATGGGAGCCTTGGACCTACAGATGGACAAATGACAAGGGTTGTAAAGGCTGGCTACTGATGCTATATTATGAGAGCAATGGTGAAGTTTGAGAAAACACAACTTGATATTTGCTAGATGTAAGGAATATTTTCACTGATGAGGATCACCAAGCCCCAAGATGTCAGAGATGTTGAATCTATTAGAATATCCCATCCTAATTACTAAAAGAGTGTCCTTGTTAATCTTCTTTGGCAAATACAGGGATAAATAGTTTGTTACTGATAAGCCTCCTCTTTCCTGCTCCTCCCTCTATAGCTTGCTTGTCTGCATTCTGGTCTGAAATGGCTCGGGCAACTTGTCGATCATATGACGCCTCATAAATGAGAAGGAAAAATAAGGGCCTTTGCTGAATAAATTTGGATTTTCTGGATATATGAGTCATGGCTTCTATTGATATTTAGCTATACGTACCTAACGCTTGGGGTTCTAATCGCGGGAGTTTTGACGGCTGCTTATCAAACCTAGGCTCGTCTCCTTGCCTATCTGGCTCTGTTTGATTTTGCTTTCGGTTACCGTTCAAATAAATTGGGTGCCGTTCGTGCCCTGTATGTTAGAATTAATTAGCAAATCGTGGACTAGAAGTTTGCAGAATAGCCTCACTTGTTGGAAGGAACTCTCTTGATGTTGCTTCAGGCGGGAGATTACTGCTCTTCTCTACTGATGTGGAGGTAGGAGAATTTTCGCTTTTGTTGTTGTGAGAAGATAAATCGTGACAAATCGTCTGGGTGGCCAGAGCAAGTGACTTTTGAGGGGGGCATGATGCCCACCATTCTTTGAGCTGCTTATAGAATGGTCCAGGCGGTATTTTAGGCAGGCTGTAAATGGAATATGACAGAGAACAAAGTAAAAATAATTTAGCACTTTTTGAATAGACATTTCTGGTAAAATAGCGAGCTCGACGCCTAATGCTTCGGTTTGATGAAGATCTCTTTTGAAGGGATTCATCAGTTTCTGCTAAGACCTCTACCCAAGACTTGGCTTGAATTGCCTTGACATCAGGTAGTGGATGCTTGATTTTTAAGAATTTATCTTCTAGGCGAGGTTTAAATTGTTTGTCGAAAAATGAGTTGTTGATTAAGTCCATTTTTCGAAGACACAAAGGACAAGATGGGACGGCGTGTGAAGGGACAGGACGTGCTAGGAAGGAACGGAGAAGGGAAGGGAAGGGAAGGGAAGGGAAGGGAAGGAAGGGAAGGGAAGGGAAGGGAAGGGAAAGGACAGGACGTGCCAGGAAGGGAGGGGAAGGAGGGGAAGGGACAGGACAGGACGTGGAAGGGAGGGGAAGGGACGGGATAGGAAGATGGGAATAGCTCTACATTGAAGCCCGCGCGATGACGTCCCTTCAGCGTCCCTTTAGCTGATTGGTAAGATTGGGGTAAATATGATGGGGAAAGGGATACGGGCTTCATGCACGTCTGTTGACTACAGAAGCAGTTATTTATGGAGATCTTTTCTGTGGCGTTATGGAAGGACGTCTAGTCAAAATATGAGCTAATCTGATTTGGTAAATTTCGTACTTTTTCTTGCAGGAACAAACTAGGTGTGCATCCGTCTACTGTAGTATGCACTGGAAGAGCCCCATGACATCTCAAGTGTGGTTAGACGCCCAGATGGGAGCCGTGATGGTTGATATATATACGCCAGGTAAATGAGAGTCTCTATGGGCGTTAAACCAGAGCAGCCATTTGCTGGATACTGTTCTGGAGAGTATCTAAATGCTGTGTCCCTCCATCTATCTAAGGCCCATTTATGGAAAGATGGCACTGGCTATCTAATTGTCTGGCCTAACCTCCTTACGGATAGCACGTTCCGATGTGATCAAGGCGCAAGTTCACAGGACTATCACCGCGCTAAGGGGCAATCACGATGTTGAGATAAAGAGATCTAGACTCTGTTTTGAAAATTTATTAATAATATTTGATTAGGAATTAGCATTGACTCCTTACTAACTGTCCAGGCCATTGCCTGTGCCGCTATGCATTAGTTGCTCTTCTTCCAGAGGTGGGCAATAAATGATGTACTTGCAAGCCAGGACGTGATTTCACATTTCTTGCCCTAAGTTTGCAGCCTTAGAATAGTATTTATTAGTTGGAGAGTCGCAAGATCAGATGGTTTATTTTTGTAGTTGCTATAGAAAAGCTTGAACATCACTACCTCCCCATCCTTCTGCATCCGCTGATAGTTTCATTATGTCACGTCGGGCTTGGGCTAATGTTATGGAAGCCATTACAGGATGAGGCTCTAAGGTCTGGGAAAAGCTGGCCAAACCAACAGTTGGTAGGGGAAAGACGCAGTGGCCGAAGGCCCCTAGTGATCTTGAAAACCATGGTGTCTGCTTTGACTATGATGGGACTCTTGAAGAGGACGGCCAAGTTTACCACAAGTACCAGGTTCAACCTAATGTGGGAAAAATTCCCAGCTCATGGAAGGAGTGGAGGGATAAGCATGGCGGGACTCATGCTGTTATTGGGATAATTAAGATTAAGCAAGATGTAACAAAAGATGACGTTGACTTGGCTCTGAAATCTCTCGAAGAGAAGCTCTAGTTTGTCGAAGGTTAGCATTCCCTGTGCGAGTCCTTAAAGATACCGTTATTTGCTAGTATTTGCCTATGATCTTTGTGCGTTAACAACGGGATAGTATGCCTTCTGTCAATCTTGGTTTTTGTTGTGTGGCATGGAAGAAACAAAGACTTCCTTCCCTAAGGAATCATAGATTATTAATACCTAACTATCCAATGTCTCTATGTCATGTGGAAGGAAATATAAGTTGGATTCTTTGTACCAGACCCTAGCTGTTGAATTTCACTCTTTGTTGGAAATTTAGTAAATCTTCGCGTTCTTTGATGGTACGTAATGTAGTTACAGAAGGAGTCTTTATCCCCTAGCCTCTCACAACACATTATCCGTGCCTTAGGCGGTGATGGTAAGCCTAAGGCAGGAATAACAGACTACAGGATTTGGTGGATTTTGAGACATTATGGAAGTATTTTATTCCGGAGGGGCTTGGTAACAACATCTAGAAGCCTGATCACTGACTGAGCTTGTTGGCTCAGATATAAATCATGTTAGAAACATGCCGATCCCCTGTCATTGCAGTTTTTTGAAAAGGGGGTGAAAATCTAAAGAATGGAAAAAGCTCTCTATAATATGCAGGTCTAAAACTTCTTTCGCTCTATCCGCTCTTGACTTTTACCCTTGCATGGATATTGAACGAGGCAGGTTAGGAAGATGTCAGAAACCGCTCACTTGTCACTCATAACTTCCAAAGACGAACTCTTCAAATATACCTCTGGCAGATGGATGTGTGTCTTCATTCAACTGAGTACTGCACTTTAGGCTAATGTACTATAGCCATAACAAACACCTGCGTTTAGCTGAATGTTACCTCCAGTTCAACATACCTGCTCTCATGAACATTATCACTGCCGCGTCTGGCCATATGACCTCTGACATCGTTTCCTTTTTCAAGTTAGCTGAAGGTGGATTCAACTGTTTGTTTCAAGCGACCTTTAGAGACGGGAAGCATGTCATTACTAGACTACCATATCCTTCCACAGCGCCTGAACGCTACGCAGTTGCCAGCAAGGCTGCTACTTTGGACTATCTGCGGTTACATGGATTTCCTACTCCTGAGGTGTATGCTTAGTGCTCAACAAGAGCAAATCTAGTTAGTGCTGAGTACATTATTATGGAGAAGTTAGACGGCACCCCTCTGGGTGATATGTGGTACTTGATGACACCAAAAGAATAACACAAGACCATAAAACAGATTGTTGAATGGGAGATATGATTGATGTCAATGGAGTTTCTTGCATTTGGGAGTATATACTATCAGAGGGACCTTCCAACGGAAAGAAAGGTTCCACTATCTGGGCATCATAGAAGTGAGTTCTGTATGGGACCAATGGCACATTATGGTTGGTGGCACAGAGAAAGAAGCGTGCTTGATATTGACAGGGGCCCCTGTGAGTTAATCATGCGAGGAAAGCACTTGGTGCAACTTATTAATTACTAATAGGGTCTTCATCAAGCGATATATTTCGTGCAGTTGGTGAACAGGAGATGACTTGGGTCAAAGCCTATGCGAAACCTCGTCTTCCTTATAAGCGCCTATATAGGGAGGTATATGGGTTTTGCCAAGTCTTGCCTGATTGTCACATTGAGAATCTATCCAAGTATTTGACATTGGCGCCTTGTCTTAGGTTCAGGACTGGCTCATCACTAGATCAGCCGGTCATCTGACATCCTGATCTTCAGCCGAACAATATTCTCATATCAGATGCAAATGAGGTTGTTGGTTTAGTTGACTGGCAGCATAGCACTATCCTTCCCCTTGGGCTTACAGCTGGTATACCAAAATATTTCCAAAATTACGGTGACCCTGATTCGGAAAAGCTGATAGAGCCCCGAATCAACCTCCCATCGAACTTCAAGTCTTTGCCTGAGTCTGACTAGTTCGCAATATGGGAGGCTATCCAAAAAAAGCTGGTCCATTTCCTTTATGCCGCTTTTATGAAGCGGCTGAATGAAGAACATTATAATGCAATATTTAATGAGTCTACTATCTTGCATTAGTGTCTTTTCAAAAGTGCGGGTAGTCCTTGGGAAGGGGACTTAATAACTCTAAAGGCTGATATGATCCGCGCCGTACAAAGCTGGACGACTTTGATCTCAGCAGACTCTATTGGATACAAACAGGGAACATGCAGTACGCCCATAATCGCATACCCAGGCAGAGTTGTCTGTGATATTCTGGCTTTGGACGCGCGACAGAGAGAAGCTGACGTCGCAATGGACCAAATGCGGGATGTTCTGGGTATTAATATTCTTAGCTGGGTGCCAAATGACGAATATGAAGCTGTGAAAGAAAAGGCTCGTGAGATAAAAGCCAAAATGCTTGAAGCGGCGGAGACCAACGAAGATAGAATTAGGATACAGGACCACTTTCCCTTTAATAATTTTGATGAGAACTCCTGAAACTGGCTCCTTTGATGAGATGATCCTCAGGAAGATGTCCCTCTAGATCACAACAGTTTGAACTTAGGTGTAGGGAGATTATGTTTTTAGATACTTGCTTGTACCAGCGTTGGATGAATATCTATTCACAACAAGTACTTGTCCACTGTCAAAAGAATCTTTTGTAGGTACTTTAATATTTCCTTTTTTAAGGCGGAGAGAAGAGAACAGGGTGGGGTTTGTTTTACCCATCTGGCTACATTGGAGAATATCAGAGAAATGGCCGGCGCTGATGGGGTTGAACTTGAGATGAAGGCAGGACGTGTTTTGTATATTTGTTTGCTTCCGCAAGACTTTCCAGGTCATGTGTACACGGTGCAATACCCATATTGATAATTTACTGCTAACCAACTTCGGGTGTTTCGGGAAGACGTTGTAGGGTCACAATCAGGTCGACCAACTGGTTTTTGAATCCTATTTGAACGAGGAGAAGAGAAGGCAACTGGGAGAAGTGACGTTGATCGCCTTCATTATTTTCCAATTTGGCCGCATCAAATGGCCGAGCGATGTTTAACTGTGTACACAGTTCTCTCAGAGCATCACGAAAAGCGTCAAGCCCATCCCCAATGGGCTTGGCTTTCGCAATTTCTGTCTGTGACGGACGGGCCATGTCTGGCAGCGCAAAAAAGTCTAAGTACGGCTCTTAACAGGAATCCCATCAGAAATATTGATAGCTTGAAAGAGAAACCGACGACGGAAACATGCTGACTGTAGCGAGGGAGAACCACCTTGCCGTGGTGTCGCAACATTCTGGGTGTGGCTGTGGATGAGGATGTGGGGTTCCCCATTCTTACGCTAATCTCTCATTGGACATAGACAAAATTCATCAATCTGGCCCAGCCACAATGGCTATTGGTGAATAGAGTCCGGAACAAGACTTGGCAAAAGAACATAAGCGCCAGATTAAGTTAATTAGTTAGTTAGCGAACATCATCTGATGTTGAGGAGACAAAGCAGACGAGATTTATCGGTCTATTGATGGACAGCGATCGGAGGTATTTGAAATACTCCTTGTAAGCAGCATCGACTGGATATAAAGACGCCGAATATGATTGTCCTCTTCGTAAAATTCAATCAAAGTGACTCCGAATTGGTTGACACACCACTCCCAAAAGGGGCTAATGTTCTCGCTACTAACAGAAATTCCTCGGTGTTGTGGGTGGAAGCATGAAGGAGTGGCATTCAGGGGTGCGATGGTGTACACCGAGAACTAGGCTAAATGTTAGTTAGTTAACTATATGTCAATTCAATTTTAATGACAAATCATCTACTTTGTTGCAGGTTTCCGCATGCGTCGATACCAATTGTTGCAGGTTTCCGCATGCGATACCAATTCATGTTCTGGTTTAGCATGGTCTTCGAATGCATCAATATCCTTCAAGAAAGCTACGCTTCTTGGAAATTTTAACTATCATTATGTCATAAACTAGGTTTGTGGTAGTCCGGTCGCGACAGGAGTGATTGGTATTGCGTCAGTGTGCCCTTAACCCAGAAGCTACCTACCTATGTATAAGTATTTCCTTGCTGGTTACTACCCCTGCAGCTTACTCCTCCATCTCTTGTAACCCCTCATTTCTTTTAGCTGCTATAGTAGTGACTAAGCATTTACGGTACACTCACTACCATGGCGACTGTCTACTCTGCTCATCAACCTACCTCTTTACGGGAGGTGTCGGAGCCTACACTCGATGGTGTTGGGTACCGATGGATATTGACTCCCACGGAGCGCTCCCACATTGCAGCTATGCTCAACTGTGATAGTATGTATTTCCACATCTTGTTAGCTATCATATCAGACTCTGATCGTCGTTGATCACTAGCTTCCGACATTGCTCTTAACGGAAACATAATGGCACAAGACCGCCAAGTCTGTAAAGGCTGTGGGAAGTTTTCAGGGCTGGATGATCTTGTTCACAATGCAAAACATCTAGCGGTGCACTCTCCGACATTTATGCTCGATATTCTTAAGAACGGGCCCAAAAACGGTAGCCCACCTCACGCCTTGTCATGTTCATCTTGTGGGGTTATGTATGACGGCGAATTCTCGTGGCCTTTCCCCGAAAACTGGGCCGATTAGCTTTTACCTTCAGTAATAAGGTAGTGCCCCCTGTGTATCTCAGCTATTTTTATACTATGATAGGGAGGCAGAAGCAGTTTGGGAAGCTGTTAAATTGTGTAATTCGTGGTGTATTGAGCTCTAGTGTGGGTTTTTTCCCTGATTGCGGATCAGGTTTTCCCCATGCGCTTGCGCAAATGCGAGAGCTACTCGGATAAATGGCAGGTTCTCTAATTTTATTTCCATACATTCATATATTAGTCCAATCCTGCGCAAGTATTGGTTTAACTGGGTATGGCCTGTCTGGCGTTGTGCTAGAGTAGATGCTTGTAGCCTGTTCAGCTGGTCACACAAGGTCTTGGTGTGCCCTTCTGGGGGAGCTGCATCAATTGCCTTTGTATATCTACCAAACAGGTACTGTAGAAACTGCTCTGCTTGTTTTAACTACTCTCGCATTTCCCTTTCCTCCAGGCCGCGGCTCTTGCGGGTTGACTTGCCCAGGGTGGTAGATCTGGTCGGCAGCCCCCTTGGGTCGCATATTGGCTGGCTGTCTTGGCTAGTTGGAGTCTTCGGTTCTCTATGTTGATTATTGTCCATCCTATTGTTAGCCGCGTGATTTCCTGCAGTATCTCTTTGGCATGTAGGATAATTTTGATGGATGATATGCTGTCCTCCATGAGTGTCCTGATTTGTGATTGATTGCAAGATGGATTGGTTTGATGAGTAGATCTTAACCTCTATGATCTCTGTTAAGGCTTGATGACCCCACGCATTGCATTCTTCCTGCATCAAAAGGAGCGGAGAACACCACGAGCAAATAGCTCTGGAAATTACGGTCGGCGGTCCTCATATGGTTTAACGTATCACGCGTGATAGGACTATGGTGTTCACAAGTTACTTGACAGGAGTTGCTCCATTGCAACTGTGCATGCCGAGCGCCTGACAGCCTAAATTATGCTGTGCGCGAGGTGAGGTTTGACCTGCAGGCCGACATCTTTGTCTTGAAACAGACGCATTAGCTAGATCGTTGATGCATTACTATCTAAGATCTGTTCGCGTTCTATTGATATGATCACAATCCTTCTCAATCATGGTGTAGGGCTGTATGATCCCTGCATAGATGGCGAACCTCTACTAAGTTTTGGGAGGATTCAGACTGTGTCTGCCTGGGCCCAGATTTCCCACTTTTCTTTGAAACGCGGAGCCAATGCGCCCTGGAGAAGGTCAGAAGGCCTAAACCTAGCACATCTAGCTTTTCATGGTTCAACGATCAAAGAGATCCCCTACCTGCACATAAAATCAATTTCAAAGAATGACAGAGACAATAACTGCAAGACTCCGTGTAGATAATGCAATACAGCAGATAAGGCGAGCATGCACATGATTCACCCAGCCAGATAGACGGAAACATTTCGAAGAACTTCATAAGCTTAGGCACCGGCGGGTTGATCTTGATCTCTAGATAGAATGGGTGTTTAAGATACATGCATATATACATGCACCTGGCGTTAGACAAAACGTTCTTTACAGCAGGCACTTGCACTCGTATTCCTGGCCTTATATGTCGGCTGCGGCTCCGTGGTTGCGGCTAGCCTTGATAAGATTCGTTTGCTTCCGCAAGACTTTCCAGGTCACGTGAATATGGTTCGTTCATTATATTGGGTATATGTAGCGATTTAAGGCAGATACGGCTGTATGTGGCCGTATTTTCGTGGATCTACGGCCCGTCTGTCTCCCTTCCCGCAACTCAAACCTCAGTTGCACTTTTTGGAGCCGTTATCAGTCACGGCTGAATTGAGCGCTGCGTTGCTGGCAACGACGCTTAGGGCATGTAACCCAGGCCGACTTTCGTACCTACGTGCTGCAGCTGTAGAGGCTAAAACTGGATCATAGCCAGCGATGCGTTGGGGGCCTACGTCATGAGTTCGCAAATGTTGGACACTATGCGTATACTTACATTGATAAGTATAACAGCTGAGTCGTTCTGATGTTTCCGTGCCCATACCAACGGAGTCAGCTATATGTTATTAACCAGTTAGCTGCTGCTTTCCTAGTTCCTATTTGCTAGACAAACTCACTGCAGTACTCTTCGGGTGATGTACGCGTCAGCAGCTCTATTGTCGCGCTCAGTACAGTGTCCACTAAGGGTTCATGCCAAGACCTATGGATATATAAGGAGACTACTTTCCCCCCTCTCATGGTCAAGAATATCCTCATTTCTGTTACCTTTGAGGTCATCAACCGCGGTGCCGTTTAAGAACATGGATCCTCATAATACTTGGTCATACTTAGCAAGTTCGCCAACTAACGGTTCTCTTGCTCTTAGTGCAGTGTCATCACCCGGCACGATAGCAGATGAGCGTTCGCCTGAAAACCAGGCTGCCGGGCTTCAATACCCGCATATTCCACAAGTTTTACGCGTGGGAGTTATTGAATTGGCTAGGGGAAGTTTATCTTTTGTCTGCCAGGAGGTTATACTAACCATCATTGTTATCCAGGCGCATAACCAACAGGTGAGAGAAACGGCCTTGCTATCAATGCAAGTACAAGAGCAAAACCAGCTCCTATGGTCCATCTACAATATGGTGCGAAATCAGACTCAGGCATCCACAACTTCAGATACGCACCAAAATACATCTTCAGAAGTACAGCAACAGTCAAGTCCAAATAGCGACGGATCATTCCATACTCCCAGGTCACAGCCTGAGCCGGACCATGTTAGCCCAAGCGGGGAACAGGAATGCAGTCCGTCCGTGACTGAAAGGCGGCAAGATCAAGACGGACGTACTGAGTCAATGAGGTCCCGTCCCAGGCCCGGAGCGCAGCAAAGGTCAACGACTGACTGGTGGAGGCTGCCCCAGCTTACGCGCTGCAGGTATACAATTTGTGCAATACGGCGTGAACTATTGGTTCCCGGTTTTACCCCTCCTGTGAATATAATTCCTCTGACAACTCGCCTTTTCTTTGCTATTGCAAGCCCATACGCTATGGAACAAGTTCGAGAATTAATAGCAGCTGTGTGGCGACAAGACAACTATCCTCCTTTCCGGTGTCCTGCGACAACAGAGGGGGCGTTCAGGTCCCTTGATAAATTTGAAGAGTCAAGATGAGTGGCTCAGATTCAATCTTGATATACCCTGGTCAGCATAGTCCATAGGTACACCTCAAAAAGGAATGCAATGGTTGGCACAGGTAACCGAAGAACTTTCACTGACAAAAAGAGTATCTCGGACATCATAGCCGAAGAATACCCTTCTCTTGTTCAAGACACTCCTATCTTTGAAAAGTACATCAGACGGCTTAAAGCGACTTTATACTTGGGAAGAAATTGGTATATGGTCGCTCAAGTATTTGGATGCCATATTCTTTCTTTTGTCCCTCTGGGTGGCGAATTCGGCATATATGACGGAATGTATACAGCCGAGTCGGTAAATATTGTTGTTTCCGGTATTTGCTAACTTCATGTAGGATTCAGCAGATCCCGCCAGATCAGTTCAAGGTCCTTCTAGATGTCTTAAAAGGAAAAAGAGGTCACTTTCTTCGCGAGTGTAGCAGAAGGATGCGTCGGACTGTGGACAACTTCTCCTCGCTGCCGCCGCCTTCTGAGCTTCCTCTGGAAACGACAGATCCACAAGTGGTCAAGAGGATAGAATTTGATTCTGACGAACTACTCGATCTGTTTACTCCTCAGTAAATGGATCCTTATCTAATGACGCAGGTTTGGTTTGGAGACGCCGGCAAACCGGTTGGGAAAAAGGCTGCAAACACGATCCGCTAAACAGGCCGTGTTGAATATTTGCAGCCCAGCTAATCTCCCATAGTGAGTGCACCGGGAGCTAGTGCTGAAGGCAAGTATCTTAAACTGTTGCGTGCGCCGAGTTGCCTGCATTCTTATTTTTTCTCGTTAAGAGCCCTTTACCCCTCATCCAAGGATCAATCTAGTATCTTGATTTAGTTTTCTTCAATGCAATCGTTTCGCGATGGCTAGCTCACCCGAACAAACCGAAAGGTAGCCCAGATAGCAACTGTCAACAGAAAGGATAAGGCGCTGAACAATAGATACCATCTCCAGTCAGGACTATTCCGCAATATGTCTACGTTCATACCGAAGAGGCTCTGGTAGTGGTAATGGTCATCATTGTCAGCATAGGAGTCACGTATCCCAAGGAAATGATAGCTGGGATATGCAGGCACTTACTGATACGAACATTAATGGAATGAAAATAACCTTAAGGCAAGCGTAAGCCACCTGACGCTGAAAATCAAAATTAATTCCAACACTTACAGTAATCCAGCTGAGGCGTTTCGTGCTTGCCGCCTTGTTGATTAACACCCAGGCGAACTCCTGACGATGTTAACGCAAGAATGGGGAGAGTTGGCATGAATACTCACAATTTGTAAAAGTTCCCGTACAGACTTTTCCACGTCATCTAATACCGCCATTGTAGAGATGTCGATGTCCTGAATCATCTCTGTTAAACATGGTTTCTCCTCTACTTTGATCCTGGTATCCGCTTCAATTGCTCTGCGGAGCCCAACAACATGTTACTATAGGCCTCACTGAAGTTCAGTGCGCCTCATGGCGATTCGCGCGAGTTGATCAATTAATTGGCGACTTCTGCCTCGTGCTATAAGCTGTTGGCTCCGCTTTCAGTAGATATTGTTAGTAAGACGCGCAGGATATCATATAGATGTGAGCATACAATGTCCTCTATATTCTTCATCGTTTCTAAACAGATTCCCCGCCACTGTTGGCGTATTTCCTCCAAAAATTCCTTGCAAAATTCATGGACGCTTTCAGGGACCCAGCTGCTTGAAAGCATGCTGACAAAGCCATAGGCAGGGCTTTCCTCAGTCTGTTTAACTGCCCACTCTATACCCCAGAAATGCCGTACCTTTGCAGACCGGTGTTAATTCCTAGAAGGAAAAGATACGGCCATATGAGACGCGACATATCCATCATACTTGGCGTTACTGAGGGTTCTATAACAGAAATATTCAGCACTGCAGCCTTGGAATCCCGATTCAGTGTGAAGCTGAGACCAGGATACGCTTTCCTTGCTATGTAAACTGCCATAGGAGACAGGATCAGTTCTGATGGTAGGCCACAGAGCATATAACCTACCATAATCTGCGCTCCCCAGCAGAGGGTATCCAAGGACCCTTTTCCATGACATTGATCAGCTCCATTGTGTGTTTCTGCCCGCTAGGCATTTGACTAAGCTGGACATAATCCGATGCTTTGTTCCTAAGCGCCAGCCAAAGATCCGATGGAATAGACTTGATGTCCGCACCATGCTTAAGGAGTTCTCTGACCATGTTTACTCTCTTCTCCATCAAAGCATATTGCAAGGGAGTCTTGCATGAGTTGTCCTGAATGTTCAGATGTGCTCTTCCCGAAATCAAAGCTAAGGCAAACTGGTCATCTGCCATGGTGCACACAAGGTGCAGTGGGGTTTTCCCTTCTGCATCAGTGCGGTTGATGTTATATCCTTTGCCAATGAGAGCGCGCACCAGGTCCAAAGCCTTCCGCTCTCCAATAATACTAGTCTCCCTGAGTAGTAGGTGAAGACTGTCCCTATTAATGTCTTTAAGAAGTTACATGATAGATTCTTTCTCATTTTCCAAAGCCCATATTAACGGAGTTTTGCGGAATATAATAACATCAGCGGGGTCAGTCCTGTTCAAATTACTATGCTGTGCTGCTGCCCATTGTTCCAGGTCTTGAATATTTGGATTACCGTCTCGCTGAACTAGTGCCTGTGCCATGGCCTTGTCTCCATGCTCAGCAGCCCAAGAGAGTAGAGTTCGGCCATCCTGATCCTTGACGTCCGGGTCTGGAAGTAACATGATTAAGTGGATGAGTTGGAAAGGGTTTTGTTGGGGTCTGTACTTTTGCCGCCGACTTCTGGTTCTTAGAAGTACCCAGAAAGGGGTGTGCCCTTTGTTATCGGCATAGAATGCATTAGCATTGTTTTGCATTAGCAACTCCATAATATCTTCATAGCAAAGCGACGCTGCGTGAAAAAAGGCTGTCTGCCTGTCACTGTCCTTGTGGTCCATATCAACAAGGCCGGTGGCCAGTAGGATTTGTACTACATTGGCTTGATGCGTCACAGTGGCCCATACCAGTGGTGTTCTTCTCTTATTATCTTCAGAATTGACGTGGGCGTTTGCGTTGATAAGGGCCTGCACGATGCTGGCATACCCAAGATCTGCTGCGTAAGACAAAGCAGCTCGGCCTTCACTATCAGGACGATCCACATCAACGCCTGCTGATGCCAAAAGCTTGGATACTATAGTTTCATGTCCTTTCCGTGTTGCCCACAACAGTGGAGTGTGCCTGAGTTTGTCTTCAAGATTAATGTCCGCACGTGAGGTAAGGAGAAGCTGTATAATTTCTCTATAACTGAGTTCCGCTGCATGGGATAATGGTGACCGGCTGTTAGGGTCTAGATAATCCACATCAACGCCCGCCAATGCCAAAAGCTTGGATACTAGAGTCTGATGTCCTTCTTGTGTTGCCCATAACAGTGGAGTTCGTCCACATTTGTCTTCTAGATTGATGTCCGCATTTGAATCAAGGAGAAGTTGTACAATCCTAGCAAGACCAAGTTCCACTGCATGTGACAGTGGAGTTCGGCCGTCTGTATCAGGAATGTTGTCGTTAAGGTTGTCCACTGACAGTAAAAGCTCAGTTGTAGCCTTGTTACCTTTGATTGTTGCCCAAGCAAGAGGGGTCTGCTTTTTCCAGCCTTCTGCATTAACATCAGCCCCAGCTGCCAAGAGCTCTTCGATCACCTCTTTGGTACTGGGGAGAAAATGATCTGGTTCTCCAGTGGTTGCTGCCCAGGGCAATGGCGTGCGGTCGCCACTATCTTGCAAGTGATGCTTTGCTCCCTTGCCTAGGAGATGCTTCAAGGACTGAGCTTGCTGAAACCCAGCAGCATAAGAGAGGGCAGACCGCCCCTCACAGTCGGTCATGTTCACATCGATCTGACCGTGTTGTAAGAGCGCCTCAAGTAACCAAGGTTCTGTAGGCATCCTCGCCGCCACAACCAGGGGCGAGAGGCCATTGATGAAGAAATTTGGAGTTAGGGTGTTGTCCTCTAGCAACTTTTTAATGCGGTCCTTTATATTATCTCTTTTTCTCCTCTTTTCCCCCCTTTCCCCTTTTTCCTCTCTCTCCTTGACTCCAGGCTCTGGATTGCCTCAAGTAGTTCGATTTGCATTATTTCCTGAAAATGCTGAAGTGGATTAAGCTTTAAACTAGAAGCCATCCTAGATTGGGAGAATCTTGATGTTGGGGGAAGCTACTAGTAGAGGAGCTAGTGGCAATGATAATTAAATGATGTGAGTTATCCACACTTGAAATTGATGATTTATGAAGTCAAGCCAAACAGGTGGTTAGAGCCTCTATAACTTATTTACTTTTCGTCCTCCTCAGAACAATATACAAGGCTATTTCGGCAATTGCCTTAGCAAGGAATTGTCTGCCTGGATTGAGCCTCAACCACAGGTGTACAGTAACACCATTAGTTGGAGACCCTATATTCCCTGCTCTATTCTGGCTATTTGTCCACTAGTATTGTGTCCTTTCTAACTAAGCGGGGTAGCCATGTACATTGGTGCTGCTCCAGAGGAGACAGGAATAATGCAGATAACCTGGGCGCCTATCAGACATAATGTTCACCAGCAAGAGCACTTATGTCCCATGAAATCTCGGGTGGCTTAGCCCTGCTTAGGCCTAATTTGCTAAGTGTCAGGTTGTAGTGCCCTCTGGTATTTTCTCTGTGCGCTGAGTTTTCTTGAATCAGCTTCGCGTGGTTGATGCTAACACTTAGGTCATGTTCTCCGTGCGTTTTGAATTCCGCCAGTTGTTGCTACGTTATCAGCCAATTATGAAGCATGTTGCGGACTTCGCCATAATGTGAGTTAGCAAAGCATGCGCGGGTATCAGGGAGCCGCCGATTTGTACATAGACCCTCTGTATCCATCAGGAGACTGATCAGAGTCAGGACTCGATGAAATTTATCCTTTCATTGGTTTGAATGATTTAGTCACTTCTTTCTACTGCCATAATATCCCATCGTATCAGCAGCCGAATCAAAAGTTTAGCGACCCGAAGAATGGCAAATTACAAAGAGTAAGGCCGTCCCGGACGTCATAGCATGGTATTCATCACTGATGCTTGGATTTAGGATCATTCATTCATCACACTTCACATTCCTTGTCGGCGAGGATAGGACTCCCTTGACGATCCACACAGCAGTTATAAAAAATTATTCAGAATCCTTTGTACGCTCTTATCAGCAATGGTCACATGAAGGAGTCTAATACTGGAAATGCAACTCTTGGCGATGTGGAAGTAGAGACTTTTATTGGTTTCTGCGAATATGCGTATACTGGTGCCTATGTTACTCCTGACTGTACTCTATCTCAAGAGGCTGAAGGTCGGCATCTTGGTCCGTCGGTTGATGAGGGCAAAGAGCCGAGTTTCAACCATATTACTTGCCTCGCACAAGATGAACCCCTTGACGCCGCAGCAACTATAGCGGATGCCCCAGACCCTTGGGACCCTTGGAATCCCCCTGTTGTTCGGAAGGAAGATAAAAAGAAGAAAAAGAAGAATTCACGGGATTCAGAAGCCAATGATGGACCTCCTCTGGCCCAGATTACTGTTATTTATCCATATAAGCGGCTCTGGGAAGAGTTTTGTTCTCTGAAATTTTGGAGCGATCCAGCATCATCCTCATCGGACCCAGATATTCTGTTCCATGCAAAACTATATGTTTTTGCAACAAAATACCTTATCATACCCTTACGCAAACAGTGCCTCAAATCTATTCACCAAGACCTCTGTAACTTCTCACTGAACCGTGAGAGCACATCCGTTATTCTTGAATTGCTGAATTTCACCTACATCTACACTGGGCGAGGTGAGCCTGGTGGAAAATCACTACTTCGAGATTTGGTCATCCACTACGCCGCTTGTGAGGCGCGGACCCTCGCTGATGATGAGAACTTCGCGATTCTTCTGGATTCCAATGGAGAGATGGGTTCGGATCTTGCAATGAAACTAGTGAGGTAGATTTAGCATGTTTAGGTTTATCGCATTTAATGCATTAATGCAAGAACTATGTACAGCATGCTGTAAAATGATAACAAGTAGATTCATGTTGACTTATCAACTTATGGGTGATATTACCCTACTGCAGCATTGCAAGTGGTTCCTGGTGATAGAATAGAACTATATGGACTCTGTGCGATCTGCATGTTGATACTTGAAACTGTGGCATAATTAATTTCACTGTCAGCGTATGTAAGCAGTCGACGGCAAACATCTGTTTTAACTACAGACATATCTAATATTGATATCCAAACCACCACATTGAATTGGCAAATAGTGAGCCTCAATGAAGTTCTGCGGGATCGTTCCACTGTAAGGGATGGTTGACTAGGTTTTGGAGGCTGGGGTGTCGGGCGTAGGCAGTAAATGCAGACATAAAATGCACCTGTATTTCCTTTCGTATACGCCTGGACGCTTGTGAGCGTTGAAAGAAAGTTGCAGCACCCCCATCAATGTTATCGAATTGGATCGCTTCCACTACCGGATGTCTAGCTAAGTAGAGCAGCACATCTGCAGATTTAAATGAGCTGCAGTGCCGGATTGCTATCAAATGTAGGTTAGGTGGTAGAGATGCCTGCATAGATATGGTGTTACAGTCCACGCCCAGCCTCTGAAGAGAAGGAAAGTCTGCGAAGGATCTAAACTTGGGAGTCTCATTGTATGGTATGCGGTGGTCATGATCGTGCATAATAAGTTCTTCAAGATGATCTTTGTGAAGAAGCAGAGCTTTATATATATCTTGAGCATTGAGGGCTACACGGCCTAAAAAAGGCTCTTGGCCAAAAAGAGGAGGATGATAATGGAAGTATAGTAGATGTTTGCAGCTCCTGATCACCACACACATAGCTTGTGAACCAAGGTCACATCCCTCAAGCACGATATGCTCAATAGGAAGGCTGGATACTGGTAGCTGTAGTGTTGATGGGCCGCATGAATGATACCTCAGTGTTAGCCGAGATAACTGTGGAAAATGATGTATAATTTCCCATATCTCGGGCCCACAATTCACACGGCGAAAGTCTTGCAGCTGTTGAAGAGGGAGATCACCTGGAGCGAACTGTCTCTTGAGCAGGGGCAACAAATTCAGGCGTCTAGGTGTTGCAAATTATTGTATGTTTGGAGCCAGAGAGAGCAGTAGGCTAATTGATCCCTGTACAGCTGCATCGTCATCGTAGTCATCAGTCTCATTAATAAGCACTGATTTGACATGCCGACTAAGGGCGTGGTCTCTAGTGATCATGTTCAAAAACAATTGGAACCTTCTCTAAGTTCGCTTCAGGTCGCCGCTCCCTTTGAACGAAGCATACAGTGGAGGAAGGCATGCTTTATAAACCTGTTTAGAGACAAGACAGGTAGACACAAAATCTGAGGGAGGCAGGTTATGAAAGATGATCATTAGAATCTCAGGTGGTAGGTCACTTAGAACCGCCATTGGAAAACGTAAGTCGACTTGTTTCAGCTTATAGCTGTAGGAAGTGTACAGACTTGCCGGCTATGGGGGTTCTTCCATTTATTATTTAAAGGGCAAGGCTGATGGGAAGGACGCCTGGCCCTGCATGTTGCAGCACAGCCACACTACTGGCATCCGCCAATTGGGGTACCTCCATGTGGCTTAACTGTTCTCCTTTTCAAATCTGCCACCACTATTTTAGCATAGGACGTTCCCTATCTCTCCCCCTCACCCCATATAGATTCGTTACGATATACACACCGGTGGATTAGAACGAGACTTATAGGCACGACGTGTATTTAGATACACCAATATATAAATGCACCTAGAGCCAGTCTATCCAGATGCACTTATCCACTGTTAGGAGAGTCTCTTGCTTGTATTTTATTTGGTCTACCTTTTGTAGCACCTGCACCAGCCATTATAGATTTGTTTTGCTTCTGCAAGACTTTCCAGGTCATATGCATACAATGCATACCGTCTTGATAATTTTTTTGCTAACCAACTTCAGGTGATTTGGGTTGGTTACCCCTTTCTCGTTACTATGCATACATCTATATCCATGTGATCAAGAACAGTGCTCTCCCGTCTGTGGTATCAACTGGCGTACTGATCTACTCTGCAACAATTTGGGTCATGAATACTAAGTGACAAGAGCCCTCCTATCCACCGTAGCTTGGGAATATGGCTCACTAAGATGGTCACTGAGAAGACTGAGCTCTAATAGAGTTTTGGAGTCGCATACAAATGACTAGCAATTTCCAAACATTATACTGTATAGAGCTTTCTAACAATGGGTATTGTACGATATAATACTTAAGCCACGAGACATCAACTAAGGCTGAAAGGTAAAGGCGAATGGTCTATAACAACAGGAACAAAGACAACAGGAAATTAGAAGAGGATAATACAAACGCTGGGGAAATGATCTTGGTCTACTATATCTGCAAGAAACACCAGAACAGCTTCTTCCTCGGCGTATTGTCATGGAGAGTGTGAATGAAGAAAGGTTAGGTTATCAAGCGGTGGACAGTAGCCGCATGATTTTGTAAATGCATCTCATGGAGGAAGTCCTCAGAAGTATCTCCACAGAAGTTGCATTTGCGGTTGTCAAGATGTTTGCTTCGGAAATGCTGGAGAGTCAATTTGTATTGTGTCCACTCCTGAGTGTGATGGTTGTCAGGAAGGCTGCTGTTCCCAAAACATTGAAAGCACCTTCGCAGCTTTTTCACTGTCTGAATATGCTCCTCGGCCTTCTGAAAAAGAAGCTCTCAAGTGGAAGGTTGTTTACTCAGCTGGCTGCATTCATTAGAGTTACGCTTACCGCTAGGCCGCTGTTCATTGTTGAACGCATCACTTGGTGCCTTACGTTTGGGGCGCCCCCGTAAGGGACCTCCTTCGCGAATGGGATAATATTGTGAGACTGCCATTGTGGCCGCATTCCGACGCCCCCATTCTCCTTCGAGCGATGGAGATGTCGGCCATGAAAAGAGCTTTTTAATCAGGTGAATCCTTTCAGGTGGCATCTTATCCTTGGTCTGGAGAACTTCCTTGGCTTCCTTGTCATTGAGAGCTGTCCCAGAGAGTTGACGCTTGATGTCTATGACGGCCTGCTTCCTATCAAATTCCTCTCGAGTCTTTTTCCTGAGCGCCTGATACAGTCTGTTGTACGTGCTCAGGACTTTACGTCTTAGTCATTGTAACTTTGACAGCATCTGGCTGCTGGGGTTCTTCTGATATGCTATCTCCTGCTGGTCCCACTGGCTGACAGCAGCAAGGTATTCAGGATGCTCGCGAATGGATGCCCTTTGTTAGTCAGTTAGTTTTTGAGGTCGTCTCTTGTCTATCCACCAACTGATCCGTGTGATTGCGCGCATGAGGGTTGTGTTTGAATCTCGGCCATTCATGATATTCTGCATATCCGCGTCGATGTGACGGGGCAGATAGTGATTCAAAAACGTGCGAATATTAGCGTGTTTCATGATCAGATTCTGTTTAGCTTCGCTCACCGCGCCTGTCATTTCCAAAAGATTAGTTTCATGTTGTACTTTCAGTTCACGGTTCAGAACTGGTGCCATGGGTGCAAACCCACCACTTTTATTAAGCATCTTTCCACCTCCATATCGAAAGCGATGTGCAAAGAAAGAATGAAGCCAGCCATGAATTTCCCCAAGGCTCTTAAGTCTTCCAGACATCATAGATTCGTTCATCGGCTTAGTCCATTGGATGTCAACCTCCCCTTTAACAAGTCGGGTCATACAAAAGATATAATGCTCAGCGATATTGGATTTCAGCGGCAATTCCAATTGCTGTCGACCATCCTTGACCAGGAGCCTTCTGAGGTCTTCCATTGACTTTAAATTTGGGGCCTCAAAAGCGTCGAGCCAAAAGAGAATCCCAAATAGAAAGACGTGCGGACTGAATATCAACAAAGGATCATCGATGATCTCGGGTAACGGAAAGTTGTTGCTAGGCAAAGTCAGTCAGTAAGCCAGCACCATGTTTCCTATCTGGTTTGGTTATCATATCACACGTACTGTTGAGAGATGCCTAAAAACTTCTTCACATGTTTTGACCGGATCTCTACTAGAGGAATTGGAGGACCTCCAAGGGGATCTTGCTGGATAGAAAACTGTAGGTGCTTGAACTGTAGCAACAGAAGCGCCTGTAGGCAATTTACTGTGTATATTCCCAGCATAGTGAAAAGGCATATTTGGATGCGCTTAAAGCCCACATGAAATCGCTTCTCTTGAGAACGCAGAGTTGTCTTGTTGAACTCCGTCAAGTCTTGAACATAGACTGGAGTCTTTTCTTTTTCATCTGTATCCAGCTCCCATTTGTCAATGAGCCTTTGAAGGCCCTTTGCATTCATAAGCACCTACACGAGATTGAAATTAGGGGTCGACGTACAGCATTGATCTCTTCGCAATAATCATTGCTGATACTCTGCCTGGTAATACGGTGGTAGTAGCCCTGGAAACTCTTCCATTCTGTATAGAGCGCGCTTGCTTTCTTAAGACCCTTCAAACGTCGACCATTAATCCCCCATTGGAGCTTGCCACAATAATTGAAGAACTGATGGACGTCGTTAGGGGTAATCTGGCGAAGAGCATCGCTCGGGTCGTTCCATTTCTGGGGGGAATTCGGCTCTGCTGCTTTAACACGGCAGTATCTAATGGTTGTTAGTAGGAACAATGAACGGGACTGGACCTGTATACTTACTTGTGCCAACGCTTCTCGATATGTTCCCCCTTTGCTTTGTTTTAAGGCCTCTCCCATAATCCAGTGGGACATCAGCCAAGTCTTCATCTGTATCATCATCTGGATCATCGCTGAAATCTGGCAGATCGACCTGAGCCTGCGAGGGACGGGCTTTATTTTGAGCACGAGGCAGAGACCGACCACCATTAACAGCAGCTGGTTTAGGCGAGTCCGGTACAGTCACATCTGTTAACACCGAGCTGCTGTCTGTCTCGCTCTCCCCTGAGCTGAGTCGAAATGACTCTCCTGAACTGTCACTACCCCCTTCAGAGGGCTGTTTGGTAGGGCGTGTGGGACGAGAACGTCGACCCATAGGGCTGAAGATATCCTTTGATGTCGTGTGATGTGGGTTTATCTTGCCGACGAAAGAACAAGAGAGGAAGAGGAAGTTGTTTGACAGATGATGACTGGGAGCCAGCTGGGTTGCCTGCGATCTATATCTGGCTGATTACGTAACCAGGAAGATGCGACTATCACAGTCACAGTAGGTGGCATAGGGCCGTGGACGACGAAATCCGTACAGAAATGCAAGTCAACAAGGAGAGTGACATGTTTTCCATTTTCCAGAGAGAAAATGACCCCGAATCAATTGACATGGAGGTGAGTCGTTAGCTGTTAGGGCATAAGACGATCACTTGCACGATGTGTGGGAGATTGATACGGTATGGTAAGTGGCTTGTACCAGGATCACAGCATAGCAGACGGAGTTGTGTGGGTGTAGGCGGGACGGTGCGTGTCCCGATCGGCCTGTGCCAGGGCGGCCGAAATAGGCCGCAACTGAGGCCAAAAACGGCAGCCGCAGCACATATTGCAATTGTTATCTAGGTTAATTATAGTAGGTCTTTTATCTTGGTTAGGAAGCCTTGCAGCCTAGTATAGGTTCTTATAAGTATAATTAACCTCTATTAGTAAGGTAGTATTAGAGGTTTAATCCTAAGAGGGGACTTAACTAAGATTTAGATTATTAGATTACTTAATAGATTAACCCTTACTAATAACCACCCCTTAGGGCTGACTCCCTATTATAATAAGGTTAGGGGCCTATATATATATATTAAGTTTAAGTATATAATAGCCTAAGGCTAAAGGGCCTGTGTTACTAGCTACCCTTAGAACCTAGTAATAAGGCTAAGGCCCTAGGATATACTCTAAGCAAGGGAGAGATAACTATTAGAGGTTATAATAAGACTTAAAGATATATATATATAGGAGCTAGGCATAATTAACTATAGAGGTTAATTATAGTAGGCCTTTTATCTTAATTAGGAAGCCTTATAGCCTAGTATAGGTTCTTATATACTTATTATTACTACTTTAATTTATACTTACTAGATCTATCTCTTCTAAGGTAATATTTAATTATAAACCCTTTATATATATTAAAATCTAAACTACTAAACTAATCTATATAAATTATCCTTCTTATATACTTACATATAATATATATATATATAAGTAATTCTTATTATAGTCTTTTAAATTATTATCTTCTTTATTCTTATTAGTAGTTATATTATCCTATCTTTATTAACTAATCTATCTACTTATAAGATTAGCTATGAGAGTCTGATATTAACTAGTAAAATTAGTATAAAGGAAGTAAATAACTATATATTACCTAAGTAAGGAGAACTAATTACTAAGTTATAGAATACTTAGTAACTAGTAGAGATAATTATAGTATATGTTATATAACCTAGTATATATAGTAGTCTTATAGTCTGCTATAGCCCTTAAAACTACTCCTATAGAGTATATTATATATCTATATACCTAATTGCTTATTCCCTAGCTCTAAAAGCCATCCTTATCCTCCCCCTACTATAAAGGGCCCTATTATTCTATAGATTTAGTATTTCTTATTCTACTAGATAGGATAGATAGGCCTAGAGAGATTAAGATAATTATAGAATCACTAGGCTAGTATAAGTTAAATATATTTATTTCCCTTTATTATATATATATATATATATTCATAAATGAAATGTCTCCCTAGATCTAGATGACCCTACTATATATATATTTATTAACTAAAGGTCTACCTACATCTGAATGACCTTAATATATATAGTTTAGACCTGTCAAAGCTAAATCACCTAGTCTAGATACACCATCCAGGGACCTATCAAAGCCGAATCACTAGGCTGAGCCATACTGAATCAACTAGTCTAGATAGCCCACGCAGGGATCTATCAAAGCTGAATCATCTAGTTGAGATAGCCCACGCTGGGATCTATCAAAGCTGAATCACCTAGTTGAGATAGCCCACGCAGGGATCTATCGAAGCTGAATCATCTAGTTGAGATAGCGCATGCAGGGACCTATTGCAGCTGAATCACCTAGTTAAGATAGCCCACGCTGGGACCTATTAAGGCCGAATCACCTAGTTGAGATAGCCCATGCAGGGACCTATTGAACCTGAATCATCTAGTTAAGATAGCCCACGCAGGGACCTATCAAAGCCGAATCACTAGGCTGAGCCATACTGAATCAACTAGTCTAGATAGCCCACGCAGGGACCTATCGAAGCTGAATCATCTAGTTGAGATAGCCCATGCAGGGACCTATTGCAGCCGAATCAACTAGTCTAGATAGCCCACGCAGGGACCTATTGCAGCCGAATCACCTAGTTAAGATAGCCCACGCTGGGATCTATCGAAGCTGAATCATCTAGTTGAGATAGCCCATGCAGGGACCTATTGCAGCTGAATCACCTAGTTAAGATAGCCCACGCTGGGACCTATTAAAGCCGAATCACCTAGTTGAGATAGCCCATGCAGGGACCTATTGAACCTGAATCATCTAGTTAAGATAGCCCACGCAGGGACCTATCAAAGCCGAATCACTAGGCTGAGCCATACCAAATCAACTAGTCTAGATAGCCCACGCAGGGAGCTATCGAAGCCGAATCACCTAGTTGAGATAGCCCACACAGGGACCTATTGAAGCTGAATCATCTAGTCTAGGTAGCCTGCTTATAGGCCTCTCCCTACTATACTACTAAGTCTAGATCTACTCTCTAAATGAAATCCATGAAACATTAACTTCTATAAATTTTTAAAAATTCTAGGCTTCATATTACTAAGTATGCTATATATCATTCTTCTAGTTAAAATTAGGCCAGTTCACTAAAAATAATGGTGATTAGTCAGCAGGTAATAAATTTCAACAAGTCTTTTAAGGATTTTTAAAAAATCAGGAATCATGCTTATATAATCAGACTATTATCATTCTATAGCTAAAAGTCCCTACTATTTACTAAAAATATTAATTATTAGTCATCTTGTACTAGGCTCTTCATAAATACTAGAAATTATTTTTCTCATAACTTCTGCCTGAATTCTAAGGCCCTACTAGGCTATTAGATGCCTCAGGCACTAATCCAGGCTAGGTGGTGGCCTAAAAGGGTATAGACTTCCCGCAGATAATCATCTTGGCACACCCCAACAAAAAATTTCGACCTGGCACCTACCCCCCTAGTTTAACCACCTTGCTAGCGAATAATCAAGGATTTGATATTAGAATATAATAATTTAGCTAATTAGATTCATAAAGCATTTTAAACCATTCAAAAATATCAAGAATTGACTAAGATATGGGCCATTGCTGTGGAGTCCGCCAAGGCAGGATGATCAGGACCGTGGAATCCGGACTGGACGGGGAATGGACGTGGAAACTGCGGTCACCAGGCCCTGCGGTCGGCCCTATTTAGTATGGGAACCGTGGAGTCCGCGCACAACACCACTAGTAGGGTCACCCTGTATGGTGCCTCACTAACTACCTCTCTCCCTGCCATGCTGCCTGCTGGGCATGGGGCCTCTCTGGCTGCCTCTCTTGCTACCATGCTACCTGCCTGGCATGGGGCCTCTCTGACTACCTCTCTCCCTACCTCTCTCCCTGCCTTGCTGCCTGCCTTGCTGCCTGCCTTGCTGCCTGCCTTGCTGCCTGCCTTGCTGCCTGCCTTACTGCCTGCCTTGCTGCCTGCCTCGCTGCCTGCCTTGCTGCCTGCCTTGCTGCCTGCCTCGCTGCCTGCCTTGCTGCCTGCCTCACATGGGGCCTCTGAGGCTGCCTCACCAGGCACTGGGCTTCTACTAACCCTGGCTGGATCCACCTCCGGCTCTGCCTAATTGGGATCACACCCATCATATATCTGCTCCCTGGGATCTGAATCCTGGTAATACTGCTGCTGATACCCGTTCACCACTCCATCTAAATACTGATCTAATACGACCCGGCGGCACCTAATGCCTTCGACCACCCCTATATACTCAGCAACCCGCTCCTGGTCCTCAGGGGCGACGCCCTTCATCCATGGAGCTGGGGCTTCCCACCTAGCTGGCTGGATAATGATTGCCTCACTGCGCTGTCCATCTCGCCTAGCCCGGCCACTCTCCTGCGCGTAATCCAGTAACGTCCGGGGGTCCTAATATAGATGATGCTGTGGATATTAGGGATGTCCACCCCCATGCCCAATGCGCTGGTGGCGGCAATCACAGGGCTGGCCCCTATGAACCGCGCCAGCACCCTGGCCTTGTCCAACTGCTTGCTGTAATATGCCTTATACCTAAGCACCCGCGCCATGGCCGTCACCTGCCCAATGATATTTACATATATAATCACCTTCCCCCAGCAGCCCATTGGATGCAGTCCTGAATGAATGCTACCACCGCCTCACTCTTAATCCATTGATATGGGCCCTGGCCCACCCCAGTCATGTCTGGCCGCCACACCTGGTATGCCATGTTCGGCCGGCTGGTCCGGGCCCAGTATATGGTCACGGCGGCCCGGTCATACTTCATCCACCAGCATAATTCAGCCTCCATGCTCGGGGGCAACGTGGCGGTTAACCATACCATCTAGGTGTGGGCCTGGACTAACCGGCCCAGCTGAGCCATCTGGGGCCAGAAATTGTGTTGGGAATTCAACACCACATGGCATTCATTGATCACGATCTGGTCTAACCGCCGGGTCCACCGCAGCCGGTTCAAAAACATCTGGAAATCGGGGCTTACCGCGGATTCAGGCGTCACTAACATGATGGATGCAGCATTGGGGGGCCGCCGGCTCTCCCATGGCACACACGATATGCCGAGCTCCTGGCAGCGCCTGGTCATATCAGCCCGTAATGCAATGAGTGGCACCACAATGATGGTGGTGCCCCCGGGGGCGGTGAACACAGGCACCATGAATAGCATGCTCTTCCCCCCACCAGTGGGCATCACTGCCACCATGGGGCTCTCACCCCGCTGGATGGCCCGCATTGCTGGGTCCTGCACCCCCTGGAACCGCATGTCGGGCCGCCCAGTCATGCGCTGCGCGGCTGCCTCTAGATCCTTGGTGGCCAGCTGGTGGCGGCATTTCATGCGGCTGACCTCGGCCTCATCCTCCCACGGGGCCTGTTTGCGCTTGCCTAATATGGATGGGTGGCCCGGGGCGCTAAACCCTAAAAACTAATGCTAATCAGTGCTGGATAACTGGAACATCTCCTGCTGGTGGGCTGTGCTGCCGGCCTATTCCTGCATGACACGGCCATATACCATGCCGGCAATGTATGATGAATGGGCGGCCTGTAAATCAGTAATATGGCCTATCCACTGCTTAATATCCATGCCCTCCTTAGCATCAGCATCCATGGCAGCTGGGGCTGGCTTGGCCTCCTGGATATTATGGGGAACGCGGTGGATGGCCGCAAAAATTGGCGGCTGATGCCAATGGCGATGTCCTGGTATGCGGTGATATGGATGGCGGTGCCTAGCCGGGTGCGGGTTTCCTGTTTCAACGCCTCCTGGAACCGCTCAGACGACCATTCGCGGCCAGTACCGGGGTCGGGGCCCCATAACCATGCCTGCATGGCCTGGTTCCCCTGCGTGGGCTGGCTCCCCTGCATGGCCTGGCTCCCCTGTGTGGGCTGGCTCCCCTGCGCGGCGTCACTTCCCTGCGCGGCCCAGCTTCCCTGCATGGCGTGACTTCCCTGCTCGGTGTGACTTCCCTGCGCTGCCTGACTTCCCTGCGCCGCCTGCGCCGCCTGCGCTGCCTGCGCTGCCTGCCATACAGCCAACTAATTAATGAATAGCATCACCAGCCACATATACCATACCACCAACTCCCCTACCTCCCGCGGCACATATCAATGGATGATCTTCACATCATTGCTAGCGTGGAACCCCTTATGATATGCTGTCACAAATGTCACCATGCCATCCTCAATATATATATTCCGCTGTTAACTGTTCGCCGTGTTGCAATGCTGAATGCTTAACAGCTCTGGGGCCCGCGCCGGCTGCCCTGTGGTGATATGCACCAGAATGGCTAATTTCTCCTTGAACTGGGCCACGCGCTGCTAGTACTGCTGGATGGCACTGTGGTGGAATTGGCCCCCTGCAGGAAATGCCGCTGCATGGCTGGCTTGGCCTGCAGCTGGTTGATCATCCAGTGGGTCCCATCCACCAGCCACCGGGTCTGTGTGTCCTGCACAAAGTTCCACCCAGCCTGGCTCTGGCTGGGATTGTCATATAATGCTGTCCATGGAATGGGGGTATATGCGCATGATCTTGCATGCATAACTGGCCTAGTATCTCCCACGCCGCAGTGACTAACCCATGGATGAACCCCTGAAAATCCCCCATGGTGAATGCCATCTGCTGGTATAACAGCTGGTCCTCCCCCATCCATGTCACATGGCCGGGCGCGGTATGATTATAATGGACCTTTAATCCATATGTGTGCTAGTCTAGCAATGTTTCCATGGGGCTGTGTGTCCCATGGATCATAAACTGGTGCATTATCCATGTCACCTGCTCCTGGAATGGTCGGCGGCTCTGGTGAATGTTGACCATGGGCAATGGGTCATCGCTATGGATGGATGATGGGGGTGATGATGGTGGTGATGATGGGGGTCATCACTGCTATATCCCTTATTAATCTCCCCAAGTTGATCATCTGCGCTAGCTAGCACCCATTCAGCACTCTGGTCCTTTTGTATCCAGGTCTGAATGATCTGCCATGGATTGGGGTCCATCTATAATGCTTTCTGGACTACCATGAATCAGGCCACCTTGATCATGTGGGATAATATTAGGGGGTAGCTCTCAGGGTCCCGCCAGCCAGCCTCACCCTGACCAAGCACCGCCATGGCGCATACTAATGCACTCTTATATTCATGACTGTGATGGCGCTGGTTGAGCAGCTTAATGCAAAATTCTAAGCATGCTTTTTCTATAGCAGTCATCACCTATACCTCTAGGTCCTCTGGGTCCTCTAGGTCCTCCCAGTCCTCCTGGTCCCCTGGAACTGCGGCCTGGCTAGTGAGCTGCCACAGCTGCCGCCATTTCTGGCGCTGCCGCACGGTCATCCTGTATTTCGGGCTAGTCTAGTCGTGCGGCGCCTGCGTGCGGGCAATGAATGCTAATATCTGCTGCTATGGATGGACATGCTTCTGGATTGTGGCCTCATCCATGTATGCCAGCAGCGGCCAGTATGGTGTCTGCCCCTTTTCAGACTGGACTGCTTCCACCTGGATCACCTAGCCGCAGTGCTGGACTGTCTGCTGGCTCTTACAGGCAACCTGCTCTATTATACACCAGATCACCTGCACGCGCTGCTCAGTGGCATCCTGAGGATCTTCCTCCAGGGCCGCCACGCAGGCAAGTAGGTTGTGCGCCTGGATACCCTGCAGATAGTTGGCCTACCAAGTCATCCGCAGCCAGGGATTCGCGTCAGTCAACTGGCTTGCCTGGATGGCCTGATCGGCCTGAGTGCGGGCCTGCGCCTGCTCCCACGCCTGCACCACCTCATCCACCACTATCTGGACGGCATTAGTTGGTGGTGGTGGATGGCAGTCATTTAGCTGGCGAACACATATATAATGGGACCCTTTTTAGGATGGGAAAAACCGCTGGCAGGTCACTACCTGATATCCCTGCTGGATTGCATTTTGCACTTGCTCCTGCTCCCAGTGACTTGGACGACCTCCCTTATATGGGACTTTCCACCCATGATGCTCACGCCAATGGCGTTTCATCTTATTAATTGATCGGGTGATATATTGACAATGAGTGAAGTCTCGCTGGCATAATAACCCATCATGATATTCATCCACGTGGGGAATTGACTGGCTGATCTAACTAGGCTATTGAATAGCTTGGGGGTCATGCTCTACTCCTGTCCATGTCTGGATGACCTGGTGGATGTGCTTTGCAGTGGCCTGGGGTAATTGATGGGCTTTCCCCTGGAGATGACTTTCTACCTCTGCTGGCCACACCCCATGGCGGCAGGTCTGGCAGATAATGATTAGTGGCTGGTTAAGCTGGATGAATAACTGCTAGTCCATTCTTAATGGATGGTTTAGATGAATATAATACTATTAAAGTAAATATCTAAATGATGATGGGATTTAAAAGATGATGGGATTCAACCCCTGAATATTCTGTTTGTGCGCTTTGCTTTTTCTCTGCGGGAACTCAAACCACATCAAATCCTTGATCTAATATGTCCTTACCACGCCTGTAAATCATTAATTTTGATACTGAAATTTGATTGCATTAATTGGAACTAGTATATCAGTGAGCTGGCTAAATTTAATCTCCCTCTAACCTTACCTGAAGCCATGGTGGTGATTATTGGTAGTGCTTTTTAGATCCACGCTGCTCAGCGGGAACTTAAACCACGCCTAAATCCTAGGATTAAATGCCCTCACCACGCCTGCAAATCATCAGTTTTAATACTGAAATTTGGCTGCATAAAAAAAAACTAGTATATTAGTAAGCTGGCAAAATTTAAAATGCCTGCAACCTGACCTGGAGCTATAGTGTTGATTATAGGTAGTGCTTTTTGGATTCATGCTGCTCAGTGGGAACTTAGACCACATTAAAATTCCACATATAAACCACACCCTCACTACATCCGCAAATCATCGAATTCCACATTGAAATTTGGTCAGATTATGCTGAATTAGCTAGCCAGTAAGCTATCTGAATTTGAAATGCATATGACTCTGTCTGGCGCCACGACCCTACCTCTCAGTTCAGAAGTCGGACCCTTCTCCGCCAAGCCAGCCGCTATCCCGCTTCGGGCCAAACCCGAACTCGGACTCTAGTAGGGTCCTCCGCCCCTTGTGGGATAGGCTATGATACCTTAGAAAATATATAGGAACCTATTAAGAACCTAATAGGCTGCTACCAACTTATTTAATAGTACTGTTTAAAGGGAAATCAAAGTTCTCCTAGAAGGAAGGAGGCATCTAATTAATCTCTATCATTATCTAACTAAAATTAGGATTATCAGAAGTCACAGCTAGCTATTAGACCTCAGCAGTAGGATTAGGCTAATTAGATGACTTCTTCTTATCCAAGATCCACAGCAGTTCAGTATCATATTCTGACATTTTAAAACTATGTTCTTTGAGAAACTTTTATTATTTTTGAAGTTGTAAATAACAAGCCAAGGACTTAGTGACCTTCTGTTATTTTTCCATTAACTCTTTCTAGATCTTTTCTAAGTGCTCTTGCAACTATTAAAGCTTAGGGTAGAGAAGCTCTAACTTATTATTAGTTACAGATAACTTAGAGGTAATCTTCTTTTTAGCTCTCTTTAAAATATCCCACTCCTTTTTAGTATGAAAATCTTTCTTACATAACTAACCCTAACAGGTACACAATGCACATTTTAAATAGTGATGAGTTTAATCTATTATATAAACCTCACCTAACAACACATAGTAATCATAAGGAAAAGAAGTCATGAAACTATTTTTAATAATATATTCTTCCTAATGAATATAACCAGTGACTTAGTTATGGTTATAGGGAAGTTTAAGAACACCTTTAAGAATAGTGTCAGCACGATGCTTTAGCATGATGAGCAAACATGGTTTAGAAAATAAAAAACACACCTACCTAGGAAAGCACTGCCTTTTGAATCAAGTTTTGAGGACGAAATACTAAGAGAGGGGGAGGTAATATTACAGCACTAACACAGCTGCACTAGTACAGAGTGGGTATGACAGGTAGAAACCTAAGGATCAACAATCACCAGTTAATCCTAGAGCGATCAGGACATGATCTGGAGAAATGCTTAATCTAGACAGGTTTCCACAGAAAAACAGTTTAGTAGGACATAACTGAATATATTTCCCAACAGACCATTATTACATAACATGATAGATGGGTATATGGAATTGATGATAGAAGGGTATTATAATCATCTACTATTCTACTACCATACCCCATATCACCACTATTACCTGGAGGAACTATGGATATATAAGGACATTCATTATCACTATATCTAGCACTCTTAGTTTAGTTCCTTGTATTTAATATAAGTTATTCACTTAAGTACAAGTTCACTAGTCTAATTCATTAATTACTCTTTACTATTAAGTATATGTACTTAATAGGCCTTGCTTCTATCTCTACTGTTATTATTCTTATGTTATCTTTGGTTGTCCTTAATCCAGTCCAGATCATTGTATCATTACATTATTAGGCTACCTGGTTGGTAGGCCTTAGGCAAGTATCAGATATAGTCCAGGGACTATATCACCCCGTTCCCAAAGTAGTTGACTAGCAGAGAACAGCAGAGACGGATCCCAGGGTGTGACAATAATTACTATATATTTTATATAAAAATTATTATTTTATATAAGCATGCTTAATAGGGGGTATTAGAGGGGTCCCTAAAGGGGGCCCTAGGGGGAATGGTAAGGGTTAAAATAGTTAAAATTAGTAGTTTAACTAACCTAAAACCAAACTAAATCTAACAGTGGTTAGTTAGTATTAGAGTTGCATTTGGTGCGGGTTCGGGCGGGTTCAAGCCTAGTTGGCACCGAACCGCTGCGGTTTCGGGTTCAAAATTTAGAACTCGCACCAAACCCGGACCCAATGCGATTCGGTTGCAGTTTTCACCGCAAAACCCGCTGCTAGGCCTAGCTAGGCCTAGCTAGGCCTATACTAACTAACCATGGTTAGATTCGGTTCGGTTTCGGGTTGGTTAAACCACTAATTTTAACCGTTTTAACCCTTACCATTCCCCCCTTCGGGGACCCCTCTGACGCCCCTATCAAGCATGCTTATATAAAATTATGATTTCTATATGAAATATATGGTAATTATCATCATATTAATCTAGATCTAAAATATGAATTCAATATCTATAGGTTTGAATGGGTGGTGGTTAAAAAATCATTTTTAAATATGGTTATTGTCAACAGTCGGTCGCATATATATATAAACTACCACTACTTTCATACCAACCTATGACAGAGATGAAATTCCCTTATATCTCAGCAACCACCAGGTATTTTTGAATAATATTTATATCACTAGATAGCCTGAATCAATATATCACTAGATAGCCTTTGATTCAGGCTATCTAGTGATATTAATATCAATTAAAAATATCTAGAATTCAGTAATTTCTAGGTAAAACGGTTGCGGGTTGGTTAACCTAACTCGCAAAACCGCAAAAACCGTAACCGGCGGTTTTAACCGAACTCGAAGCGGTTCCACCCTATGGAAACCGAAACCGGTGCGATTCCCTAGGCTAGGAACCGAACCCAAACCGCTGCGAGTTCGGTGAGGTTCGGGTTCGATTTTTGCGGTTCGGTTATGCAACTCTAGTCTGTTTTTTAACTTATAATGCTTCTGTAAATACCTTTAAATAGGTTGGGTGGTTTTACCTAACTTAAAAAACTACAAAAATTATAACTAGTAGTTTTAACTAAACCTAAAATAGTTCTAGGGTAGAGAAACTAAACCTAAAGTAATTCCCTAGGCTTACCCCCAACCCCACACCACTGTGAGTTCGGTGAGGGTTAGTTACAGTTTTTGTGGGTTGGTTATGCAACTCTAGATATAAGGTCTGCTTTCTCTGGTTTCACACTCTGTGTTGGTGCATACGGATGCTGTTACATAACCTGGCAAAGACTAATTGCAAGTACAGAGGTTCTCTAAAATCCAGGGCTTGGATGCTGCTTGAAGGGCAAGATAAGATTACAATAACAGAACCCTTGCAAGGCATTCTGAAATTAAAGAATTCTTACAATCCAGATGATGGTTGGATACTGGGTCAGAAGAATTAGGAATTCTTCACAAGCACTGGCTATGAACTTGCTTGGCTTAAGGACTGAAGAACAAATTCACATCCATGTCTGCAATGTTGTCATAGGTAACCCTAGCGGTGACCTTCGCTCCATTCTGACATGCCAGGGCTGCTCTAAATACGAATAGGCATGCCTGGTGAAGCAAAGATATTCTGGAAAGTGTCACCAAAAAAATTTGAAACGATTAAAATAGCAAGGGATATACAAGGCTTTATGGGATCAGACGCAGGCAAAAAATGCACAGAACATATTGGAGCGGGTATTATAACAGACAGTTGGGGTTTCACCTGGGGTCATGTGACTTACAGCAAGAGCGCTGCATAATATATATTCTGTAATTAACACAGCATGAGTTGGGTATGACAGCGGGGCCCAATGGAGTAATATAGTGAAGAAGCTTGGATTGATTTTGTTAGTCAAAAGTCCGCTGGAAGGAAATGGGATTATGCTGCCTGGCTTTTATATATATATCATCTCACTTAATGAGCATATATTCATTATTATTATGAATCCAGGCTTGGATAACTAGACATTAGAGCTTCGTATACAGAATTAATTGTGTATTCTAACTACAGTTATGGGATAGTAACTATTTTGCGAAATGAGGAGTTGATACATATAAAAGGTACTAGTAAAACATAAGGGTAATCATTACTAGTTTATATATCTAGCTAGGATCTATTTGAGCGGGGTTTTTGTCTGCGTTTAAGGGATTATCTCCTAAAAACTTTCAACATCACCTCGTCCACTGCCCTGAGATGTGCATTAAAAAGTCCCCCAGTAATGCAAATCATAGTCCACCCCGCCAGGCCTCCACAGCGGCTTAGGAGTGTAAACTGGAATCGGTGACGCAGCTGCAAACACCATTAGCATCAGCAGTCTAAGATCCAAAAACCACTTACTCCCATATCCCGTACTCGGCACCGCCCAGGTCGGCAAACCCGGCGCGAGCCATCCTGTCGGCGAGGCCGTAATGGTGTACGTGCTTGTATACGTATGCCGTTGTTCCCCAGCAGCGAGAGAGACCAGTCCATTGTTCGGACCATACGAATCATCGCCGCGGCCAAAAACATTGTTGACCTTATTGACGACGCTGCTGCCGAACTCGGTCCAGATGGTGAAGTCCTCGACAGTAACGTTACTGGCATAGGTGAGGTTGTTAGCGATGAGGTACAGCGGTGGGCGTTGGATGCCATTTGCCACGGAGCCTGGATGATATTTAATAAACCGTGAAGCTCGAATGAAGGCGAGGGTCTTACCGGAAAAGTTCCTAAAGACAAGATTGCTCAACGTGACCGAGCCTGTGTCTGGCTCGAATGTGTTCTGCCAGTACTGGTTGATGTTTAGCCCGTACAGACTTGCTTTGGAGCGGAAGTTGGCGAATGTGATGTTGGTCACGTAGCCGGAGCCACCGGGATAGGTCTTGATGAAGGCGATATTGTTCCCCTGAATGATGCTGATATTTTGTGCGACCTGTCGATCAGCAGGGCAGCCTTGATGGCGGGAGCCGACCTACTATGTTTGATATTTCGGCAGAGACGTTGAGACTGCCGATGGAGATGCCCGAGCCGGCCTGATTACAGACCAAGTTCTCGATCAAGGCGTGGTGAGAAGGGCTCTTGACGGAGACGCATTCGTCGCGGTTGGTGACCTGACGGTCAGCAAGGCCATCGAATCAAGGATAAGGCATACCTCGTTATCATGGATATGATAGTTTGTGCCAATTGCATCAATACCGTCGTAACTGCCGAGATTAGCACCCCGGATGGTAAGATGGTACGCTTCCACGTTGACGGCAAAGTCGAGCACGATGTGGAACTTCGGGCTATCGACCAAGATCAGGTCATGGACGGAGGCATTCGTTGGCGAGATCAAGCGGACGAGACGGGGACGATCGGTGCTGTCTGGTCAGTATCATCCAACACCATGATGGATAACGTACTTGTTTAGATTCCGGTAGAGATATCCTTGTCCTTGGAAGGCACCGAGACCGTTGGATGAGTAGAACTCGAAGTCAACCGCTGCATTGTCAGTCTATACTCTGCTACAAATGGCCAAATCTCACCATTGACAATAACCAAGACATCTAACAAAAACTTCTGGTCACCCTCCCCATTAATGGTAGCATTCAAAATGTCTGCACCAGCAAAACCCTCAAGGATCAACGCACGATCAATGGTCCAGTTCCCCCATATGCTGCCGTGATGAGACCATCCAGCTGAAACGCCCAATTGGTTGCGTTGCTGAGCACGACGCCGCGGGAGATCAGGTATTGACCCTCAGGAACAATAAGTCTGCTGCCGGGGTTGGGTCGGACACAGTCGTTAAAGGCTGTCTCGAGAGAGGTCGAGATGTCCGTGCTGTTGTCGGCGACAGCTCCATAGCTGAGGATGTTACACTCAATTATCTTGCTGGAGAGAGCAGTGGCCGGGCCTACGGGGCCAATGAGTTGGGCTGCTGCCAGACCGAGAGGGACGAAAAGAAGAGCAAGGATAAGCATGATGTCTTGTGGGATCAGTACTATGTATCTGGACCGAGAAATCTGTTGAGGCATTTATATACCCACATCAAATGGTGCAATGAGGATCAGACTATGGTAATTTTCCGTCCACTGCTCTGCCCATGTATATAGTATCGGTGCCATTTTAGTATGCATGGCGCCATCAACTGCACTAGACTGATCTATCTCTACACTCTACTTTTCAGTCGTAAACGCGTCCCTACTCTCCGTGTCCTCCTTCCGTGTCTTAGACTCCACATCCAAATATGGCTTCTCAGCCTGTGGCGCAACACGCAATCCGTGCCGCAGATGAGGAACTGCATTGTCAGCATGACCCAGAAACAAATTAGGTAGACATACAGTAATCGAAGATCCCCGTGTGGTATGTCACCCGATTATCCCAGATTGCCACCGCGTTCGGCGTCCACTTCCACCGGACCTGATACTCGTAGGCCTCAGCGATGGTCCGGTAGAGCGTATCCAGCAGTGCATCTCCGACCTTCCTCTCGATGCCGACAATTTCTTTGGTGAAGTTCTCATTGACGTACAGCGTTTTCCATTTCGTGACTGGGTGCGTCCGGACAACGGGATGCTCCGTCTTGTTAATCCTTCCGTAGCCCATCCACACATAAGGGTACTCACAATGGTCTCGATCGGATCCCGCCGAAGACAGCCATTCGTCTTCAATGCCTTCTCCGCCTGCTCCAGCCCGCTATGCTTCGCCTCGAGCGTCTCCAGAAACGCCCTGAGCTTCGGTGATAGCGCTAACACTGTCAGCCTCTTCCCATCCAAAATTTTTGCGAACAACATACACTCGTACAACGCATACCCACTTGCCCAGATCGTATCACCCCGGCTACACTCCCCCTGGCCCGCAGCAGGCAGGGTATCCATGCGTAGCATCGTCAGACCAGGTGGCTGCAGCTCATAGCTCACATCCGAATGCCAGATCTGATGCGAGCGGCCATTCACCGCCGTATGGTCCTTGTAGATGGGATGCACCCAAGGCAGATCCGGGATGATGCCCGCCATCTGATGGATGTGCAGCTCGCCGAAATACGCCGCGAAGGCGATCTGCTCGTGCACGTCCATCACCTGGTCGCGGAAGAAGACGACACCCCGCTCTGCGACTAGCAGCGCTAGATCATCTTTCTGCGCTGGAGTGAGAGCCGAGAGCTGGAGGCCAACGATCTCGGTGCCGATGTCTGGGGTAAGGTGGATGACCTCCGTTGCGACGGAGAGGAGGCGAGATTTGGATGGATCGGCATGTTGTCCGCGGTCGGTGAAGGGGTGTGGGGTAAGATTGGGAAGCTTGAAAGGGGTGTAGTTGGGGTACTCTAGGCCTGCTGCGCGGACGGACTCTAGGGGGACACGCCGCGGGGGTGTGGTAGTCTGGGTGGGGGACGTTGGCGGGTTTGGCCGGGAGTTGCACTTCGTTTGCAGTCATTTCGATTGATAATGTTGTACAGACATGCTAAGAAAGAGTTCATCTAGCTTTATAGCTTACCAGGTAACTCCGGTGGGATGCTACCTTTTAATTGAATCTGCTCGCGTCATCCAAGCCAATTTGACGTTATCCCAGACTGCTCTTGATACAGTCACAATCAATATGCAAAGACAATCTCCAGCTAACTATCGAACAAAAAATCCAACCGCTTATTCCCCTCATCCGTCGTAGTCTCCAGATACTCCGCTTTCTGACTCTCACTCATCGCTTCCCAGCGTTGCCTCTTCCACTGATTCCTCGCAACATAGTACACCTTGGCCAACACATACGCTACAATCGTCGCAACATTGATCGCAATCAGCTGGGAGTTACCCCGCCGGTAGTACGGCTTATCGTCCTCGCGGTAGATATTCGATGAGGCGATCCCAGACAGCTGGATGGTGATGTTGTACAGCGCTGCGCTGACCGTACGCGTGCGGACGGCATTGCTCAGCCGCGAGCACCAGCCCACATGTGCTGCATGCGGTGATGGCCATCCCAGGAGCACGAAAGTGACGGCGTAGAGGCCCCAGTGGGAGAGGTTACTGGCAGAAGTGTACAGGATGATCAGAAGCGGAAGCGACCAGAGTTGCGTGAGGATGCCAATGGCTGCAATCTGGTGGAAGCGCTCGGTGAGCTCAGTGACCAGAAGTAGGTTGAGCGATGCGAAGACTGTGACGGGGATACTCAGCAGGGTGGTCTGGAAAGTCGAGAAGCCAATGGCCCGGAGCGAGAGGCTCAGGTAGGATTTTGACGGGGAAGTGGGAATCTCGAACAGGATGCCGATGATGTAGATAGGCCAGAGATCGTAGTCTTTGAGACTACGCCAAAGCATCCCTATGCTCAGCGCCTGTCGGTTATGCATGTCGCCTTTGGAGGGGTCGTCGCGCAGGACCCTGTTGACGATGATCTTCTCCTCGTGCTCGGTGAAATACCCTTTGGGGTTCCACCAGGTGGCTGTCTGGGTCGGGCCAGGGACAAGGAACAGAAAGCTGAGAAGACCGATGACCAGACTGATCAGCGCCTCGATGAGGAAGAGCCATCGCCAGCCGGCTCGTCCGGCCACGCCGCGCATGTGCAGCACGCCATACGCGATGAAGGAAGCGATCACACCCGAGATGGAATCGACAAACCAGAAGAAAGCGAGGCGAAGCGGCATTTCCGTCTTCTTATAAAAGTAGGATAGGTACAGAATCGCGTCGGGGATGAAGCCGCCCATAAAGAACCCGAGGAAGAATCGACATGCAAAAAATCCGGCCCGGTCGTGGATGAAGAACTGTCCCCCCGAGGCCAGACTCCACAGGATTATCTGCACGGGGATCCAACGATCAGGGCCAAGTCGTTTGCCGACCATCTGAGAGGGAATCTCCGCAATGAGAAATCCGACCCGGTACATATTCTGCGCGTTATTGTAGTCGTTGGTGTTGATGCGCAGGTCTGGCAGAAGGTTGTCGGCAGACGCATTACCTAGATTACCCCGGTCAAGGTTGAGGCCGAAGAACATGACCAGAATCCAGAGAAAGATCTTGATGTCCGTCTTGCGTTTCACGGCGACCTCCTCACGATGGGTCCACCGGAAGTCGGGATCGAATCGGTGCAGATTCTCATATTGCGGATGTGGGAGGTAGTATTTGGCCAGCACAGGGTCGTCGAAGACGCTCTTTGCGGTTGCTGTAGCATCCAGGTCGGCTTGCTTCCTCCTTCTAAAGATGGACAAGAAAGACTTAGCGTGTGACTGCTCTTGTGGATCAGCAATGTTGATCGTGAGGCCATCCTTGGTGATTTGCTTATCACTACCTGATGTTGGGCCAGCCATTTTGCATTGATCCAGCATTTACATTCGCGCCTTCCCCTCTTATATCTATGTGAGCCTATTGCATGCGCTGCGTGCTCTACGCAATAATGGTGACAGCTACAGATTTAACGCAATGGGCAAGGTTGAAGTGGACCTGGAATAGGAGATGATGTTGTCATGTAAGTGCAGATGGCATCACCAGGTTGCTTTGTTATCATAAAATCCACCTAATCTTGCTTTCTGAGTTTACTACCCTCTTATTGATGGAAAAACGCATCCTGCATGAGAATTCTGGCCATGATAAGTCTGCTTCGCGATACCAAGCCTTGATGATGTGCTCCGGTGGAGGCTTTGCAACCGCTTTCAGATAAGAAATGAGTACAGTGAGGTCGAAACCTCATTCCGCGCCCCTCAAGCCAAGCTTACCTCCAAACCCTACCGCCAAGGCGCTAATATGCAAGGCTTTATGACGTCATAGTAGGTAATATATATCTTATCAGATCCGTATCTATAATGTACTATACTTAGAAAACTGTAACGACAGATACGCGGTCGGTGGAACTTAACAGAGAGTAAGGTAATGTACTGAGCTCACCAGACCGGCGGAGGAGTCACTGGGGTGGAATCAGATGACTGTTGGAAATAGGCGGTGGTGGTCCGAGATCCGGGGGTGGTGGTGGCCTGACCTGCGTTCTGGAACTGCTAGAGGTCCCGTCTCGATTGGCTGTCCTGTCTGATCTGGCAAGCTGTCAACAGCGACTGCGACTCCTGCATTCCTATCCCACATCTTGCAGTTTGGCTGCAGGAGGAAGCAGGCTGGGGGTCATCACCGGCCAAGGTCTGACAGGCAAGACTCTATTAGTAGTACTGCTGCTCACTGCACAAACCCTGCTCTCCTTATTATCATGGACAGCCCTGCGTTATTAAACAGCCTGTTAGGCATGAGACAGGTGTGGGCTAACTACTTACAGCATAATTACTAGGTGTATCAAAACCATTTCTTCTTTTAAGGATGACTAATAGCCTTTTAAGCTATGATGAAGAAGCCTGTCAGTCGGTGGGAGGTGCATCTCTACTATAGTAATATATATCTCTGCCTCCCACCCCATTGGGGCCTATATGCTGGTAGTCCCCTTACCCCACCCCCTAAACTAATAACTTAGCCTAGTGATTAGGCTGCCTCCCTCCTTACTAACTACCATCTAGGCGCTAGAATCCCTCTCCTAGACCCTGCATAGCTAACCACACTGCCAGGGCCCCTGTTAGATGGTTGTTATAGGGATCCAGCCCCTAGCACTAAATATAGTAAGCATAGGATTAACCAGACCTACTACAGACTACAGCCACCAGGGGACGTCCTACCCTGACCTGCTCATGCTCTCTATCTACATCTAAGTTAGGCTTGCATAAGATGATAAGTATAATATAGTTTATTAGGCGTACTGTTAAGGCACAAAGTACACGTATACTGCTCGAAAGTGCGAAGCCTTGTGCATGAACCAGATGAGATTACCATTAGTCAGAGGAGGATCATGGAGCCTATGGTATAGGTAAACATGCTGTTCTAACAATATTATAGTTCCTTCATTAGTCAGAAACTACTGCAACAGTATAGGGAATTTATGCCCATTAAATCTGATTTGTGAAAACTATAATAGAACTATTGTGGTGCAGAGCTGTTGCAAAGCAGAAGGTAATCCTACTTAATCCCAGTCCACAGCAGTATAAATGCATCAACTGAAAAGAAAATGTCCTTAACTGGCCCCCCAACTCAGTCCTTATTATGGAGATGGCGGTGTCACGCCCCCTATAGAATAAGCTGAAGTCTCAGTTGTCACCTTTACAGTATATGAAGGAGCAAACAAAGGCTTTAAAACTTTTCTAAAGGCAGACAAAAAGCAAGCAATTGCAAAACCAGAGTCACCAGAAAGAAAGATATAAGCAACCTCATAAATAAAGCAAATTATGTGTATACCAATCTCTGCTTGCGTGTCATGTGGCGAGCCGCCGGGGCCGACCCCTTGCTTGGATAACAGTTTGTCCGAACTTCGCACATGCAGAACAGAAATAGGGGGAACTGAACAGCTTGGAGGAAGCCAAGCGGTTCGTTGTGATCATCGCAATACATATTGTTTTGTTAGCGAACCTATACATCAACGAAACCCAGTAATTGTAGCAGCGACTCGCAGCCTAGTCGACGATATCTCGCTGGCTAGGGACCTCCTTAAGCAGCCTACCTCTGTACCGCTTACATTGCGTATCAGGCAGAACATGAACCCTGTACGGTAGTAAATGGGGTGTTGCAGCCTTCAAACGTCACGGTTTCACTAAAGGTGCAACTAGTGCTACCTGACTTAACGCTTTTAGTCCAGTTCGGGTTTGGACAGCTTGCAGCAGCCTCAAATTGGCTGTTTGACGGCTCAGTAAGTTGAATCGAAGGGATATTCACACAGCCATTTCTAGCATTTGCGTTGACAGTGCGGGAAGGTACAGTGACGGGCTGGCTCTTGACTTCGACTGTATTACCGCCTCTATTAGTGCAGGTGACGGTAGCGGTACAACTGGCTGTCAATAGGACGTTGGCATCAGTGTGACCAACGCCGCAAATCTGAAAAGGATCGCATGAGATGTGGTTGCCGGAACATGAGCATTGCGCAGTGCCTGATTGGATGTGTGCGCCGGAAGGTCCGCATTGGGCGGCGGCCAAGCCCAGGTAGATAGCAATCAACAGGACCTGTTTGGATAGCATAATGGAGCGAAATATGCTGATATACCTCTGCTGAAAAATCTTGATTGAGAGAAGGATCTTGGATTAACAGCGTTTGTAGTGCGAGGTTCTGTACTTTCATGAGATTGAGGTAAGTTGTTACTTTATATAGCCTGTCTTTAAAGTCTAATAGAAAGCCAGTCTACTCTAGAGTACAACCATGAGCACCATCGGATCCGGAATCAAAGCATCATTGGCCGAAGCGAAGCTTATTTTGGGAGGCGGATCAGCGTAACCTATCATTCCAGCTGTGGGCAGGTCGAGACATAAGAATCACCAGATGTGGCACTAACTCAATTTTCATCATGATTCTCCTTCAGCTTTCTTACTAGTCACTAAATCTTTATCTACACATCATATTCACCCTTTATCTAACTTCAGGCATCACATTGACTATTCCATGAAGTCCTAACTGCACACTATTCCATTAAATGGCCTCCATCAACGACGGTCATCAAAATATGGCGACAGATGGTTGGTCTGACATCAGATGATCTTAAACTCAGTTTCCTACATCACGGTATTGGTAATGGAGGTCGATAATCAAATGGTTATCGCACTAATAATTTCACGAATATAACATTGAGTTTTCAGGCGGTATCAGCGTAACCTATCATTCCAGCTGTGGGCAGGTCGAGACACAAGAATCACCAGATGTGGCACTAACTCAATTTTCATCATGATTCTCCTTCAGCTTTCTTACTAGTCACCAAATCTTTATCTACGCGTCATATTCACCCTTTGTCTAACTTCAGGCATCACATTGACTATTCCATGAAGTCCTGACTGCGCACTATTCCATTAAATGGCCTCCATCAACGACTGTCATCAAAATATGGCGATAGATGGTTGGTCCGACATCAGATGATCTTAAACTCAGTTTCCTACATCACAGTATTGGTAATGGAGGTCGATAATCAAATGGTTATCGCACTAATAATTTCACGAATATAACATTGAGTTTTCAGGCGGTACCCTGCCATGCTATTCGAATTGTCGGGATGCTTATCCGCATCTAGTGGGATCGCAAGAAATGAAAGTAGGCTGATTTTTCATCTCCAGGAACGCCCTAGGTGATGGTCCCTTTCTGCGCCTCCTGAGGAGATCATGTGTTCTGAATGATCATGAGAGAAATAATATGGCCCAGAGTGGCAAGGTGAAGAGTACTGAAAAACTATTATTAATTTGCCTAAACGGACAGCCGAAGGCCCTCTTGCCCCCTCCCCCTCCCGCCCAGCTCCAAATAGACAGAAAGCAGCAGCCATTGGGAGCGTTCTCTCTGGTGTCTTGGATCAACCTTTGAGTCTCAGCCAAAAATAAGAGTCCCATATGCATGCTTCAAATTTATTCCTGCCGAAGATTCCTACATCCACATACACTTATCTATAGCACGGTATGTGACAAGAGAAAGTAGCTACGTATTGGGTTCAGGATGAAGGGGTTGACAGCAACAACAACGACGTTCATCAATAGGTTACTCCTTAGTTCATTGAACTGAAGCAAACTGCGAGTACGTCCAGCCTACGTAGAGCAAAGTATATAGTACCACACGGCCGCCGGAATTTCAGGTTTGAGAATCAGTCAACCGTCCATACCAAATCGGCCGTTATCTGCAGCTTCACCCTCCGTGCCACGCATGGCTCGGCAGCATTAAATGACGAACAGAAGATTGGTATCTAGGAGGTTAATATCTGTATAAATGGAATTTTGAGATTGGTGGGAAAGACTGCTCACCAAGGGGCCCCGCAACGCGTCATTGGATGGTTCCGTGGCATCTGACATTCAATGTCCCAAAGCCGGGGTCTTCAAGAATGTATAAATACCGTGGTTCCCCTTTGTGGCTCTTAAGTCCATTTGGCTGGTCATTATCAACCAGGGCAATTGGAAATAGTTACCCATGATGTTGACATCGCCATATCGGGGTTACAGCAGCAACTACTCTGGCACGAAGAAACTGGGGTCCAACTCATAATCACCACGCCATGGGCGCATTCACCATTGGTGTGATGGGCAGTGTGCACAGTCAGCTGTGGCACGGACACAGTCATCCTCCCTGCTATCTTTGTGCTGACTCCCTCAGGGCTGGCCGCGTCAGGGTCACTGATCACTGGCGTAGCATCAGCTGATCAGACTTGGCATAATATCACCAGCCACAGGAGCATCTCGCAACCGTTCGGGACTATCGACTAATGCGTTTGTGTGGGCAGTGGATTGGTGATTGGCATTATAGTTGCAGAGTTTATGGCTATGTTGGTGGTATATCTGTATGGCAAGTGAAGGAACGGCCTGTTCAATTTTCAGCACCCTTGTGTAGATTATGTTCTATATGTATGTATGGGCTGCCTGCCAGTTCCATCTATGATTGATTATCAGTCCAGATGATCTCTCCGAGCAAGTCCTGCAGATATCGCTCGCGGTACAGGAGAATCCTCATCCCGTCGTCTTGTAGAAAGCACCGACACTCGTCCAGCATTCGGGTTTGCTCCCCTTTGGGGAATGGCATGAAATCCTTGGGCGCAATCTGAATGCCTTGTGTAGGCACATCAACCGTGAACAGTCGGTGATGCTTCCATCTTCTGAGGATATACTCGCAAAAGACGTCAAACCTTTCGTTCCGCACGATGAAATCCATCAGCGAATCCAGCGTGCTGCTGTCAATCAGCTCCGGCAATGTCCCCTGAAAATCTAAAGTCTTTGCTAACTCACCCGCTATCTCTCCTCCCTCTTCATCCTCCTCACCCCTATCCCCCTCCCTGAGACTCTGAGTGTATAGAAACCGACAATATCCCAATCTCAGCCTCCAGAACCGATTCGAAGCAATCACCACCCCAACACACGGTACCAAAACCACATAACCCCACCACATCTTCGCCGTAACCATGCTCGCCATCCCGGCCACCAACCCATTCAACCCGTTCATAGCCCCATGCCACTGCAACATCCTGTATCGGGCCGTCACTCTCCTCTGTTCTCTCTCACCCAGCAGCGGCGCATGCCCAGCCGCACCAGTAACAACGCGCACCCTTTGCTCTAGCCTCCACACCAAATCCGCAGACGACACCGCATTCCCCACCCAAAAGACGGCCGCCGTCGCATTCCCCACAAACCCGCTCAGTAAATTTCAGGCTTCAAAGACCGTCCGGTTATTGCTGAAGATGGCCATAATCGTGCCCGTGCTGACGAGTAGGTCGCCAGCGCCAAGTAAGACGTCCATGAGGATGCAATCCATGAGCTTGGTTAGGAGTTCACGCGTGTTAACGCCTAGGATGCCCTCCCTCTCCTTTTCCCTTTTCTCCGGGAGGGAGGTGGTGGCATGTTGAGAGGATCTCAGGGCCTCCTGCTCAGATAGTAGCAGAAGGACATTCGCATAGCTCAGAGCGAAATCCCGCGCGGTGAAGATGGTCATCAGCAGCACGATGGGGCCGAATATTCCCATACAGATCTTTGCGTGTGTGGGCAAGGGGACCTCATTCCAGACGTTAGCGGCAAAGTCCTGCGTTGGCGAGCTCGAGGTAGCCGACGCTGGCGAGGAGGATGTCTTTGTATTGAGAGGTGGAGGATGAGAGGTGGAGGCGCTCATTCTTCAGCGTTAGCGTTACTGTTGGCGATGGTTGTGTTAGCGTTGATGTTGACGACATTGTTGATGTAGGGTGGGAAATGGAAGAGGTTTTGAGTTCGGGCTCTGACGCGGACGTTGAGGCCATTGCTCTTGATATGGCATCCTTAGATGGATGTTGGAGAGCAAGGGATCGATCAGAAAGGAAGAGAAGTGTGGGACTCTTGGGACGTCACTGGGGAAAAGCTAGTACAGTAAAACCTCATTATAGCAATATATTCTAGACAGACTATATTTCTCGTTATATCGAGGTTCTCGTTATATCAAGGATAGTATATATTAGTATATATTTAGTCTGTAAAATAGCTTCGAATGTCCCACTGCATCTATAGGCTTAGCTTTCAACCCTAAAGGATACACTCATGCTTATCTAGCTTATATATAAGGCTAGGGATACCCTCTGCCTGCTACTCTTCATATAAACAAAGTATTCTTAGTGCTTCTAAAGCCTAATCTAGTGGTATTTATGGTAGAACTTTAAGCTCCTCCTTAGAATTATCATCTAGCTCTGGCCTGTACTGAGCTAGAACCTAGATATTAATATTATTAGGAGTATCCTGGATGGCTTCCTCTACTAGATTAAGAAAGGTTTTAATATCCATTAGATCCTAGATAGGTGTAGATACCCTAAGGAGAGAGAATGCTTTCTGTATATTATCTAGAACTACTAGATTAACAGGCTCTTAATATAATGGTTAAGAATCTAGAGTCTTTTAAAAGTAATTCTAGATTACCTATCCAGAAAGATTAAATTCCTAGCTCTAGATTCCCTATTAAACTACTCTTAGAATATTTATTAAGGTAATTAGATCATGATTAAGCTTAAACTCTTAAAGGATAAAGCATGTAAAGGCTCAGCTGTAGCCCAGCCACTCAATTATGCAGCCACCCCTTGCTTCCTAATTGTTTTCAACCTCCTGCTTTCACACCTTGAGCCGCTTTCGAATCATCGCTGAATGCATCTAGGATAGACAGCGAAGATAAATAGTATGCCCCTTGTCTGGTATTCGAGAAGACAAGGATTAGTTTTGTTTTCATATGATCTACTACTCTCTACCATCCTCTTCCATTAATTATCGTCATCAATTCTTACCTAGTCAACAGGCCATCTACCCTGAGACGTAGATCCTTACAAAGCAAATCTAGTATTATTTCTAGTATAACTTCTAATAGTGGATAATCCCTTAATCAAGAGGCTGATATCAGCTTGTAGAGTTTACAGGAAGCTATATAATAAGAGTATTCTATAGTGGATAGCTACTAGATTAAATCTCTATTATAGCAGCTTAATATGCAGAGAAGTTATCTATAAGAAGGACAACATTCTGTCTACTTATCTACTTATTAAACTAGCAAAGAAACTCTATAAAGATAATACTATAATCTAGGCTTTCTAATTACTCCTCTAGATAAGATTTAGATTCTATATATTAATACTAGTAGCTTGGAAAGCTCATGGATTCTTTACTATACTAATAAACTATAATAATAGCTTCTCAGAGCTATCTGCATTACAATAAAAGAGGGCTATAATCTATGCTTTATCTTTTTTTTAACCTAGAAGTTAATATATTAAAAGAGACTATGCAGGAGTCTATTTCTAAAAGAGGCTAGTCTTATTATAATTAAACTAGTCTTTAAGGCTATATGTAATAGATGGGTGTCCAGTCCAACCCACTACCAACTCAGCCAAAAGGCCATTATGACCAGATCCTAACGGATCTGATCAACTGGATCGCACCTATATACCTTAATCCTTTACAACTATACCCCTCTCTCTGAGGCACGCCCTCGGGCCTTAGATAAGCTGTAAGGAACTAGGAATAGATAGGTGGGGGCCCCCAGGAATGTCCTAAGAGGCACTAAGGGTCCCTACTATATTCAGGGCCCCTAGTCTTAGTCATCCTGTGAGCTAGTAGGTGGCAGTTGAATCCAGTAGCGCAACTAGTAGGGATCACCATCCCTACATTCATACCACAGTCCTACATATCTCCACGACCTTAGTAGGGACTGGGAACCAGAAATTAATCCACCTCCAGCTGGATTCGAACCCAAAGCCTATTATCTAACCCATTAGGATCTGGTCATATTGTAATAGATGGGTGTCCAGTCCAACCCACTACCAACTCAGCCAAAAGGCCATTATGACCAGATCCTAACGGATCTGATCAACTGGATCGCACCTATATACCTTAATCCTTTACACTATAAGTACTTAAGACTTATTTAATCTTAAGCATCTCTTAATCTACCTAAGCTAGAACACCTCCTTCCTCTCTATAATACTAATATCATCTTACTAACCTCCTTATCTGAAAGTTATAAAGCTATCTATTACTAAATGTTAGTATCTCTTACCCTAGGTAGATCTTCTCCTAAAAAGACTAAGCCTTTTATTAAATAATCTTTATAAAGATAGGTATTTATCCCTCTACATATATAATCTACTTAAATAAGGCATTCTCTAGCTCTGGCTAGTTCTCATAGTGTTAGTATTTTATATTATAGGAAGGGAGGGAATCAGCATCAAGGTTATTATATTTGTAGGATAAGATATTAGAGATAAGGCCAGATGAAAGAGTATTATTATAGGTGTCCTGAAACTATTTATAAAGGTCTTTCTATGTTATGTTTAGATAAAGGTATTTTCATGCTTATAAAGCAGCCTTCTAAGATGTTAAGATAGGCTTCCTCTAAGGCATATTAGCTAATAGAACCCTTGATATAACAAGAATTTGTATGGGAGGCAAGGTGAAATTAATAAGACTTATTATAGTAAGGGATCTCATTATTTATAAGGAGAATTAATTCAAGCAAGGGATTCTTCTTGTTATATTGAGGTTCTTGTTATAATGAGGCTCGCTATAGTGAGGTTTTACTGTACTTATTGACCCGCTTCCATAATTCCAGCAGTAACTCAAATTAAGACAACAATGACCTGGGTAATAAGGGCAGATTTAATAGCCTAGGGTGTGACAGCCACAGAAGTTTATATAATTGTGCGATTAAAGCCTCTAGTTGGTCAAGAATGGTTACTTAGGCACACAGAATCACTATCTTAACAGACTTGATCTCACACTAACTGTTAGTTAACCCTATAAGTGACCTTAAAAATTACAAACAGGGGCAAGAACCAACATCTGCCAATGAAAAATTGGAAATGTAGCCAATAGTGCATTACAGCAATATAAGCGCAGTGGAGCAATAAATAGAGCTTAGAAAGGAACATGACGAAGCCAGGGGCCAGCCATCTCCCAAACATGGCAGCTTTGCACCTGGACCACGAGAGTTACCAGAGTTGAAGATTTCTGACACGATCAATAATGATGCTCTTCGCGCCATGGTGCTTGCTTCTGAAGGGGTGACGACCCAGCCAGAAGCCAAGTTTCAGGATGTGAAATTCCTCCTTAAGAGTATCATGGGGACCATAGAGAAAGTGAAAAACTAAAAGGCGGGCCAGAGCAAGACGACGACACTTGGATTTTCAAAGCATACAATGAGATTGCCGCCGTCTACGGTCTTCTTGGCATGACGCAACAGGAAAAGGAGATTTCTAAGCATCTTTTAATCAATAACTGGGAGACTCTTCTCATTGCTTAGAGAGACGCTCTTCGATACTGGGAACGCGTCAAAAAGCCTTTGGAGGAGACCACATCCATACCATCAAAAATACGATGTGCCTTACCGCTACTGGTATGGCACTTCCATTGAAATATGCCGGTGAAGGCTAGGAGGATTTGCGGGCTGAAAAGCATTGGCAGCGCACTGAAGCCTCAGAACAGGTGAAGGATTGGGAAGGAAAGACGCTGAGTGGTGATCTCTTTCGAGTGCCAGATGCCTGCTTTTTGTTACAAGCCACTCGCCAGATGATCCGGGGCAAGCTTCAAAGACATTCAAGAGCGGGCTTATTCACGAAAGTGTGGTTTCCGAACAAAGTTTCAATTAGCTTCTGTATGTGTCTCTCTGTCTGTATCTTCTAAAAGTCGACTACCTTCTTTAAGACTGTGTCTACTCACACAATCACTGTTGTTCTTAAGGCATGTACAGTCAGACCGTATCATACGCCACTCTCGGTCGCTCCGTAAGGAAGCCTGAATGTCCAGTTTCTCTCGTTGACAGACCATGTATCATGCATGGGTCTAGACTGATGCAGTCTAATAGCAGCTCAGCAGGCGACCAGACTGACAGCATGGAACAGCGAGCGGCATGGATGCGAATAATTCAATTGCAGCTAGGAAGGTCAAAGAAGCTGCCGCCCAGGAAAAGCGGCTACGAAAGGAGTGGAAGGAATTGTCTACTAAAGAGATACAACCAATGCCTACCAACGAGTGATGTATCAATCAAAAGAGCGAGAGTAGGGGAGGCTTTCTCTTCCACAGAGCCAAGGGGCTAATAATCGTGTGAATTTGCTCAGTCAAATTATCTTAGCCGTCTTTAGAGAAGATATTAAGAAAGGTAGCCTGGTCCATATCGCCATTTCAAAGGATACTATTGCTGCTCACAGAACGGCTTTGGGTCATATGAAGTCGAGTCCCATCCTGATTTTTGCATCCCTTGACGTCACCATTGAATAAAAATGAACCCTTATCTACCTCTGTCCCGGAAAATCCATACGCAGACCGTCCAGAAGAAGTATCTATGAGACACACGAGTAGTATTAGATGCAAGTGACAAGCGACTGAACTTCAAGGATAATACTTTGTCCGCTCCATTCCTTATCGCCAGGGTCCTCACCGCGAGAGGACATTGCTCGGAGGACCTGGATGTCTGCTTATTCCGACTGCTGCTAGAGTGCGTTGGCCTGCAAACTTAGGATCGAATGATAGGATTGATGCAAATTGTCAGAAAATCGGTACGCTGGGGTGCAAGACGACAACCAGGAGACATTGTGCTATACTAGAATTTGGTTCATGTCTCCTATCAGAAAATCTTGCGAGATGCGCCACTGCCTGTGGCTTTCGAGGATCTCCTACCAGTTATTGACGGGGAACAGTGCCGATTTCTACACAGTTGATTTATATGCAACCTCAGGGAGGGAAGTACGAGCCGATACCGGAGGTCGGCAACATTCAACGGTGTTTGAATCACCAGCTAGGTACTGTGTACACGGTCTAGTGGACAGTTTCAATGCTTACAAAACATGAGTTGAGCGACTCATGTACGTAGATCTAGATGTTAGGCTTGTTAAAAACACCCCTAATACCAAGCAATTCAGGATCATGCGACGCGATTATGAACCACCAGATGTTGGGCTCTTGATTTTGTTGCCCGACACAAAACGGTCTTCTGCATTTTGTTGGGAAGTATGGGCTAATCGGCATCTTTCATAAATAACTAAGAGGTATTTTTTACTACCTTTGAAGGGCCTCACTAGGACACCGGCCGAGGATCAGCAGATCCAAACGACTAATCGGTCTCGCATGCCTTGGAGCCGAAAAAGGCTCGGGTGTCCACCACATCAGCCTCGGTAGCTTGTCGACTAATCATGCATCTCCTTGCGCTTGCGTTTGTATTGACATCCGAAAGGGTCCACAGTGGCTTCCACGAACGCCTAAACGTCTCTTGCTTATAAAAATCAAGAAGCCAAAACTAAAATGACCTCTAGCTGCGCTTTCGAAGACCTACGCCGACCCGGCAAAACCTGGCATGACTCAAAGTCCTTTGTGCGATGGATTCATTGATAGCAGAGTCATGGTTGAAGGTGATGGCATTTCCAGCACCGCGCAACATCGCATCGTCCTCCGCGCTATTCACTAACTCAGTTTAGGTAGAAAATGCCATTGGCCAACGGCCTCAATTGACCGGCGATGTCTTTGCCATGCGGGAGCAGTATAAAGCACTGGCGGATGGGGCAAATGCAACTCGAACCATTTCGCCCAATATTACCGTCGGTAAGAGCGGTCTCCGGGCTCCTACTAAGTACGAAGATAAGATATGATCGCACTCACTGTGACACACAGAAGATATAAAAATCAGTCCCAATCTCACCGTGAGAACTTACACGCCAACAGCCCGTCAAGCAGAATCTAACCTGCGCCCAGTCGGATTGTACTTCCACGGGGGCGGGTTTTGCTGTGGTGATTTAGACTCTGAGGACAACTTCTGCAGGCTTCTAGCCGAACGCCTGCCTTGTATTGTCATCTCGGTGGGCTATAGGCTTGCACCGGAGCACAAGGGCCCCGCTCAGCTGGATGATGCGCTCGAGGCTTGGAATTGGGTGAGTTGCACAACTGACCTCACCATCTCACTCTGACAGTTACGTTTTGCTTACATTTCAGGCATACAACAACGCGAGTACTTTGAACGGTGATCGTGGGAGATACTTCACTGTTGGTCAGAGTGCAGGGGGTACCCTCGCTCTGGCAGTGGCACGCCGATTGATCGTGCTTGGCCGGAAACATGAAATACAGGGGATCGCAGCCATTGCTCCGTTCGTTGTCCACCCGGATGGTGTTCCTTCGCGTTATATGGCCCGATATCGTGCTTTTGATGAGCTCGGAGACGGCCCTATCAACACGAAGCAAGCCATGACCCATTTCTACAGTTGGTGACGCCTATACATTGACAAGTCGACATTTAGTTAACCAGGGTGGTTACAGAAGCAATCCAAGCGCCGCCCGGCGACCCAGACGTCTACGTTCTCAATGCGGAGGCGGATTTACACCACTTCCCTCCGACCTACCTTGCAGTCTGTGGGATTGATCCACTGCGAGATGACGGCCTTATCATCCACGACGCCTTGAAGACGGCTGGGTATGTTGCCTCCTGCTTTAGTGTCTGCCTATGGATTTTTGTTCATTCTAACCTTGCTTGCAGAGTTTCTGTAAAACTGGATTATTACCAAGGTTTGCCACACGTGTTCTGGGCCTTTGAGTGTCCTGCTCCAAGTGGTGATTTCGTGGCGGATGTCATGGCTGGTATTAGGATTTTCACGCATACTTGACAGACTATTGCCGCGCAAGACTAGGTTGACAGTGCTTAATATATGCTAGGTGCAGGGCAGTATGTTATTTGCAGACATACACTGACTTTAAAACCAGGAGCTCGGATAATCCATAGTCGTTGAGATATGCAGTTGGTAAACGTCGCATTTCATGTAGTGTTTCGGGTGTAACGGGTCGTAGTGGTGGCGACCCAGTAGTGAGTTACCGGGCTGAGTCTGGAATCGATGACGCGAAGAATGGGAAGACTGAGGGTTAAGCACATAGTCCACAGACCTACTATTGTTATGCATAAATTAACTACAAGCCTGCAGAGATTAAGATTTTCTAAGTCCTGTCCGTGTAATATAGAAGCCCAAGGGAAATCAAGGTTAGCGCTAAGTCCGAAAAAGTTTATCGAGCCCAACTAGTCCCACGAGCTAGGCCGAAAGAGGAGAAAATGACATCAAGTCTATCATAGTATAGCATCTATAACTCCAGGAGGCGGGTACCGCGTATTTAGCTCGGAAGGCTAGGCCGGAAACGGCAAAAAAGTCATCACACTAGGTCGTGGGTCTGAACTAAATAAAGGCGAAGTAAACAAGGTCTCTCCAAGATAACATTCAGAGCTCCGGTGCTTTGAAATACAGTCATGTTCTAAGCATCACTCTCGTCCACAGCCTCCTGGACTTTGGGGGTTAAATCCGATTGCTTGTCTCTGGCGGTAACTCGTCATCTCCTGAGCAGTCAAGACTCGATTTTGTCCCTCCCGCCTTCCCTCGGTACATAGAAACCATTTCAATGCAGACACATTGCCTCCCTACAAGGGAGTGTGGATGAGGCCTATCTGACGACGCTACAGTCTAATGCGTTTCCGTATAAGACCACAGCGACAGGTGACCCGTTATGGCCAAACTATATAGTCTTCTCGTCCCTCTTGACTGTGGAGGTCACCAATAAAACCCTAAGTTTATGTGAGAGTGATTAGAATAAACTAGTAAGTTAAAGGTTCTCGCAATAGTTCAATGAGATCACCTTTCTCTCCGAACGTGAATCGCTGATTTAAAATGCTCGGCTGTAAAAATATGCAGGTCAGTTTTCTTGTTGAAACATGAATACTATCAACTGCTTTCGCAACTCCATTAAGCAAGGCCCTATTCCAAGGTGGCCTTTCATCATCTGCGGCGAGGAGAAAGTCTGTTGGAATGACTTACTATCTTCAGGGGCAATTAGGATGTTAATTAAGTATTTCACACTTGAAACTTACCATATTGCTGTCCTGGGTCAAAATCACCATGGCCTGCGTAATTCCTATATACGTTCAAAGTCTGAGCAAACACCTAGCTGCTGCTGTACATGCTGGTCACTGAGCTGCCTTCTCACTCTACCTCCTCACATGTCCTTCACAAGAGAACCACTTCTTTCATCCCACAAAATAGGGCTGATGATCCCATAATCGGAGCCTCGCATTGGGAGAAGGGAACTGTGTGCCTTCGCAATGTGTTAGATAATCAGTGTGATGCTCTAGTCACCCGATCTACTCACTAGTCGTTGCTTATGCCTTGCGTAGAACATTCTGCGTTTGGAAAACAACAGCCTCCTTTGGGAGATGCTTCGCGAGCAGAGCTGTATCCCAGTAAAGCCAGACCTCCCTGAAATTCAATCCATCCACAGCATCGGCGAGGCCAGCGGGGCCGATAATAGAGATCCAGCTGAGTGGGACGCTGACAGTCGGCTCTTCGGTGTTGTTTCCAGGAAGCCAGATATTGCGGGTCCACTGGGTCAGGATGGTGGTTGTACCATCATCATTTTTGACTTCCCAGAGGCTGTGGAAGTCGTGTCGCATTCTTTCAAATTGCCCGAAAAGACGCTTCATCCACGCCCACATCTCGTCTCCACCATTGTACTGGGCGTTGTTCTGGTTGTGGAAAATGACGTTTTTGGAGTAGAACCGCAAGCCAGATCCGTGGTTGAAGCCATAGGAATCGACTGTATCGACGTATTTTTTAAAAAATTGTTGCGCTGGAGTCTCTGGCCCGGACGTATCCCAGATAGGAGCGGAAACACAGCTTACCAACTCAGGCATGATTGGAGAACCAGGAGACACGGGATAGAACGAGAACTCTTGTTTGATCTGGATTAATGTCTTGGTAGTCGCGGGCATCTTATGGTTACGCTGACGCCACTACTGATAGCCGAAGGTCTGTTCAGCGATTTCATGATCATGATATTGCCGAGGCGCAAGTCGCTTCACATCTTCGTAATCCATGGAATGTACATAGTACTACGGATACAAAGCCAAGATTTCAATTTCCGCCGACCCACAAACTATGAAGTACTGTGGGTCAAGGTACGTAGCGACTTTCGGGTTCCCGAGGTCAATGATCAGTAATCCCTCGCCACCTTAGTTTACCGACTTCTGGGTGACAGTTCCATTGAACTATGCCCGGCATTTATAATTAGACCTAGGATCAATTTAGTAATTTATGGGTGTCAAATCCCTCTTCGTTAATGAAAGTCGATTCAACTCCAATTCTCTACAATATGGGTCTCGACTACAAAGTATTCACCAGCAGACGATCCGGCGTGAATCGGTCCACCCCAGCCGGTCACGATCATCTCGAGTGGGTGCCGACCACTTCGACTTTGATATTCGGCCAAAAAGATGCGGTGCTGGTCGATACGCAATTAACCATTGCTGCTGCCAAAGAGTTGGTAGACTGGGTTGTAGCCACTGAAAAAAACCTCACGACGATCTATGTCTCTCATGCCCATGGCGATCATTTTTATGGAACCGGTGCCCTCCTCGAGAAATTTCCAGAGGCAAAAGTCGTGGCTACGCCGGAGACCGTCTCTCGTATGGCTGAAGCCATATCTCCCGAAGGGATGGACGCCTTTTGGAGAGAACTTTTCCCTGCTCAGATCCCGGAAAAGCTCGTGATGGCCACCCCCTTGGAGCAAGACCACATCATGTTGGAAAACGAGCGATTGGAAGTGGTCAGACTGGGCCATACAGACACAGATGACACAACGGCTCTCTGGGTACCTGCAATCGGCTTGGTTGCCGCGGGTGACGCAGTCTACAACAATACCCACCCATACCTTGGCGAGTCGAAATCCCAAGAGGCCAGATCGAGATGGGTGGCAGCGCTAGATAAGATCGCGGCCCTTAAACCGAGAATTGTCGTTGGCGGTCACAGTGACCCATCTAAGGGATTCTCCCCCGATGCCGTCCAAGCGACCAAGGACTATTTGGATGACTTCGCGCGACTGGATGGGCAAACATCCACTCCCGAGGAACTATACTCCAAGATGATGGAATTGCATCCCGCTCGATTGAATATCGGCTCGCTATGGGGAGCTGCAACGCTCGTGAAAAAATAATTCTATGCATGGTCTCCATGTTGACTGGAGTAACCAATGGGTCGAATTAGTGCACTATGATTCGGTATTAGCATAGGATAACCAAGAGCACATTCCTTGATATTGTATTACGAGAGGATATCTTCTTAAGATGTTTGTACCTATAATGCACCTTTGCTTTTACCAACAGGTATATACGTAGGTATACTGCTCAATGGCAGAAATCGATCTTACAGCGTTCTCATCATGATCTAGATTCGAAAGTTGGGCATCTCGAGCTGTCCAAAGTAATCCCAAGCCTCAATCATCAATACTTGTGTCGTGGCAGGTTTCTTGTCAAATACGTGTCGACTTGTAAATGCACTAAGACAAGTCAAAGAGGACGGTACTCTATTATTGATGATGTGGGTTCTCTAAATGTATTTTGGGGCGAGGAAACACCATATGCAATAAAAAGAATGCCAAATTGAATCCCATTTTCTTCTGCGCAGGAAATCTTCGTGACCTGCGAATTGGTTGCGCCTGTCGCGTCTCAAGAAGAGCCAAGCCATTTCTCTAAGAACTCAATCTGTCCTTTAATATTCTGTTCAAACCAATCCCCGGTATAGATATCAAAATGACCTGCGCCATCAATATACAAAAGCTGCTTTGGCTCTTTAGCTTTTTCGTAGGTGGCCATCTGAGATGCCGTGGTGACAAGGATATCATTCCCAGGGACAACCATCAACAGCGGAGTCGGCGAGATACGATGCACCATGCTCTGTCCTTCAAACGTAAGCATATTGAGCTGTGTCTGGATTGTAACATAATTATCCCAACGACCACCACAATCGTACGAGCCGCGCACCTGCTCGTAAGCATGAACTCCGGGAAACATGGCAGTAGTGGACCCTGACTGCGCTGCTTCCAAGTTTTCCGCAATAAGGGGAACCCTTTCCGGTTCCGATCCTGCAGTGATACGAGCACGCTCTTTCAGAATGCCCGGGATGCGATCTTTGAAGGCCAAGGATCGAGTTTCTCCAGAAACTGCAGGGCATTGTACGATAGCAGCTTTGATCCGTTTGTCCACAGCAGCTGCGTATAGAACATTTCCTCCAGAGAAACTCGTGCCCCAATACACTATGCGAGTATCATCCACACTAGGGAATGACGTTGCGAAATTGAACGCATCGTAGTAGTCGGCTTGTTGAAGGGCCGGGTTTGACTCTTGCCGCGGTAGTCCATCACTGTCACCCCAGTTCCGATTATCATAGAGGAGTACATTGTACCCGGCTTGCTGGAATCGATCCGCGAAATTCGGGAGCCAATGGTGGCGGACACCACCCAACTATTTGTGGCAAGCGGATGACAATTAGCCAATTTCATAGGAAAATTGTATATCTCAATATCTCACGGAGTACGCACCCCGTGGGTCATGATCACACAGGCCGATTTCCCTACTTGGGGATAGAACCATCCCCGGAGCACAGTGCCGTCGCAAGTTTTGAACTCAATGGTTTCACGAGCGAGGACCATTGCTGCAAAGATATTGATTGTCCCAGGTGTAAGTCGAAATTGAAGATTGCCGAGTTGGCTGTTTGAGAACGACAAATAAATCAGCAGAGGCGAGATGATAACATTGTCTTCCTGTTCTTTTGCGAACCTCGGTTTTACAGTGGACGAGTAATCCAAAAATCATCGAACCTCCTTGAGCTTTTGATTACATTGCTTTAGCCGATGCCGAGGCGGCGATCATGTTTGCTTCCTTCATTTTGATTGGATTACACGTGTCCAATAATATTCGATTGACAAACTGACCTGTAACATAATCAAGTTGGATATATTGTGAGGAATATAGACGCTGCAGTAACCTCCTACGAATATGGCTCTCCAATCGCTAAATGTAAGTTACGCATCACGAAGCGATAGGAAGAATTAAGGGGCTACTAAATTTCGCAGTAAGCGATACAGAAAAACATCGTTTCATCCATGGGTTAACTGCATACATGGCTTACATAAATCTATTGACACGTCAAACACGCCTTAATCACTCAATATAAGATCCTTTGGAACCGAGATGAGTGCAAATCGCAGGCGCAATGCTAAATTATCCATTGAGCAACGTTCTCGTATCCTCGTCCCTCTAGAGGCCAAGGAATCTATAACCCAAAACCGCCGAGATTTACAACGTTACTCGCCAGACTGAACACAACACACGCGATCGATATCTACGAGATAATTTGATAAAATCAAGGCCTCGTCCGGGTCTTCCACTAAAATCCAGTCCCCAAACTAGGCGATATATCTACCGGATCGCGGATAAACACCCTCGTTGGAGCTAAAGCGCAATTATCGCTTAGCTTAACGAGCTTACCTCACGGTCGACAATTCAGCGGATTATAAAGTATTACGGTCTTCGAAAATGGAAACCAAAGAAACGAATCCGTTTAACAGCTAATGACGCACGAAAATGCCTAAGATATTGCCGCGAGTGGGCAAGCTTTGCCGATACAAAGATATCATATGGTCAGATGAAAGTACTGTACAACGCAGATCGAATTCACCGGTTCAATTCGTCTTCCGTTTCCAAGGTGGGGGTTTACGGTAAGATCCTGTGAAGCTTACGACACATGGGCGTGACATTTCGGAAATAGTTTTCGGTGCAATCTGGATTGGTGGCCGCTCAGATCTTATAATAAAGGAGCGAGGTCCAGAACTGCTACGCGGCGAATATTCAACGAGTTCGTACCTCGAAGCACTTGAGAATAGTCTCCTATCAATCTATGAGCCTGGTCTTATATTTCAGGAAGATAACGCGGGAATCCACAGGTCGGATGCCGCAGAATTGTGGTTTGAAACGTATGGTATACACGTTCTGGAATGGCCACCGCATTCGCCGGGCCACAACCCAATTGAGTCAGTTTGGGCTTTATTAAACGCGAATTATTCGGACGATACCCAACATTAGCCAACGGCTGCCGCCGGAACGTTGACTGGAGCGAATTTCGAGCTGCTTTGTAGATTCATGGAATCATAGACACTAGGGTGCAATTGACCGGTTGATTCGCAGTTTGCCGCGTAGAATCAATGTTATACGCGCTGCGAGAGGCTGGCACACTAGATACTACACATAGTGAATAAAGCAGCTATATTTTTCTATAAGATAATTTGTTTTTAAAAACTTTGAATGAGTCCTGATAGAGTAGTAAGAGAAATGGTAAGTAGGGCAGGGAGGTGGTAAAATTAGGTAATCGGAGCTGTCAACAGATCGTTCACCTACGATGTACTATTCCTTAGAATACATAGTCTCATGTCGAAAATCGTAAAATAGATTCAATATAGATGGCTAACATGTGCCATACGCACCAGTCACCTGAACAGGAAGAAGTTCAACTTGAAATTACAAAATGGGGTTGGGGGTTACTTTTTTCCTTTTCATGTGTTTTTCATTTGTTTTTCATTTATGTATACCAGAAACACAAAGTGGTAAAGTGGCCAGTCACCCTTCTCTTTCCAGTCCATCCGGTTTACTCGAGAAGCTGTGTAAGTAAAGCACAATGTATACGCAATCAAGAAGCATGCAATTCGGTTTTCGACGGACCACATGCGCCATCACTTACTGTCCTCCACTGCGAAGCCTTGTTCAACGGAGCAATCCAACCTTAAGTAAATGGAGCCTCTTCGCCTGGCTCATCTACCCCTAGAGCAAGTTTTCCCACAGTGGTTGCAGACTCAATCAACTGATGAGCTTCCTTCAGTCCAGCAAGGTTCAACTTAAGACGTTTGTTGAGGTTTGGTACCAACTTTCCCTCGTCTATGTAACGGGCCAGGGACCCAAAGATTCGGTGATAGTTCTCCAGATTCGTACGATGATAGGCTGATGAGCCTAGCCAGTCCCATGAAAAGGTCATCGACTTTGACATAAAATCTGTCCCGTAGAGATCGAACTTGGCCTGCACGATTGAGCAAACTTTGGCGAAGGGTGCGCAGATTTTGCCCAAGGCGTAGATATATTGCTCGGTCCTTGCGACCACGTAAACGTACCTGGAATGATTAGTGTTAGTTTTTCAGATGCAAAGAAAACGACAGTAAGAGAGAGCGGAACGTACCTGATTGGGACACCCAGGTTCAAGGCTTTGATCTGGGACTCGAGATCCATCCTATGATTCACAACATGGGTGGCGCCCATTTTCCTGCATGACTCCATGGTCTCAGGTCGGGATGCAGTTGCAATCACCACGGGAAGTTGCAAAACTTTCCTAGCGATTTGGATGGCAGCACTTCCAACTCCACCTCCGCCATTGATCTAGAACAGTCAGAAATGTGTTCGAAATGCAATCAAGTAGCAATGGATACTATAGCATTGGTTCAATGCATGAATGAAACTCACAATCAGAATACCGACGTTTTCGTTCTGCTTAATCTCCAGCCTGTCAACAAGTGACTGGTATGCAGTACCGAAGGTCAGGCCCATACTAGCAGCTTCCACGAAGTCAAGCGACTTCGGCTTAAGGGCACAGAGACGTTCATCAACTAGGACGTACTCTGCAGCACTGCCTTGGCGAGTAGTGGAGCTCACGAAGAACACATCATCGCCTGGCTTTAAATTTGTGCACTCAGCCCCGACCTCCAAAACGGTTCCGGCTCCATCGAACCCAATGATGTGGAACTCCTTGGGCACAAACTTGTAGTAGTCTTTATTTCATAAGCATGAAAGTCTGCCAAAAAGGAGCAGGATCATTACCTGGAGCGTCATCATAAGTCCCTTTGCGAACTTTGGTGTCAATAGGATTCACAGAACAGGCCTTGACTCTAAGTGACGTCAGGATTAATGTGGCAGTATGATATCTGAGAATACTTACTGAATAAGAATATCCATTCCTGTAGGGCTCTCCGGTCGCGGAACGTCGCGGGACTCGAAGTTATCGACTGCACCATACTTGGCGACTCCAATTGCTTTCATTGTTTTTGTTTCCATCGTGACAACGATTAGACGCTTTCGCACAATGATCCCAGGAAGGGAATTTAATACCTATTTTATATTTCAAAACAAAACCGAATTCTGTAATCTCAACCCGAGGTTTTGTGGAATATGATGAGAAGAATATCCTGCCGCATTTATGATTATTCTTCTTACTTCGGAGCGGTACTCCCCGAAGGGCGATCTCGGGCCCTCGGCACACTGAAACATCGGGCCGCCACTTTAATGCAATAACACTTCCATCCTTCCAACGTTGTGATCAAGTCCAATTCCATTGAATGCGGCCTTTCCTCGGCTTTTGGCCTGCACTCACTATTGTTATTTTCTTGTAATAGTCGCGGATAGACTAGGAGCACGTTCCCGAAGTTGGGAATAACGCTGACAGGAGAGCCTGGTTGGCCATCATATTTTCTAACGTAATAGACAAAGCAGTGTGCTTGGTGCTGTCGAATATATCGCGATCTCCCAGAACGATGGTAAGGTGAGCGAGCGATGAGCTGGAACTCAGTATAGATTACGGCAAGCTATTGGAACAAAACCAAAATAACAACTTTAGGATTTCAGAGTATGTAGACTGCCACTAATTCCACCCACGTAAGATCAGTTTACCTCTCCCCACAGATCTCCTTTATTATCTTAAGGCATCCCTCGGGGCGGTAGAAGGGAAGTTTATACTTCAGCGTCCTTTATTCGTGTATCTGGTTGCGATTACATAGGGCTGGATACATTTCTGGTGGCTCCTTATTGCCGCCTTGAATTCATCTTCTGGGATTGGATGCACATCATTTGCCCGAATCTGGCAAATCAAATAGTGTCTGCAATCAGCATGTTCTTTTTCAAATTTGAGCGTGTCACGACCACCCCAGTCAAGACAACATGATGCTGGAGCAAGGAATGATACATTATGATCCACTGAGTAACGCGGCAGATGCGCATATATTTAAAAAGGACTCTATCTGGGCCAAATTGGGTATGCTAACCCTACCGGAGTTTAATACTACGTCTGACAAGGTAAGTCAGCACCTGACAAAACAAAAACAGAAGCTAAATCTAGGAAGCATAATTCAAATAATTATTAATACTGATAATAATAACTCAAAAAGCTACTCAGCATAGCCTTCACACTGCTGCACATCACTCAGAATCAAAAGGTAGGAAATCTGAACGTTCTGCGTCATGCGCGACTTTGTGCTGTTTATTTTGCGTTATTCTTGGAGTTGGAGCCACCAACGACATACCGCTGTATGACTTCGGGAGATCATCTACTCTAATCTCCTTTTTTTTTTCTTTTTTTTCCCACTGTAAAGGAAAAAGGGGAAAGAAAAAGCAACCGGAAAAGACTCCAAACTAATGCCTTCATGTCCTCAAAGAGAATATCCAATACGATACGCATTTCGTTACGTTCTATCAGTGGGCATGAGACATAACGTTCCCCATCTGGCAGGTGCGCATCATCGACACCTTGCTGGAGAGACTCTTAGGTAGCAAGCTAGATAACTTCCTCATAGTCGCCAACGACATCGAGTCTCGCAACGGCAAAGATATAAACATGAACGGGGGCTGGCAGGTTTCCTTTCACGATGACAGGTGGAAACCCTCATACGGCCAGAGCGTGGGGTTGTCACTGAAGATCTGGACCACGTAGCTCATTCAGCCATGATAAATCGCTTGCAATCAAACCATACGCTGCCCCAGTGGCAAATCTCGCCCGATATTGCTGTATGCTGGAGACGGTGTGTCCGATCTGTCCGCCGCATCGGAAACAGACATCCTCTTTGCGAAGAACGGGATGGGTAAGTCGAGTCTCTGATACGTGCACGCCATATACACTTCGTGAGCCAGAGGACATCAACATCAGTCCCCAACATCCTCCCACCCACTGAGCTAGTGAAGAATAAAGGATATATCCCTGATGGCCAGTCTATAGTAACCTGGATCCTCCGTCTACCGAAGAAGCCGTACCGAAGAATGATAACTTATAAAGCCAATGCCTAGATAGTAGTGATAGAATTGTGTTAGATATGATGCAGCTTTCTTTACTACATCTCTGTTTGTTTCCTTCTCGAGTTTGGTAGTGACGATTTAATGTAGTAATGTGCTTGTGGAGAATATCTGGCAGTGGACCATCAAACCACTGAAGTAGAGTTTACTTCAATAATGCGAATACAATCAAGCCAGTAAGCTATCACCGAAAAGATGTCTACCCCAGAGACCCGGCCAGTGCATCCAGTTCCCATGTTCAATGTTTGCCATACGGGTCCAACAACCAGGGAATCGCGATTTTGGCGTACGTCATTTCCCGCAAGCAGCTCAAAAATATGCATGGGCAAACTCCCACTCCGCTCGCTCATATAAATGTGTATTTACACCCCATTCATTCAGTTCTTCACTTGCAGTTAGATCTATTTTGATACGATATTTCAACATCAGAATACAGTGAAACCGCGCTCGTCATGGCGTCTATGGACAAAGTCTTTTCAGAATATCATGCGCGCCAGAAGCTGCTTGAACGGAGCGACAATCCTTTCTCTAAGGGCATTGCCTATGTGGAAGGAAAGTTCGTCTTACCCAGCGACGCCAGAATATCGCTACTTGACGAAGGCTTCCTGCACGGTGACCTAACTTATGACGTTACATCGGTCTGGGATGGACGCTTCTTTCGATTGGATGATCATATGCAACGGATCCTGGAAAGCTGCGATAAAATGCGGCTCAAGTTCCCACTTGCACCGAGTACAGTGAAAGATGTCTTGGCTGAAATGGTCGCCAAGAGTGGCATTCGGGATGCGTTTGTGGAAGTTATCGTGACACGTGGTCTGACAGGTGTACGTGGTTCGAAGCCCGAGGATCTGGATAATAACAACATATACCTGCTTATTCTCCCATACATTTGGGTGATGGCGCCTGAGGACCAGCTTCTCGGTGGCAGTGCTATTATTACAAGGACTGTGCGACGAACACCTCCGGGTGCATTTGATCCTACGATC